TCGATTCCTTCGCTGCAATAATCTTTTAGTTTTTCCGTCCTTTATGCTCGCAAGTCACTCAACGTTTGTAAGTGTCTTTCCTTGTCCGATTGTATTTCCTCTGCTGTTTTGCGTTTTCCTAGTCCTTCTACTTCGTAATAACTTGTAATTATTTGATCCTTTTAGCAACCACGATCAACCGTAATGTAAATAGATCTTAAAGCGTTCGCGTCTTGAAACCTGACTTTGTTGGCAGTCACACAAAGAGTACAAAAGTTTTGCACAAAATGCAGAAACTGAAAGGGAAGTAACAAAACAGTTTTTTTCGCAGTCGTTCGTCGTGGGTTATTGAGCTCTTCCTTGAATGGCTTGTCTAACTGCACGGGTTTTTAGCGCGCACGATTTTTCTAATTAGCACCATTCATTAGAGGCACATCCTATTATGGTAACGCAAACGGCAAATTAACATCTGGGTTCTCTCATTTTTTAAGTGTTTACCAAATATACACGCTATTTTAAGCGCTTTATGTGCATGAAACTTTTGGACTTTCTAATAACGCGAGATTTACATCTTTGAGTGTTATCTTAGCCCTTTAGGTTATCTGTAAAGTAGCCGTTAGTGCTTTAGATCGTTTATTACACGCGGCTATAAAACACAACCAAATGAGAATAAAAGTGCCAAGGCTTTTTGGCAATAATAGTGAAGTTGGAATTGTTGGTGAAGTTAGTAGACGTTGTAATAATAGGCAGTGGTACATTAAACAAGAAGCTATTGAGATCTAAGATTCTGGTACTCTTCTCCCAGTTAGTTCAGTTCAAGCTATCTGCCCCCTTAACGTCCCAATACTTTAATACAACTTCGGACTCCTGCCAAGTTGTGTAGTTTTTATGCCGTTTTACGTAAGTATCAATCATCGGTCGTATGAACAAAATGTTGGGTACACATCAGGTAATCACATCTTGCCCTAGCTTGTTCCTCCATTTCCAATACAAATTGTCTACAGGATCGTCTTGCATGTTTCAGTTCATTTTGTTGCTTAAAGAACTCATATCATAAGGTTGGTGAAAACTTAAAGAAAGATTATTATACGTTGATGCTAGCGTAAGACACATTAATGAGATGGGAGCCCCTTCGCGTAGATTCCAACCTCAGATTTCTACGAAATGACGGAGAAATTCGTGTAGCGATTTAGTGATTTTCAATGCACTAGGTTTAAAGTATTTAGAAGCTCAACCGTGGAAGATTTCCCCCTCGTATACGTTTGATATATATTTCCTGCTCGTAAACAAGGGAACCAAAGAGTTCTGAAATGAGGAGGTCAAGTATTCCTTTTTCGCTAGATTGTAAATGAAAGGGACTACCTTTGCTAAAGAAACTATAACTACGAATAATAATTTTTGTATCAATTAAGTTTTGTATGTTTTCTTTTTTGCCAGAGAAGCAATGTCCCAAAGCTTGATTAAAACTGGGCATAAAGGCTTTCTTTTCGGAATTTTCATATTTTTAAGAACAAACCGTAACAAGAAGAAGAGTTTTGTTTGTGAAAATTATACTTTAAAAAGGAGCTGAAGTAAGCTCCTCTAACTCCAGTCAAAAGTTTGTTCGGTGCTCTCAGTGATTTTTTTTTTTACACAACGAGGGCAGATTCACGAAAGAACAACAAACCGACGCCATTTATTCTATTCCTTGCAATGACTGTGATAACGAATACATCGGACAGACCAAACGCCAGTTTGGTACACGGTTAAAAGAGCACCAAAAAGCGGTTTTTCTTTGCAAAAAGGAAAATTCAGCTTTATCGGAGCATACTTGCCTAACCAACCATACAATTGGGTGGGATAATTCTAAAATTTTCACTACTAATCGGCGTTACCACCAGCGCCTTTGTTTGGAGGCTTGGCACATTAACTCCGCCCACGCTCCTTTAAATCGTGACGATGGCGGTCTGCTTCTTGACGCCTATTTACACCTCGTCAGAAAAAAGGCCGCTAATTAGTGATCGTATAAAAGTTTGTTCGGTTTAGATCTCTCAGTGATTTTTTTTTTACACAACGAGGGCAGATTTGTTTAATTTTAAGATTGTTGGAAATCTTGAAGTAGATCTTTAATCAGATGTGCCTGGAGTTTAGACGTCAGTGCCTTGACATCAGATGATGAAGGGTTGGAATCAGATACATTTTACATTTCCCAGTTCATAGACATGTACTCAAAATAGAAAGGGAGATTTTTACCTTCCATTAAGCGTTATTTGCTACTTTGTTTAATTTATCTTTTGGATCGTGTATTATGATCTTGGCAGTAGTCTGACCACACTTGCAAAAGTGATGCGCTTATTTGCGAGTCATTCGCTATGTTGTGTGATTAGAAGCGAACGTATATTGTTGAAGGAAAAAAAAGAAAGAGAGAGGAATTGTTTTGGTTAACCTACAATTTTGGGTCCTAAGATTACGTTGTTCTTGAGTATAAAATTCATTTAAAAAGAGATCGGCCTTTACACTCAAGCTCTTTGAAACAATTACAGATTTCCGTTTCGCAAATGACACATTTTTGTTTCGCAAATTACAGATTTCGAGTTTCTTTCGCAAATTACAGATTTAATTTCTTTTCGTTTCGCAAATTATAATAAGCCCTCTCTACGAACCAGCAATAAATAAAACAATGGTTAAATGATGACATCAAGGCAGCTGAGGCACGGCTGCATGCGAACGAGAGCTCTGAAATATTAGAGAACTTTTACGTCCAAGAATTCAAACTTTAAGTTCTGAAAATTTGCTCTCTTGTTTGTAATTTCCCCTCCAAAAGTTTACTGCGGTCTTTGGCAGAAGAGACATAAGAGACAAGTTTGATCTGCTTCATGGCTGCAGCTCTCTTGTATAAATCGAACAGTTCTGCTTTAGTCTTTCCTTTTCAGCCTTCACTCAGCTGAATGCCTCTCTCCCACAAATGATTTTCATCTTCCCACATTAAGTTTCAATAATTTTCGCTCATTTTCACTACCACATCACTTATTCTTCATACTGATGAGAGAGACTTGCTACTGGGCTTTTTTTTTTGGCGTCGTGATTTCGGCACCAGATTACTGATCCGCGAGAACTCGGAAATGGCGTTTTCCTTTCTTTGAACGCAATAATTTTTCGTCGGTGTTTCCGTTCTCAGAATTTTCAAACCCTAGTGATTTTAAGGTGCTTTAAAGCAGATGACAGCTACAAAGTTTTGACATACACGTGCACGTAACATACTCGTTAAAGCTATTTTTTTCGCTACGTTCTTGATGCCGTTGCCATCCTCGATTCTCCTTGTATCGACATACAGCGGTTATCCAACGGTTGTCCAGATCCTCTTTTAAAAGAATAATACTGTACATAACCTTCTCATCCCCCCCACTCTCTCTCTCTCTCCATCTCCACCAACACTGGTTTTTCATTGCGCTTTTGTGGCTTTTTTTGCGACAATATGTGAGGGTTGGGGCGGAGTTGATTTGTGAAAGCACCGGGTGGTACAATTGGCGCCAAACGTCTTACCATCAAAACACTTTTTTATGCTTTTTTGGGACATTTTCCAACCAACATTTTCTACTCAAAATTTGGGTGTAGGATGGATGAAGTATGCTTGTAGTATCAAATAACTCAAGTTTTACTTTCAACCTTTAAGGTCTTTTTTTCAAAATTCAAGTTCTATACGCATTTCGGTCAGGATTTCAAGTGTCCCATTCTGTCGCTTTAGGGTAGCAGTCATAAGAAAACCTCCTGACGTTGCTAAAATCTCACCGACGTAAGTTATAGTCCTGTCAAAAAAAAAACTATATATTTAATCACTTTTGTTGAGCCTAACTTCGTAAGAGTTGCGCTTCTTAGTCGCGGCATCAGTTAAAGTCGCACAGCATGCGGAAACCAACTTGACACATCACATCACAGAAAAAAATACGTTTCCTGGTCACGTCCTCACTGATTTAGTGAAACAATTCACTATATGCTTGTGAATGTGAGAACATCATAGCAACGTTTTCAGGCTTCACAGGAAATAAGTACGTTAAACCCAAGGCCTTGTTTATAAGCTCGTCAGTAAGAGTGTTTCTTCTCTCGCAATTAAGTTTGAGGTCTCGGGAAACGCTTGCCTGCGAGAGATTTGTTAGTGATCGTGTACCAGTGATGACTGCCATATCCTTTGCAGACCTCTCGCCTGCTCGGCCTCTCACAGAGTTGGGGAATCCTGGAGTTCTGAGTATCCCGCTGTAACAGCATTAGCAACAACTGAGCTACGAAGCCAAACTTTGAGAGCGATGGAAATTTTAGAGGAGGCGGAGATGGGGAAGGGGTTAGGAGCTCTCTCTAACTATAGAATAAAAAAACCGTAATGTTGAAAATTTTCCTTCAAATATTTTGACAGTAAGCGGAACGTATACTGTGAAAGAAAAAAACAATTTTTGTTCGCCTATACTTACGAGCATTTCATGAAGCCACTAAGTTTGTAGGATGTTGTTTCATGGTCTATCATTATCGATCATGAAAAAGCTGCTAAGCATTTACTTAGCGGCTACATTTGCGTCAGTATATCGAGAAATTCTCAGATAGCCAGCGACGCGGTAACGCTTTGCGTCGATATGATAAGAAATTTCGAGATAGCCACACGAAACAGTTTCATTCCTTGAGTAGTTGTTTTTTCAAACCCTGGCGCTTTGAAGACTTACTTCCCAGGGAAGAACCACATCTACATGCATTTTTGTGATTTTCTTGCGCTTGTTTTAAACCGAAAATGTGCAAGAAAAGAGTCCAAAAGACATGACCTTGCTGTAAAAAAGTACTCTTGTCCTTCCCACTTCTTGTTCGGTAATAAACTTAGGGGTAAGGCCTGGGTTAGGGTAAGCGCTGATGCAAGCTCGTCAATCTGGCAATTTAATTTCTGTGCACAAAGGTTATGGTTACATTTTCCCAGGTAATAAGAATGGAACTTCTCCTCAGCCTTATATATCATTCAGTCTTTTGGATCATGCCACCTTTTCAGCTACCATAACTACAACAATTCATTGAAACACATGTAAATTTAGATTTCCTTTACGTTTACTAAAAATTTCAAAGAAACAATTTAATTTCTAGTATACAATCTCATTCTTTTGTCCAGCGTCAAAGTCTGATGTATATATCCAGGGGTATGTCGGACAAACCTGATAAGTGATCTGCATTTCTCAGTATTATGAATATTACAAGAGCAGAAATGTACCACTATTGAAAAGACACGAGAAAAGTTCAGTAGTAGATTGTTGTCTATAAAGTATCATCATTGTATTTACGGCACAATGTTGTTCATTACATTCCAATCATTTGTGGAGGTCTGTCTTACAAGACAAAATGAACATCTGATTTAATGTAGTTTGGTAAGTGAAACATTTTCTGCTTGCTTGAGGTCTGCCTAAACAAATAAAAATGTGTTTAAAACGTAAAAAATTATCTCTGAACAGAAGTGAGTGGTGATTAACTACTGCTCTATTCTTCCATTGCTACAAGAAATAAAATAGATTTATCTTCATGATACACTATTCACACACTCCCTGCTTCCCCTTACAACTGGAATTTAAAAATTTACACAAAGAACTTCTTATGAGAACACTAGCTTCATTTCAAATACAAAAGTGGAATGAAATTTCCCTAAAAATGAAAGTGCCTTTTATAAAATTCGTGACAAAAACTTGAAGAGAAGTAAATGGAGCAAAATCCTCTGTAAAAATCTGATGGGAAAAGTATACTGATTGATAAAAAGAAACTAAACATATTTTGCTCTTACAGCTTCTAATACCATAATAGTCATGAAAGAAATTGTTTTGCTAAACCTATAACTAATATAGATAATGTCTCCTTAAATATATGCTTATTTACAAAGTATTTCAATCAGATCCATACAATTTTTGAACATATGAGAGCAGATAATCTAGATTTGAATGGTTAATGGATCTAAAGGTGGGATTGTAGCAACTTCATGAAACACTTGATGTGAGTACTTATTTCTCACAGTCATCAAGTTTTTGTTAGCTGGTGCACTGTTCATTGCGTTAAGTTGTAACACACAGTCATGTAGTTGTTCCTTGCTGTAGCCTGTGTAATGTACCAAAGTAGCTGTCCATTCTCCACAGTTCTTCATCATCATTGCCAGGTATAAGCAAGATGAAGCCATCATTGAGGCTCTTTTTGTAATAAATTGACCTTCAAGGAGGGAGCTTTCCAGAAGATAACGAGCCAATGTGAGTGTTTCAATGCTTACAAATGCAGCCTGAAGACAAGAATAATAATTTGCTATAATTAAAACATGAAGCACGACAATGAATAAAAAGAGTCTAGTTGGACAACTTTCTAGCACAATATGGACAGCATAAATTGCAACTTGAGCTTGCACCAGAGTGTTTTGTTATGGCAGGTTTTAACAGGCCTCTTTTTCCCAAGGAAGTAAGAAACAGAACTATGGAAACAGTGTACCACAACTTGAGATTTGTGACATCACAGTGAATTGGATTTTATTTTTGGGCTAATGATACTGGAAGGGGACAAACATCATGAAGAGATAAATTTTCTACAAGGAGGCAACAACACATTGAGGTCTGTTGTAAAACAGTTTTAATAAAGGTGAAGCTGCTTGGAATCCTACATTTCCTCAGTAAAGACTTTAGGCAAAGTCACTGAATAACATTCACAATTTAAATTTTGTGCACATTATACAATAACAATATAGGTTTTTCTAACCTTTGCATATCGTCTGAGGAATCTGTAAGGAATGGGAATGTTAATATCAAATCCCAAACTGGACATGATTTTAGTTTCCATTGCAATAAAGTGCTGTTGTTTATATGCATCATCACAGATGTAAATGAAGTCGTCCATGCATGGTGGATGTCGCTCCTAGAATGAAATAAAGGTAGATTTGATTGTTGTAGTATCTTGTACTCAGTACATTTATTATTTTACAGAAAGAATTTTGTTTAACCCCATACTGTTCCAAACCAAAGCTGTAAACAAAATGGTTATCTAAATTGTTTTTATTTTATTTAACACTGTATAACTGTTGAAGTATGGGATTATATGGAAATCTATCCATTTCAATCTACCAGTTTCAAGATTTCATTAGACTTTTTTCTACAAGTAAGATCTTCATGTACATTGCAAGTGAGTCATTGGCAGTTAAAACAAGTGCAGGTAAAGTTACTGTTTTAATTAAGCAAAGACTGTTTGGACATTATTAAAGTTTCTTTGAGGAATCTTTCACAAAATGATGTGTGTTAATACAACTTCTGATGCACATGCTAATGGAGAAAAAGAGTTGTACCTCAATTTTAGATGAGATAAGAAGAGTTGTAGCCCCAACAAGCTGCAGTTCATCCCGCTTTATTGTGTTCCCCTCAAGGAAATGATCAAGAAGTTTCACACCCAGATACAGAGTCTCATGATAAAGTTCAAAACATTCTTGAACCTCAACCAACCAATCAACCAATATGGCTCTCATCTGTGCAGTTATGTCTTGCTGATTTTCTAAGTAATTTGTCAGCGGAAAACATTCCTGAAAGTAGGAAGATAAATGATTAAGAAATTTCTGGTGATGATCCTGTCCAGTCATTTGTCTATTTAAGTTATCTTAACAGAATTAGTCTGCTCTGACTCCAACATGGACCATAAAAAAGTGAGTCTACCAAGTCTTATTACCTCCCTTTTCTTCATATTTACAAAGATCTCATTTGCATAATCTGACACAGTTACAGGATCTGATGTGTTGGCATCAATGTCAATCACTGCATCATCAGCTAATTTTCCATCCTGCAGAATAATGATAAACTCATTTATGGAAAATTGCTTAGTCTAATCAGACTGATTCATTTGTATGTATCTCTATCAAGATGAACATGGCTTACAGTTGATTTTTCAACACAAGAAGAGCATTCATTGGCTAGGAAAATTGTTTGAAAGCTAACCTGCCATCCATGATGATAAAAATTGAGACAGTTTTTTAACTTGGTTAAGTGTTAAAAAAATTTTGTTTTTTTCCTTTTCCAAGTTGAAGGTTTAACTGTTCATAAGGAAGACAACTGCTGAGAAACCATTTTGAACCGTGTTAAGTCAGTCAGGAAAAAAAAAAGAAAAAAAAAGATGCCCTGACATGTTCCTTCTCTTCATTTCCTTAGGAAAATGGGATAAAATGGTCTGATGAGAGTTATTTCACACTGGAATCATTGTCTTATGCAAGATGAAACAAAAGAGTGGGGGTTACTGATTTAGTCAATTCTGAAGACAAATGCACAGAAGTATTTTTAGTTTTTTATGTATTTGTGGATGCTAAAACTCACATTTTTATTGGAGGGTTGCTCTACCCCTGGCTTGTTGTTCTTGTTATCATCAGAGCCTAAATTACTATTTAAAAAGAAAAGACATTGTTCAATAGTAATTATTATCATATCTTACCATGAAATAATTTATTGATAATAAATGTCAGCACTCTATCACTGTCAGTTGTAATTTCAGTAAAAGAGCAAAATTCAACCAAGTATTCAAAATAATATGTGACTGCTTTGGATTTCCTTGACTTAACTGTGTGATTTGTCCACTAAGCTAAGGCCAAGTTCTTGACCAGTGACTTCTTGACCAATCAGGTTTAAAACTGAAAGGGATTGTCACCTAGAAACTCTGATTTTCCTGCACTTCAGGTAATTACTTTGTTTTTGTTTGGAGTTCTTCTTGGCTCCTTGTAATTTTTTCTACTAATTGGCTGTTATCAATACATTGGTGTTGGTTTTACAACTCTTAATTTAAATGCTCTCCAAAATATATATATATATTTATATATATATATATATATGACACAAGTGATTGGAGTCAAAACTAAGAGAAGAATACCTTAGTGGCTCTTCCAAGCTTGTTGAGGCAGAATCACTAACACTATGAGTTCTTGTAGAATCCAGACTTTCACTTGTGGTGCTAAAATATAGAAATTACATTATGTCAGTGAACACTTTCAAGATAGATATCAGTGATGACCTATTTAATTGAAAAGCCTTTTAAATTTTACATCTCATGCACTTCTCAATTACATTTTTCTTTAATAGTCAATTTGGCATTTCAATATTTAGCTTCAAAGTTTAGGTGAAGTTCTGACATTTCTATAATGCAATGGCCAATCTAAATTTTTTATTGATAATTGTGTGATATAGGTTGATAAATATTTGAATTATTAGAATAGCTGAGAAATAAATATAAAATCAATATCCCTGTATATATATTACCGATAGCTTTGGATTCAAATCAGTATTTTACATACTTTCTTTCGTGATCAAGAAATTGAGTAATCACTGTCAGAATTTGTACTGCGTGAAAAGATAATAAGAATGCTGGCTTAGTATCTGTCAAGAACTAACGAAATGCAAGTTTTTAACCTTGCAGATATTTTCAAATTATCTTGGTAATGGGAAGATTCTTCGCTCCAGTCTCCATAGCCTAAAATATCACCAGATGGCGACGAAGGCTGAGATTTCACTGCGGAGACTAACGGTTTTCGATCTTTGATGGGCGAATCTTTTTCTTTGCTCCTTCTGTTTTGTTTTACTTTTGCACTGGTCTTTGTGAAACATTGTCTCTGTTCCGTGTCTTTTCGCACGATGCTGTTCTTCGGTTGCTTCTTTTTCCCTCCTTTCTCAGGCTGGTTAAAAGTCGCCTAAGAACCAAAAGTAAAATATTTTAATTGTGGCTTCAAGGGAAGTACAAAAAGGAATATCCTATAGAATACGTTCAAGAACATGAGAAACTTTTCTCACATTTGTAATATCACCAAAAGCTGCTCTTTTTCGTGAAGGAACGTTCTCCGGAGAACCATCTGCTGGTCGCTTTGTCTTCTCAGCGGCTTTCTCCTTAAGATGAGCAGGAAGGTCATTTTCACCTAAAGAACAATCCTGCTGGAAAGAAATCACACAAAGCACAACATAAGACCTGTTTCAACAAGGGATGACATGGAAGTCTAACATTTCAGACATTCTACGTACTAGGAGGAAAACGTCTTCGAGTTCCTTTTGTCACTGACCTTGTGTTTCTTGTTAAACACCGAAATTGAAGGTTTCGAGCGCGTTTTAACCATCTTCACTAAAGAGTATGTAAAATTTCTTTCAAAATGAAACCTTGTCGACTGTTATTCAAAATACCAATAAATTTTTAAAAGACTTCTACTCAGTTCGTCTGTACTTTTATCTGTGCAGAAACGATTTGGATTTTGCGGGTTTAAACCACGCGATATTTAATTGGCCAAAGAATTATACATCAACCAATCAGAATGATCTCCATGATACGTTTCTATGAAAACGAATGCCTCGCTCTCAAGTAGTGCGACCGCTGAGTAATAAACGTACGAGCCGACGATCCTCTCAAACTTGGAAAGGCCAAGGATAATTAAGTGACACGTTTCAGGCTCTCCTGCGTTAAGAAATTTAAGTTTACATGGATTACAGACCATTTATCTATGGAGGATTAGCCTCTATGACTGCTGAATTTGGTGAGAAGATTGATGTTTTTGGTAACTGTTTTGCGCCTGAATGAGCTTCTCGTTTTCACCGATTGAAGGTCGAAGGCTTCTCAGACCTCTAAGATATATAGAAGACGAGGTGACTTTACATTTTAGTGTTGATTTCCGAATACATCCCAATTATTGTCTTGTGAACTCAGGTAATAAATTTCTATCGTTCACTCTACCTCTACAGCGACTCTCCCTCAAGGAATGAAATGTGAAGGTGTAGTAGAGAGATGGGAAGGGAACGAGAGGCGCGGCGCGGGGGGGTGGAGTGGGAAAGGAGGAAGCCAACGTGCAATAGATCAGGAGGTGTAGCTGATAAAGAGTGTTTGTACTTTGCAGCTCAGTAAACATCCACTGCTATCCACCTCCACTTCAGTGAACAATTTTTAAATGTTGAGTTGGAGAAAAATCTGGGGGTAGGGAATAGTGGGGCTGCTGCCAGAGCCATTGAGGAAGTGACACTCTAAAGGAACTTATGATAAAAAAGAAGCAAACACAAACAAAACTATTAGTTGAAGGGGAGATTTACTTTTATTAATGGCATGAGACATGGCAAGTAATTTTCTAATGTTATAACTAGTGAGTATCAACATTCAAACACCTAATGAGCCAAGTTCTATGCAGAACTGCCTTGAAGAGTGAGGATACCTTAAACCCTTTAACTACAATGATTGATCAAGAGAGAATTTCTCCTAACAATATCAATTCATTATGAACTAGACAAGTTATGAGAATGAAGAAAAATATCAATTAGGGGATTATTTGTTGATCCATCACCAAATTCTTTAAACTTACATCATGAGAATTGTATGAAAGACAGTTAGGAGAATTACTGGTGGGATATTTGGAGTGACTGAATAAATACACTTTCTTGCTTGCTCATGTCCATAAAAGGTGCAACAGTGGTTGTTCAAGATGCATGAATAAGGACACTTAAAAGAGTTAGACCAAACCACCTGCTTCAATTTTTTGCTCCTGTTTCCCATTGTTGTAGTAGACCTAAAGGCCAGCAATATGGTTGGGAACATATATGTTGAAAATTTTTCTATGATGTTTTGTCACAGGAACATTTCCTATTGACACAACAAAAACACGGCTACAGCTTCAAGGTCAGGTGATAGATGCTAAACAGAAAGAGATCAGATATCGAGGAATGCTCCATGCTTTTGTCAGAATTGCCAGAGAAGATGGGATCAAGGCATTGTATAATGGGTTTGTCCAGAACCAATTTAGGGTCAATCAAAAATAAATCAAATAGTGGAGATTAGTCAAGCTCTGCCACAGTATCTTTTAAACAACATCTAGCATAGATCTGCTAGATTTGAAACAAATTACCAGAACTTTGTAGCAATGCTTACTGCTGACTTTTCGAGGGAAACCAAATTGCCATTGACACTTCATTTGCTACTGTTTGTGTATTTATAAAATCAAATGATTAGGTAATGATATTCTTCATTACCACATTCTCTTGTTTTCCTTCAAATCTGTCTCATGTCAAAACTGTACAGTTTTGTTACACATTTTGTTCCTTTTGAGATTTGATAATAAGTTATTGACATAGAGTTTTCCTATAAATTGATGTGAATGTAGATTTGTCTTAGAGGTTTTTAAGAGCAGTTATCTAGAATTTCTGTGGGAGAAACCCCTATTTAGAATTTGAAATTCTCTTTCCCTATGACTAATGCATGTCTATTAAAAGAAAAAATAAATTTAGCTAACTAGCTTCTAATTAACTGACAGTTGTATCAACTTTTCTTTCACTGTAATCAGGGTAGCACCTGCACTTTTGCGCCAAGCAACCTATGGATCTCTAAAGTTAGGCTTCTACCATGCTCTGAAAAGAAGGCTGGTAAAAAACCCAAAAGGTAAAAACAAATAAGGAAGTGAATGTTGATATCATTCTGAAATGTTTTTTTATCTTTGATTTTTCTTTCTTTTCCTTCTGCAGATGAGACTTTATATTACAATGTAATTGCAGGGGTTGTTGCTGGAGCAGTCTCATCAGCCATATGTAACCCTACTGATCTTTTAAAGGTAAATGAATGAACCCTTTTACTCCTGAAAATGAATAATAATTAGAATAAATAATTAGAATACTAAAACTTATCAGGTACAAGTTGTTATCTTGATCTTACCCCAGATTCCTGCAACTAATTTAGAAGAAAATGTATAGCAGTGAGAAGAGAGAGTTATCAACTAGTTCTTAAAAGATTGATTACAGATATTGGTTGCCTATGTGAGGGGATCAAAAAAATGTCCAAATACTGAAAAAAAAGATACTTATAAACATTTTGACAATCCATGCATTTTGAAGGTGACTCTGTGGATCCAAACATTTTGCTGACGTGTCTCTGCTTTGCCACCAGTTTTAGAGCAGATCAAGCTTTTTTATGACAAGGTCATAAGCCTGATATTAAAAGCAACATATTTGTTGCTAGGACATTGTGATCTTTTTCGTTTTCATTATGTATATCTTCCCTTGCTATGTTGCAGATTCGTATGCAGGCAGAGTATCAATCAGTTGTCAATGTAAGAAGAAAAGGAATGCTCCAATCTTTTGCTTCAATATTTAAAGAGGAGGGAATCAGGGGACTCTACCGGGTAATTTGCAAAATATTATTCAATTTTTGCTCAGGGAATTAATTGCATAGTAACAAGAGTCTTCGTCAGCAATGTTGTGTTACAATTATAATTATTATTAATCGGAACTCATCATGCTATCTCTTCTGGTACTGTACTCATTGGATTATTTAAATTGAATTGATTCCTTTTTTTCAGTCATGTTATTTTATACCTCAATTTAGACTTGATTTTGTTTCAAGTGTTTTATCTATCAGTATTATATGTAAGACTATATTGTTCTTGTGTGAACTGTTTTTTTTTTCTGCTTTTTTTTTCTGTGTTTTCTTTAGGGAGTTGGTCCCACAGCTCAAAGAGCAGCAGTTATTGCAGGAGTAGAACTTCCAGTTTATGATTGGTGTAAAAAGAAAATTTTGGATCTCAAGATTATGGGTGATAACCCTTACACTCATTTTTGGTAATTGTAAAATCAGTATAAGTGGCATAACTTGTCCTAATAACACTCAGTGTAATCAAATTAAATTAATGATAAATAGAGAGAATGATGACATTACCTCACCCAATTTCTGTTTCTCGAAATTTTTACTCTGGCTACAAATAGATGAATCAATGCCAATTTGCCCATTTTTTCTTACCAAAAAAGTCACATGCATGTCATATATTTCATGTGATGTTAATTTACTATAAACACTGTAACACCCAGTTTTTCATTCACCAAGATGTTTAACATTTATGGCATAATTTTGTTATCAATAATAGGATAAATGAATGTTATATTCATTTTTTTTTCAGTGCTAGTGGAGTTGCTGGACTGGCAGGTGCTATAGCCTCAAATCCAATAGATGTTGTGAGGGTCAGTTGACCAAAGGACAAAGAACCATTTGCTATTTGAATATTTTTAAGGAATTTGTCTTGAACTCTTTGAGTATGTAATATTGTTTCACTGATTTGTCTAGACAAGAATGATGAATCAAAGAAATCTGAAAGTAAACACTGGAAGTGCAGCTGTCATCTACACAAGTGCTGCCCACTGTTTGCTTACTGTGAGTAACTTTTACTCTTAATCATGTGATTTATTTTATCCATGTTATTGTCTTTATTCCTATTGTCAGTTCTACTTTAACTGCCTTGTTTATTGTTGGTTATTTAATTGCTATAAAATCTTTCCAGTGTTGGATCCCAAAGCTTATTCATTAGGATTTCATGTTGCAAAACAATATTAAGATACTAACTTGTTGAGGCATGAACAACTTGTGATGCTCAATCTGGTCTGGTAGAGGAGCAGAATCCTCTATCTTCTCTCTTTCTAGTGTTGCAGCTAACCATCAGTCCAATTTATTGAGTACAAAATTTATCTGAGTAAGAACAAAGTTTGAATTAAACATTGAGAAAACAGTGTGAATTGTCATGCAAACTCACAAAATGGACTTCATCTTGGTGTATTTAAAATCAAGAAAAGTATTCTGACCAACTATGATTCTACACTAACACTTTCTTTTAACTGTGGGCCAACCAGAATTTATATTTTGACCAATTTCTGATCTGTAGTTCCAGAACAGAGCTAAATACAGGCTTCTTAGGCTTTTACTCGTTCTTTTCAACTTTCCAATTATGATTCAATACTGACACCTTCTATGAACTGTGGGCTAGCCAGTATTTCCTTTTTTAACCAATTTCTGATTTGTAGTTCTAGAACAGAGCTAAATGCAGGCTTTGCAGGCCTTTACATTTAAACTTCCCTACCTTTAGATTTTAGCCCTCTCATTACTGGAAATGATATTTGTTCTTTGTTGAGAAAATTTTTATGCCATTTGTTGTGTTTTATTCATTTACTTTTCATCCTTCATTGACAGACTTTGAGGTCTGAAGGATTTTTTGCTCTCTATCGAGGATTTGTACCGCAGTTTCTGAGGTTATTTCCATGGAATGTTATTGTATCCTTTGTTGATCTTCTAGTCCTTGGAGTTTTCAGAGTGGTTTATTTAATGTTTGTGGAATACTTTAATTGTCTCTTACCAATAATTGTTGTCTTCACATTTTGTTTTGGGTAGTATCACCAGTGACTGTTTCAATTTTATTATTTTTTTATTAATTTAGTAAAGTTGGAATTTGACACTGAATATTGCTCATGTTTCTTTAACTCTTGTCAAGTTCTTCATGTCATATGAACAGTACAAGAAGTATGGAAATGAAGTGTTATCATAGCAAGCTAATGATTTGCTCTGGTTTGATGTTAATGCTGACATTCCAGTGAGGCCTTGTGGTGAATTTCAATACTTATAAACGAGGACTAAATTTCATGCAGTTGTTTATCATCATCAGATAGTAGTGGGAATGTGAAAATAACCAATAAGATAAAAAGAAAGAAAACAAAGAGATAGACAAATTGAAGAATAAATAATTGATTAAAATCCACAAATTACAACATTGATTGGGACTTTTTAAACTCTCCAAATGATTCTACTAGTTTCATTAGTGGATCGTGATATGATTGATGACAGCATCAAGTGCAGTTTGCATGTTATTGAGAAGCACAGTTTTTTAGAAAAAACCATAAACTAAATAAATTTGCACAAATCAGCAAATGAGAAAAATGATATTTATTGTCATATTCATGAAAATAATCAAATTATTTTGTTTGATTCAAAAAGTTCACGTATTTAATTATGAAGTTGATTTATGTCAGAAATCTTTGGTGCAGATTTCACTGCATTTAGCAGTGGAAGATGTTAGCAACATGTCACACCTCTTTTGTTCTGAACTAATCACTCTTTTATGGGATAATGTCCTGCAATAGAAGTCACATTGTAGTAATCTACAAACTGTCCCTGTGTGGATTCACACATACAAACATGGTAAAAACACCAGTTAATTTATTTTCCTTGAAAAGGAAAATACTGTTGGTTCCATGTTAATGTTATTAGGAGTGTTATTAGGCCAACTCTTTCACCATGTTTACTTTCAAATGGTTCAGTATCTGATTAAATTAATTTTTGGTTTCTCAATTACCGGTAAATTTTTAAAATAAGCAAATTTTTACTGTGATGGTGACTTACTATTGTTTTTTTCCACAAAAAGTATACATTTAGTACTATTTGTTGTACCTGGTCATCAATTTATGCAAATCGTTTTCTTTCTTTCTTTTTTTTTTGTCAAGTTTTAAGCTTATCACCTTTTATCTAAAATCCTTGAGCTTCACTCAGATCTGAGCTTAACTCTAATGTTGATATAATTATAATACAATCCATTTTCACTTAATTTCAATTTACCTTTTCTGTCAAATAAACACTGAATAATTGAACTAACCCTCAGTTGTATTATTTTGTTTGCTTCGTCATTGATCATGGTTCGTCATTTTCATTTATATTTAACTCATTTACTAATTTACAGAAGTTTTTTTCAAATTCCTGTACTACTTCTCTGGGTTTTGGAAGAACGCATTCATCCGCATAAACTCCGACGCGAATTTCCCCGTTGTAGCTAAATATAGATAACCCCACACCAATATTTGCTCTCATAGGGACCCAGAAAATTCCCTGAGTAATTTTCTGACCTCCCAGGTATAAAGTGTGCTGAGGTCCAGGTACATTGCTTAGGACACACGACATCTTCCTGGAAAAGAAATCGATGAGTGGCTTGGACACACATTCAGGCAACATCATTAACATCTGTACCGTTGTAGCTGTCACTAGAGGCTCGGCAGATGCCTTGATAATATCCATGCGTTGTTTGGTCGCAAGGAGTCTGTCTAATGCGTTTTTGGCCACAATCGGGAGCCGCAGGAATACCAAGGCAAATTTATTCTTGAGCTTGACTGATTGTGTCGATGCCCGAATATCTACCGGCACTGAGGCCCACATATCGTCGAGTTTGACAGCATCACTGTTGGGTTGGCTGTGAAGGTAATCATTCAAAGCTCCTGCTAAACAGGACACCATCACGTCATTTACTGTAGTACCAGCCACAGTCTTGACTCGTTTGACAAGCGATAAGTCAATGTTCTTGGACCAAGCCACAAATTTCTTGCCAGAAAGGTCTTGACCGTGAATACAAGAGTGGTCCGCTCTGGAAAAAAACTTAATGAGTACCGTCAACGGACCAACAAGAATAGCTTTACACCACATGTAAAATCTTTGTTTAGTAGAGAACTTCTTTGGTTCAGGTCCTTGTGGTGGTACATCGTAAAGATTTTTAACAAACACTCTCGTCAAAGCAACTCCATCAGCAACACTGTGATGAACACGAAGTAACAGGCCAAAGCTGTCTTCCTCGACTATCGGCACCACAATAAATTGCCAGGGAGACAGGCTCTGAGGTAAAGGACTCGAACAGAGTTCAGATACAACTACTTCCAGATCTTCCATAGACTTTGGGTTATCTCCTTTCCAATTCAAAACCTGGTTTTCCATTTCGAAATTCTCATCTTCCTTCCAAACGAAGTATCCGAAATGTTTTTGTATGACTTGCGTGAGCCGTGGGCAAATCCGTTCACCCCTTTCATCTATTCCGTAAACAAGCCGTTCGTAAATAATTCTGCGGAGTTTCTCGATGTCTGGCAAACCTTCAATAATCATCAGAGCGTTGATGATATGACGGTTTGTCTCTCGGTCCTGCTGCCAGACGGCATCATCTTCACGAAAAGGAATGCAATTCCATTTGAAGGCGATGTAACTTTCCACGATGTATTTTGCTAATTTTAAAATCGCTAACCCAACCAGCAAAAACGGTATAACTAGACAGAACAGAAGGCATGTTACTGCGCACTCCAGCTGGTAAATTACAGCAGCAACTGCGATGGCCATTACAAGGTTTAAACCTTTGAAACGCTTGTGATATGGTAAAACAAAGGCTTTGAATTTTTCCTCATTTCCTTCTCGCTTCTCTTCAGGGACTTGAAACGGTTTGCATGAGATCGACGGGAAATGTCCGCAGACGAGAGCAGCTTGCGAAGTGGTGGGCGAAGTACTTATGCAGTCTACCTTCATTTTGCATGCAGTTTATCTCAGTGACGAGATAAAAGAATAGAGGTTTCTTATCACTTTCTGCCCGGCCACAGAATATGTTCAAAGTTATTAAGTTCTCTGAGCGATGCAAAACGAACATCAGGTATTGCCACCAGTTATTACTCTTATATGATTGGTCGTGCAATGTGGTGCGAGTGTCATGTCTATTTTTCTATTTTTACCAGTAAACATCTCTCAAGACATCGGGGTAGAGTGGTCTCATGAAAATCACGCCGTCTCGTCGATTTTCACAATTTTAAGGTTATCACATTCAGCTTTTTGTGTTGTTATTCTGCCTGCTTTACGTATTTCCATTTATGTATTTTACTTTTTTTTATTTCTTAACTTGCTTTCTCCTTGAATGTTTGGTTTGGATAAATTTTTCATGGAAATGAACAACTGTGGTTTTCATCATGATCTGGTTTTATTTTGAGAAGTGTATTAGTCAAAGCTACGAATCTTTTTTCTGAATGGTTTGATTAATTTATAAATCCTACTTTTAAGAACGAAGACTTTGACACATATTCATGAATTTTAAAAACAGTGTTGTATTTATTACTAATTTATTAGTCAAGGCTCAGCCGCCAGATTCATGAAGGTCGCTCGAGTCTTATGACGCCTCAGGCCATCTTCACGTGCCGAACTTGTGAAAATATGTTGTGCTCTGTACAGTTTAGTTGCCTTTGTTACACAAGTAAAGATAATTTTTGAAACTGTTTTTGAGGGCAAAAAACATATTTCTGAAACAAAGTTCTCATCGGAATGAAAAATCACAGCAGCTGAGTTGGTATGTCATGGATATGTGTAGGCCTTCCTTGTCTACTCAGTCTATCTACTTGGAACTTGATAGTTTTTACGCATCAGTGACCTCCCTGGTCGCCTAGAAATATTATTTTCAAGATAGCCCAACATGGAATGTATTGTTTCATCATTTACTTAGCCGGTGTGGCGATTTCTCGATTTGGCAGCGACGACAAAATACCAGCAGACGATTTTAATAAAAACAGAGTTTGCGCCGTTCTACCCCGGTGAAGTCACATTTCGCCTTCTCCCCTCCCCTCGTCCCTTAACTGTTAGCAGTTGTCAACGCAACAGCGCCATTTCAAAACATGTCTTTCCATGGCGCTCTTTGATGTAACTCCAGTGTTAGAAGGTGCAACAAGTCTTCAAGGAAAACTAGAAGATGCCATTGCAAAATCTAAGCTTCTTCTTGAAGCTGTTGAAGGTTCTCAATCAAAGTACACTGAGTTGAGTGACGAATATCCTGTGCTTCGAAGTCTGAAGGGTAGACTAGCTGCATCACAGGGGCCAAACGAAGCTTTATCTACAGAACTCGTCAAATTCAAATTAGACCTTGAATCTTTTGTGGAAGATGTATTTAATGCTCACGATCAAGTAAGGAAGGATTTTCAACTTTGGGCAAACGAGCTTGAAAGAGATAATGCAAAACTACGCCGTGAAAGAATGGACTTGGCGAACGAACGAAGAAAGCTTGAGGTTGATCGCAGAGATTTTGATGCTAGGTGCCCGGCAGCAGCAAAGGAAGAACAACAAATCACTGAAGCACGAACGGTTACCAGTACCGACGACACAGACGAGAAATTAGTTATTGCTGTAAATAACAACACAGAACATCATGAGGAAAATGAACAAACTAAATCTGAATCACCTTTTGGTAAGTTAATACCTCGTTGTCGATGCAATTCTTTATTACAGTTATTAAAACTCCCATTTTTGGTTGATAATTTGAACAGCTGTTATCCAAAGTGGTTATTTTTCAAAAAACCTTCTCAGAAAATGTTTCATTTTACAATTGTTTTTTAAATGAAATTATTTTATTAAAAAAATGTCCTTTTGTAAGACCGAAATCTTAAATATCATATGAAATCATATAAGCAATGGAACTTTTGCTCTTAATTCTTAACCCTTCAACTCACAGAAGTGACAAAGATGTCACTTCCTCCTACATTATTTATATGTTATCGAGGAAACAGGTGATGAGAATACTCAACGTTATATGGTAGACGTGTTTGTCTTTATTCAGCACTAAATTTTCAGATCAAATTAAAAAGAAAAAGTGCAACAGCTAGTGGGGAGAATTAACAATCCATCACGAGCTGAGGACTTATGATGCAGTAGCTTTTTGAATGCAAGGAGGACTCCATTGCTCCTTACACCTGGGAAGGAAGAAATTTTTATAGCGAGTTGAGTCTGACTAAGTTCATATCAGTTAACTTTGTTGGATTGCTATTTAAATCTTTTATCTCTGTTCCCATTTTATTTGTTTTAGCAACATGTCATGTTGAATGCCAGACAGAAGCTGAGGTGAATTCAGTAGAGGAGCCTGGTGGAGAAGACATCCAAACTGCTGAGGTGAGATTATGCAGCTGTAGCACAAATAATGTTTTTCCTCTTTTTCATGTATTTTTCTTATCCAAATTGCAATTATGTTTTAAAATAGAATGAATATGATGATAAAGTAGTCTTGTTTTTGTACTGAATTTGTTTTGGCAGACCATCCCAGGAAAGGATGAAGAAGAGAAACTGGAAATGGAAAATCATCAGTTGTTGCAATGCAGGTCTCAAATACACACAGCATCCATTGGTAGAAATCAGCGCATTCTTACTGCTCCAGTGTCCAGAGCAAAAGCTCTGCTTCTTAAAAAACAGGATCATGCATTAAGGATACACAAGGTGAAATTAAGGTTTTAGTTTCATTAAGCACTGAGTAGGTTTTCCTTTGGCACATTTCACAGCCTGATCTTCATCAATTTCCATCATTTCAAGTTCTTAGAGCTCAGATTTTCCAACTTTAGTTTTCATCAGTTCATCTGACAGGGTCAGTTTAAGAGTGTTACTTGTTTTATGGTGATATAGCTATTATTAGCATGACTGGGAAGAGGTAAAACAAGCGGCCTATCCATAAAATTATTATACCATGACAAGCAACCTGATTGTTTCAGATGCTACTTGATGATATCTATAAGACGAAAGAAGAAAACCAACTTCTCAAGGCTGAGAACTCTATACTGTCAAAGAGAGCAAATGAAGCCACCTCTGAGTTATTTCGCCTAAAGGTGATAAATTTATTTACCTGTGGGTGTTACATTATTTTGCCATTACCTGAAATTGTCAATTTGATTCACAGAGTTAGTAGTGATAGTAGTTCACCTGCATAAGCACTAATGTCAATGCAGTATAGTATCTGCATGTCACCCAGATGAGCAGTAATTGTTCATTTTTGATATTAACAATAATTGTTAATATCAAAAATGAACAATTACTGCTCCAAGTTTCTCACATCTTTTGATGAAATAATGATCATGAAACCTTGTGAAAAATAAAACCCAATTTAGAGGCAAAAGTGAATTTACTTAAAACACTGTACATGCCCTGACCTTGCTTGCAACAATAACACAAAATTTTGACGAAAAGAGGCAAAGGAAGGCCATAAGAAGAGTCACTTCAACGGTAAAATCTCCCAACCTATTTTTGTGATTAAGGTGGATCAGGGTTTTTAAGGTGTTGCTTCTTGTTGACATATTGGGATATTTTAAGTTTAACTGATGGTAACTCATTTTTCTGCAGAACAAAATGACAGTAAACATGTCTGATAGGGATGAGCTGTACAAGAAATTGCAGAAATCAAAGGAGCAGGTATCATTTCTGTATGGGGGGGTGGGAGGAATAATTTATTATATTCATAATTTCTATATTTACAGTGAGGTTACTAAACTTGTATGTCACAGTGGAACTCAGAAACCTCATTTCAGTTAGTCTCTTGCATGGTCTTTTCATAAGCCTTATTCCTCCTTGGTTATCTGTCTCTTTCTCTCTCTTTATTTATTTTTTTCTACTATTAATTCAGCAGTTTTTCTTTACTTTGAGTAATTAAAAATAAAACATTCACAAATTTTTTTAGTTTTTTTTTGCCAACCAGCCATGTTCACTGTTAACTTAAAAAGCTGAGGTCCTGTATAATTGTCAAAGCCTGTGAGATGAAACCTTTTTTTTTCAAATTTAGCTTGTATCATTTTGTATCATTATTAGATCCTAAAACTTGAACAAACGCTGAAAAGACAAGCTCTTGGTCTGGTATCCAATTTAAAGGAACAAAGACAACTAAAAGAGGAAATGAGGTGGAGCCAGGTAAGTTGGTGAAACCCAAAAGTCTGCATGTAATCTGAGGCCACACATGAAGGTAGCAAAGAGGACGGGGTGTGGAGAGGAAGCAGGCTGGAACAAGAGAGGTGGAATGATTGAAGGGGTAGGTTGAAAGTGGATATGGATGCATGGTGGACAGAGCAAATGAATAGAGGGATAGGGAAGGGAGAGGATGCACACAAAGAAGTGGGATAAGGTGAGGAGATGAGTATCTAGAAAAGGAGGGTGAGGATTGGACACCATTAGAAGAGTAGGTTAAGTTTAAACAGAGAGGAAGGAACACAAATAGAGTAGCTGAATGGGAAGGAGACATGAAAGTGGCACCAGGGTAAGGGTCATTAGGCATAAATGTTTCTATGCTTGTGTATAAAATAGGTGCTAATCATTTGTCTTTGTTTGTTGTAGATCTTTGCTCTTCCTCTTAACCAACATTCCAGTCAAACCAGAAGGATTCCACGAGAAAGACCATCTACTAGGGGGCGCTAAATGTTTTGTCAGACCATATGACTAATATGTAAAACTGGGGAAATTTTCAACATTCCTAGCTTGTTCTCAGTCATTGGAGAAATTTATCCATTGCTTGACATGTACAGAGAAAGTGAACTGATACCAAGATAACGCATAATTTACAACTGAGTTGAAAACCATTCTCTGTTCAGTACTTCTTAAAAATATTTATGTTAAACAACCTTTTGAAAATGATATAAAGCAGTCTAAATTTAAAATTGTTCTTGAAATTATTTATCTGATTAAGTGTTAAAAAAAGAAAGGAAGGTTCAGAAAAGTTAAACTTGAAATACTACAGACGAGGAGCTGATGCTCGAAATTTCAGCTTTTAAACTCTTTACAGTGGCCGATTTAAGTTATCAGCTCAGTTGATAATACTTAATTACCCAGTTATACTCTCCCCCATGACACAGCACCACAGTTTCCTTAGAAGCTTAGCCCCTTAATTCATTTTTTGAAAGCTTTCTTACAAGAAATGTATACATTTTAATTGTAGTATATTTATATACATTCATTGGTTTATTTATTCAGAGATGCAATATTGATTAAAACTAATTTAGGTTCCTTTTACTAAAGTGTGAATTATTTATCAAGATCCCATGTATTCTCCTGAAGACCTATCTGCTTCTCATCTTGAGGTGGGCTGAAAACTGAGGGAATTATATCAATTTGGTTATTAAAGCCTTGCCAGCTTTTCTTCCCTCTGTGGTTCTTTTGCTTTGTTTTGCTTTGTTTTTTCTCAAAATAATGGGGGAGAGGGTGAGGGCAGGGCCCCTGGGCCCCTCCCTTAGATCTGCCACTGGTAGACTATTATTTATCTGACTATTTCAAATAATCAATAATCCGCCACTGAGGTGGGAGAGGCGTTTTTTCGTCGTTAGCCCTGCCGGCTTTTCTTCCTTCTGCGATACTTTTAATTTTTTTTTCAACCCAAAATAAGGGGGGGCGCGGAACCGGAGCCCCTAGGCCCCTCCCCTAGATCCGCCACTTGCTTTGATCAACCACAGTACGTGTAACATTTCGGCTATTTCGTGTTAAATATATCGGTGGCAGATCAGGGAAAAAGGGCACGAAGGGCGAGGTCGAACTCCTTGAATTGAACTAGCTATCGTCCAAGAATTGCAAAAAAACTCAAAATTTGGATGCAAAGTGGTAACACTGACGGACCTCGTACTGGCGGTTGGCTCCGGCTCATGTTCCATACCCGCCATTCGCAAAATCCGCTCCTAAACCAACCCTGACTTAAGGCTAAAAGTGCCTTTTAGTAATGTATGTTTATTTTCCTCTTCGTTTTAAATGAATTCTTGTTCGCCTCTTGAAAAAGAGGCGAACAATGTCTGCCAATACTTATCCAATCAGAGGGAAGTTTACATTTGGATGCAAATTTATAGTCATTCATTGCTCACTGACGTACATTTACCGTGAAGGGTGACAGAGGGCACTATCTCACGCTATTAATACTATTTTTATTTTCTTACGGGGAACAGTTTAGACGTCACTTACTCGCTTATTTCAATCTACGAAGTTAGGGTTTATAGTTACAAGGGTGAGATGTCTCGCGTTTTGGTGACAGGTGCTTCGGGTTTCCTTGCAAGCCATGTTGTGAGGCAGTTGCTCGAAGCCGGACAACACAGGGTTCGTGGAACAGTTCGTAGTCTTGCAAACGAGGAAAAAGTGGGTCCTCTGAGACACCTCTGCCCAGAATATGCCATGTATGAACTGGAACTGGTCGAGGCAGACCTGATGAACAAAGACTCTTGGCAGGAGTAAGAAGATCAAGCTTTTAATTCAATTGTTATGTTTATTTGTTGGTTTGCAACAATTTCAATTTGTTTAATTTACAGTAAGTGGTATTTATTTGGAAACATGATTCTGTGCATTATTCGTTCGCGAAAATTTTGTTTTCTCCACACGCCCGAAACAGCTGTCAGTTAAACTAAATACCTCGCCCCACCTGGCCCCTTCCTTATTGTTCTGATCGAACTAAAAACTTTGCATAAATTACGCCATTAGAATTTTAAAACTTAGCTGTTGATTAAAAAAATGACCATAAAAATGACCATAAAAATGACCTGCAACAGGCCTGTTTCATAATAATAATTAAAACTGTTATAAGTTATGCATAGATGAGCCTGTGGGAGTGTGATTAGGTTTCAACTCTCTTAATTGACTTCTATTCAGGGCTGTCAAAGACTGCACATATGTAATTCATGTGGCATCACCCTTCCCAGCTGTTAATCCAAGCAATGAAATGGAGGTTATAGGACCTGCAGTAGAGGGAACTAAAAATGTGCTCCAAGCATGTGCTCAAACCAAGGGTGGAGTTAAAAGAGTTGTTTTGACAAGCTCTGTTGCTGCAATTTATGGTAATTAAAACCCCATTCAAATAATTATGATGACCATGATAGTTGATAATAGGTGCAACTCTGTCGTGCACTTTTGATCTCAAACTACCATGCACTATCATCGACTATCATCAACTGTCATTAGTTTCTACTTGTACAAATTTGACATTATAGTTGATGCTAGTTTTTGGTGTTTGAACAAGTGCATTATGGTGTGTGATAATTTTGCTTTCAGTAGTTCTAACCTGTGGATACTAGATCAGAATCTTTTCTCCCATGTCCACCAGCTGAGGCCTCAGATCAATTTACAGCTGTATGATGCTTTATGATGTTATATTCTGACGAAGACTACTGGAGAAAATTTTGATTCATAACTTATTGGCCCAGTAGTATTTCATTGAGGTTCATTTTCATGATATTTTTTAATTTCACAGTAACTTTAATTAAATATTTGAACCCAAAATATATTGTGGTTTAAAAATTAATTGTGTTGAAATGAAGGGCATCCATCTCACCTCTCTAACACATGTGAAAAAAAAATGTACAGACTCAGGTAAACATGAATAATATAATTGGGTTTAATTCTTGATTTGAGATGGAAACAGTTAGTACATAGAATGAAATGGTACCAAGTGTCTTGGAATGTTAGTCCAGAAGCTCACTGCCCAAACAAGATTCAGACTGAAGTGAATCATTGATAAATTTAATAAATGTAAGGCTTCTTGTGTGTATTTTACAGGAGGGCGTCTTGATGAACAAATCACATTTACTGAGAATGATTGGGCCAATGAGGAAGGAAGTAGTCCTTATGAAAAAAGCAAGAACCTTGCTGAGAAAGCTGCTTGGGAATTACAGAAGGACTTACCAGGTGCTTACTCCAGACCAAACTGCTGTTTTAAACATAACTAGTTAGGCCATTTTTTAATGTCTTATTTTTTAATTTAAAGTAGAATGAAAAAACTAAGTATGAAAATGTAATGATACACCATGTTGGTACTGATAACAACTTGAAGGGGAATGGGGCGAGGTTGGAGCAAGGTAGGAGTATTATTTTCTCATGATATTCCTGTGGGGTAGGGTGAAAAAAAGTTAGCAACTTCAAAGTCTTTCCATGGCGGTCAAATAAAGAAGAAGCTGGCAGCAATTAAACATAAACACCATTTTAAAAACAACTTTATTCATACCCAGCTGGTATTTACATGTTTTTATGTGATAGTTATGAGAAATACAGGGCCAGAAAAAACACACAAAAAACCAAATAGAAATAAGGGGAAAAGGGTTTGTGTAGGAGTTAGAAGGGTATTTTCTCCCCAATTCCCTAAAAATTTGCATTTATTGCTTTGTGACAAGACAGAGATGGAATTGTCGGCTTATATCTCCTATTAACTTGACATGATGATTTGCAGATGATGAGAGGTTTGAACTGTGTGTCATTTGTCCTGGATTCATCTTAGGACCTGTTCTACAAGGATCAAACTGCACAAGCATGGAGGTATTTGTAGGGTGCCAGAAATTTGTATCTACATTTATTTATTATTTTTAACTATTGGATCAAAGACTTGTCCTAAGCTGTCATTCAGACTGTTTAATATATTAATCAAATTATTTGTGTTAATTGTGGTTAATAGAATGTAATATTAAAGCATTCTCATTTGAGTGTCAAAATAACCCAGGATTACATTGGTTTTAGTTTATGCCTCAGACCATGACTGGTCTAGAAAACATGCATCACCCTGTCAAACATCTTATTAACACTGAAACCAGTCACAACTTGGTCAATTGCAATTTTTTTGCATTGAAGACAGTTTGCCTGATGTTATGTTCTCATTGACCCCTATTAATGTTTCCCTTTGTTATGATTGGCTGCAATTATTACTTTACCTATTGGTTCTTTAACACTTGCTTATGAATATCCTCATTAGACTAATCATTTTATTAAGTTTTAAGGTGTGGGCAATTGCACAATGTTTGCTGATCACATAATCTGCTGAATGATTAATTTACATATTTGTTTTAATTAGTTTCACAAACGTCTTCTTGAAAGACAAATACCAATGGTTCCCAGGCTATCTTTTGCAATGTGCGATGTCAGAGATGTAGCAGCAGTACATATAACTGCTATGACATCATCAAAAGCCCCTGGTAAGATAACTGTAGAAGCACTGACAGTTGGCATGTACTAAAACACAGATGTTTAGTGGTATACAGTAGACAACAGATGGTAGGTGATAGATGGTAGACAGTGGAGGATAGACAGTAGAAGGTAGATGATGGATTGTGTGACAGTACATGATCACAAAATCTAAAATTGTCATGCAATCTTGTGAATGTCACATAAATCCTTCTTTCATGTGGCATTATGTTATGAAATTTAAAATTGTCATGCAGTGGATGAATGTTACATAAATCATTCACAGTTGGATGTCAGCTTTTCAGTGAAATAATCTTAAGTACACTGTTTGCCATCATTCAAACACAGTATGTACTCTTAATTGGGTAATATGTCAATTTGCCAAACACTGCAGTAATTTTTTATGTACCAATCCAAGGTAAAGTAAGAATGTTTAAATCATATTCTTTTTTTTTGTTAGGTAACAGATATATTGTCATCAAAGAATCTATGTGGACAGATGAAATGGCAAAAATTCTGGATGAAGAATTTAGGTCACTTGGTAAACATGAATGTTGTTTCCTGATCTTTATGATTGTTTTTGAGTTAGATTAAATATCAATCCAAACTTCATGTCATTTCCCACTGAAAAGTAACCTGTAAGTCTTGACTGATGTCGCTAACAGTACGCCACCAGAAATATAAATGGAATCTCTTCACAAGTTAAATCTGGAATACATTAAAAATGTATTTTAAGGACACCCTTTCAGGAAAAGGTAATGTCAGTTGAGATTTTAATTCCTCCTGAATTTATGGATTTGGCCATATGGTTTGGTAAAGTTTTGCCTTGAAATAATCACTTTTATTGATCATAGAATTAAGATATTTATTATACAAATTAATTGTGTGATAACAAAGTCCACACAATAGTCACAGTGACTTTCTTTTCATTTCTTTTTTAGGATACAAGGTGCCAACAAGAGTTGCCCCAAAGTTTGGATTACGAGTACTTGCAATGTTTGATGGTTCAGTTAAAATGATTCTGCCTGCTGTTGGAAAAGAGATCAGAATGGACAACTCAAAAGTAAGGGGCTCTTGCCTTATTCGGGATGACCATGGAAACAGGCAGAAGGCAGAATTCAGTAAATGATCATATGCAACTTTATGTTATGGTGTTACAATGCTTCAAAGCTTGTTGTGCAACATTATAAGGAACATATATCACAGGACTTTCCCAAATTATTTATTACAAGAGAGTTTGGAATATATTTGTAATTCAAATTTTCCTTTTTGTTCAGTTTATAGCAATCTATAGTTTATGTTACCTTTCCTGTAAGTTGTTTAAAGACGGCTTTAGTATGCTTTATTTTTTGTTCTTTCTGTGACTTCATTCCCTTCTATTGATTGACAGGTCATTCAAGATTTGGATTTCAAGCCTAGAGAGTTAAGAAACACTGTAATAGACATGGCTTACAGCCTTATTGATGCTGGTTTTATCAAAAAGACAGCAAAATATCAGAAATTGAAGGACAGTTAAGAGTTTTAAAGGAGGCTTAAATAGGTTTTAATTTTTAATGCCTATTGCTTGATGAATTAATACAAGTACAATGATTTAATTTGGACGTTGGTAACATACTGTCTCGTATGCAGATTTCATACAGATTTGTTTAGGACATTGCTAAGCAATTAACTATTATGCAGACTTGCAATGTAAGAAATAAATATAAAACAGGCAATACCAAACTTCTTTTTTGCTGCAGACTCATAATTCTAAATAAATCTATGGGTATTTCTTAGAGGCTGTGGTGTTGCTATGGTAACATTTTTGTTAGTGATTGTAACTTGTTTATTGATAATTAATAGAAATTTTGTATGATACTTATTGCTAAAGGAAATAAATTTTAATTAACCACCACAATTTTGAATTGATGTCACATTTATTAGCTAGGGTGAATACAAGCAATACGAATCAGTGATCTCAATGCAAAGCATTAACTTTTTATTTCCTCATAAGAAGTTACAAAAACTCCTGTTGAAAACACTCAACAGAAATATCCACCAAATAGTAAATAAATTGCATATGCGAAATTCCCAAACACAAGTCTATCCAAAAATCCCTAACCCTAACCCTACTTTCTTGCAAGGTTACAAACTTGAAAATCTCTGTGAGCCCTTTAATTTTGTGTAATCTTCTTCTAAACTTTATTAGTTGTTCATCTTAACACATTCATGCTTTGAGGAAAGTTGGTTTGCAACATAATGACATCAAAAGAGCTTTTATAAGTGGCACAAATTGTTAAGGGAGAGACTGCACATTGAGCATTCAACTGTGTTACAACAGGAAATTCTGTTCAGGAATTTTGTGGACTCATTTTGTGTTGAATTCCCCGGATGGAAGCTTCAAATCCATGATGCATGTGAAATAACTAGCAATGCTTATTACTTTTTTGGCTCCATACAGTTCAACTTAAATGGATTTGTACATCAAAATGATGCACACTAAAAACTTAAAATAACCATTTCAATATTTTCAGTTTAATAATTGTAATAAAAATAATTATCAGCACATCAATTAAACAGTTACAGATGATTCACTCTTTTGACTGTAGTCATAATAATATGTGTGGATGGCTTTGATTTTTAAGGGTGCTGATTGTATCCTTTGCTCTTTACTTGGCTTTCTGTCTGTTTTCCATTCAGTAGAATGCCAGTGTTTAATACTTAGGTAATGTGGTTCTGTATTTGTTTCCCGTGTCAGAAAAGTCCCATTATCTTCCTCTCCTTTTTCTTTCAGTCCTTCAACCACTAGTTCTTCTTCAGAAGAGTCAGAAAAGATGCTTCTTGCATCTGAATCTGGATGTTGACATTAGACAATAAATAAGTTTTCCATATGTAAATTGATTATAACTGGTTGAAATGGACCTCAGCAACTGTGGTTGAGGAGTTGAACTCTTTACTTGAAATGAAAAAATTGAGCCAGTTGGGCAGTTCAACCATGCTGTTTCCCTACTTGCCATTAATAACATCTGGTAATAGGGTAAATTTATTCACCAAGAAGAATATTTATTTTGTTCAATAGACTCAATTGATTGCATCCCCAAATATTTTTGTGCTCTGGGAAAAGGCCTGTGGAGTGAAGGGGAAAACCTGTGTGGGTGTTCATTTCACAAAAAGAGCATGGATTTAAAAAAATGATACAGGTATTAGAAAGCTTTACCCTCACTTCACTCAACTTACTGACTACCATGAGTTCAATGTGGTTGCTTGTAACAGGTAGAGTGTCAGACATTAATGTTGCTCTATCAACACAATAACTTCCTTATAACTATAGGCTTACCATCAAACTCATTCTTAATGAAGAATGAGTTCAGATCAGGCTTGGGAATATAAACTCCTAGCTTAGAGAGAGCACGCCAATCCAAGTATCTTGCTCTGTAAGACAAGTATAACATAAAATGAATAAATAAATATTGAAAAAAAGAAGAAATAAGTAAAACATTGAAAACAATGTTTATTTAGAAACCCACCATCTAATCAGGAGTTGAGCCATAGGAGTTAAAAATCTTTATCTTTAAGTAAGGCACTGGTTTTTTTCAGTCTTCACTTTCACACTTGGTCTCTCAGATCAGTGACAGAGTTAAATATGGTGTAGTCAGTATCGTACCTGTTGTACCTTGCTCCAGTTAAAAAGCTGTGAAGACTTTCACCATGGGGAGGTACTCTGTAAGAGGAAGATTAATAAGAAGTCTTGATCATGATTATATAAATATTTAATTTGCTTCATAACCAATCCATTCCTTTAATTGCAAAAATATTCATAAGTGTGCTTAACCCTTTCACCCCTGAGGATGATTAGCATCTAATTTCTCCTTACATTATCACCCCTGAATCAAACATTTAGGTCATGAGAATGAGGGAAATGATAAATGACTACATATTAAGCTATAGATTTTTGAACAAATTATCCTTGTTGGAACATTAGAAAATGTAAAGAGAACAGTGTGGAGAATATATGTCCTGATGTTAGGATGTAAAGGATTAATTGAAGGAATAGGTAGGAATTGTTTATGTACTTCACAAGTTAGAGTTAATTTTTGTAAGCAGTTCTTGTCTGATTAAACTGTGTCTTCTTGTTTTTCATTTTCAGTAAACAATGTAGATGTAAGAGTGTCAGGGAGTTTATAATTAAATATTTTTAAAGAACATTTGTTACCTAGTAATGTGTTATATTGTTTTTGTTTTAAAAAGTTAATATTCTCCTTTCTAAACCAATCTGGTTTGATTTTTTAGAACAGAAACATTATAAACCTCTTTTTGATGGTACCTGTGCATCTGAACGTATTAAAATTATTAGGAGTTTTAAGACTTAATTCACTTCATCTGTGACCACATCTGAATGTATTAAAATTCTTAGGAGTTTTAAGACTTAATTCACTTCATCTGTGACCACTACTTATGCCTACGAAATCTAGAAAAGCCACCATTTTCACATGATAGATAAGTTCACCAAGTGACATGTGATTCAGTAACTGACATGGCTTTTGTGCAGCATGATTTCGAGAAAAAACCTATAAATTAGCTGTAAATTTGACTCCTTGTTTTATTTTAGTATTTTTTGGCAATTAATTTATTTATCAAGTTAAAACATAACCTTTGCAATTAAATTTATGGCAAAAAAATTCTTACTGTTTGTGCATTGGATCACTTTTGAAGAATCTGTAGTCATCACCTAAAAATGATAAAAATTTTTTAAATACTTATAAAGTAACCAATATATTTAAAAACAGAAAAAAAGGCCAAATGGCACTGCTTGCAAGAGTGATTGGAGACACATCAAAGTTTCCATGATGATCTGAAGATCTCTTTCTCGAGACAGATCAACAAAGTATACATCTTAGCTAACACAACATATGGTCAAGTAAACATTAACTCTCATTTGGATCATCATATTCAAAACCTTTTGGTATTAAACTTAGTAATTCAATTGGGAAGGCAGATTCTGTATGGATAAGACCAGCGTGTTACAGCCTTGTAGAGTAAACCCTATAAACATCTGTATTTACCAACTAAACACCACAACTGACAGACACTTGTTTTGGGACCAGACAGTTTATTAAATGTATATATCCTACGTAAATAACACACTAGACTATGACATATTGAATGAATACACTAAACCAACCGTCTAGTAATCAGGAATAAACTACAAACACGAATGAGGTTAAGATACAATCAAAACTTTTAATGGTGTGGGTGGGAGGGAAACTAAAACTTTCTTAAAGCTAGAAATAAACTTGTTGCTTGCTTGCTTGCTAGATTACTAATAACACATGTACAGATACCTAAGCGGCACTACTAAAGTAATTTTGCAAGTAAAACGTATTAGTGTGGTGAATAGCCATTGGCTCTACCCAAGTCTTATGACTTATATGCTGAACAAATTGCTCAATCTAAAGAAAAGGAACCCAGGCCTCTCAGTTATCGATGTCTAGATTCATATTAATAGAGATTAATATTCACAGAAATGTGTCAACTTACGAATTTCACATAAACGTTTCTTGTTTGTTGCTGATTTAAAATTTGAGTGGGATAAATGTGAACTCATGGAAACTGATGAGGCTGACTGACATCTCAGCAAGCTGAAATTGCAATTGAGTGAAGATGAGGAAAACGTGCATCACGTTTTAAGGTAAAACTGCTAATAAATATAAAAAAATCTGCTTTTTCCTTTACACTACCTACAATTGTGCATTAAGTCTTTCAATTTCTTGTCATATTTCTGCATCACACCCAGTGCAAAGATTTCCGTACAACCCCATACTAGTCTAAAACAAACCCACAGTCTTGAAGTTAATCGATTTTTTGCCACATTCCTTTTATCCAAGTACCAAATTATTACCCAACCAAAACAGAACTATTCATGTCAATGCGCAAGTTATTAAAGGGAAGTTATTGGTAAACTTTATCCAACACAAAGAGGGTTTTGTAGAGTTCCAAAGGCAAGACTCCCATTAGAAACATTGCACATTAATAACAGTGAGTTGATATTTACCTTGACTTTGTATGTCTTCCAAGGTGCGATGACTGTTCCCTTGCAGTGACAGGACGAGAAGCATAGTTGTACACTGTACATGAAGATTGAGGCCTAAAAGGCTGACGTGGAGACTTTCCAACATCTGGCATACTTTGGTAATCCAGTGGAGAATACTCACTTGCATGGGGTCGTCTCAGTGCAGATCCAACCAAAATATGCTGTTCGATATACAAACAATATTAATTGATCTCTCCCATTTCATGAACAGTCTGTTAGGGATAGCAGAACTACAAACTGAGTCTTACTTGTGAATTCCGGTCGTGAATATCTTGCTCTATGGAAACACAGTTGTGACTTTGCTGACTGCATGGCCTGGAATCAACTGTGTTCCAGGAACTGCTGCTCTTCTTGAATCTTTCAGCTGATCCGAGACAAGAGTTTTTGAAAAACATATTTTCACTCTTGAAATATATGTATATATGTTTACGTTTATTTAAAGGATTAGTATGCGTACAATTTAGAGTTTAAAATGAAGCACCTTAACCAATTGCAATCTGAGCCGTTTCTAAACCATGCGGATGTTTCACATCTCGTATCTCATGCAAATCCAGATCAGCAGATCAAGTGTCGAGATACAAGAAGCAAAAATATTCAAGAGCGACATTTGCGAAATAGAACCAGAGCAAACCATTTCCCTACTAGTTTATTACGCAAATTTTCACGAACAGTCAAGCTGTGATCCATACCTTTTCTCTTGGGTAGTTGTTGCGCGGGATCGAGGGGTATACGAAATTGATAGTACGTTAAACTGCCCCTCTTTTCATGCATCTTGTGAGCTCATCATCCTCTAGAGATTTCAAAACCCCTGTTCATTCAGTTGATTAAGTGTTGTAATCCGAAATCTATAATAAACCTACGAAGGAATTATATCTCGTGCGACAAGGAAAGTCGCCATATTTGTCTTCTCCAGCGTCAAATCGTGGTTGCCTTGGCAACAAACTCTTTGGTAACCAGTTTTCCCTTCTATTTCTCCCTTAAGTAGGATTTTTGCGTTATCCTTTCAATTTTCTCACTCTACATATGTACGTGTGTTTGTTAAAAAATGAAATTTTTTGCACTTGTATTTTTCACTTAATACGGTCACACACTGCTAATTTTTTTTCCTGAAGTTTATTTACGCTGCAATGCGAAACTGGGCTCATGCCAACCTCTCGTTCAGGAAAAAAAAACCCTCTGCGATATAAAAGAAGGAAAACTCCTTGAAAAGAAGAAAAAGATTCGCCCTCCTCCAGATCTTCTTATGGTGAAAATCCTCCGGATGAGATGTCTTTTCATCATAAATATAAAAGGATATAGTGAGACAAAAAATAATTGTTTTAAATTTGTATAGAATATTTTCAGCTAGTTAAACCAGCTATTTCCAAGCAGGGCTGACAGTACAGTGGTCTCTAACACTTAATTGAAAGCTTAACAAACAAACTGAACAGGTTCCAGTGCCTTCGTACAGACGGTTACCAGTAAAGTCGATGAGCTTCATAAGGTAGATGTTGTGATTTGGAGAGCGTAAAAGTGCGTCGCAAAGAAATTTAATCGGTCAAGAATTCCGAAGTCACCGCGAACTCAGCAGTTTGTTTCTTAACAATCAAAATTCTCTAAGGGTTACTTTGTCCTTAAGACAATAAAGTTAATTATCTAAACGAGCTTTTACGATGCCTATTCTTTTTCCACCAATCCTCACTTAGCCTAGCGAAACTTGCGGAAAGTTTGTCACAAACAAACTGATGGCTTCCATGGCAACATCTTAGACGTGACGTCACGGCAGAGTAATCAACGTGATCTTCCGCAAGAACCAAATTTTCATGACAAAACATTGTGGAATTTTTCTCTAATCACGGTGGAACATTTCATAACATAATCGCGGATACTCGGACTTCGGTACACTATTAACGTCGAATTTTGAAGTTTGATACCGCGCATTGTTTGGAGGAAGTCTGGTGACTTCTTATTTTATTTAGAACGCTGTTCGAATGCTTTGAGTTCAACATGTCATTTTACAAACGTTCAACTGAGTGCAGCTGGAATTTCTGCAGACAGCAACTTCTGTGACCGATTTATATTACCGCTCATCGAGGTTCCTGTCTCCCTAAAACACTCAACAGAACAAGCATTAATATGAGTAATTTAGCGATGCTAAAATGTCACACATCTCAGAGCGGGAAACTGCGGTTGAATCTTATCGTAATATTTGGCTTGATTTTTGTGAGCTTCACCGGTAAGATCATAATCACATACATGTCATTATCATTTCAGATGCGCTTTTCTATTGTGGCGTTTAAGGAAATGACTTTACAGAAATCTTGGATGTTGAACTTTTGTGTTCTCTTGCTTAGGTCTAGCTCGAGCAGCTTGTGATTGTGGGACAGAATGTTCCTGTAGTCAAAGCAATTGTACTGCTGGACAATATTGGGTCTGTAGTAACTGTGTTGACTGTCCTGCTGGACACTTGTAAGTAACAAATCTTCCCGTGACCTGTACTCACTATTGTACCGATACATAGGAATATCCAGGATCCAAATGTTTTGCCAAAGGACTCGAGATTATACATACAGAATTTATATTAACTGTTGGGGGTTGTCTATCGGCTTGAACCTTCTGTTACACTTACTTGTATACTTTCATCTCACGTTGTATTGATATTAAAAGTGGTTGCAGAATATATTGTTTTTATCTCAATTGGATAAGAGGTTTCTTTAAAGCTAATGATATTATAACTTTATTTTAGCTGCCTGGGAAACAGTACTGCCCCTGAGCCCTGTCCAGCGGGAACCGAAAATCCGAATACCGGTTCAAAAAACTCATCCGATTGTACGGTAAGTTTAATTATTTAGGTTTCTTTCCATCTCGAAGCTTTTATCCTTAACATTTCTCATCGCAACCCCAACTGTTGGAAATTATGAACTGAACCTAGAAAATGATGATTAGCTAAAGTACGTTTAGACATTCAGCTTTCTTTTATCGGGATTTTGTAATATTATATCAGGTTTTTAGTGGAATAGGAAAGTCAACCTTGTAGTTTCTTTATTTGTTAACTTTATTTTCACCATTTTTCAAAGCATGCAGCATAGAAATTTGACTTTACCAGGTAGCCTCGTGCAAACTTAAAGTTACTTTGCAGCCACATCTATCTTCAATGTGGGCCTAGTCACTGATTAGAAATTAATACCTGTGGTGATGGTAAAGTAGTCTTCATCTAATGAATCGAATTAATGCAGGAAGGAGAAGACAGAGACAACTAAGCTTCGAGCATTAACTGTTTCAGTCCTAAAGCATGTTAATTCTTAACTCTGATTGCCATACATTTCATATAATTTTAGCCTTGAGAATTTAGTGCAAACTGTCAAACAATTTAACTGATATCTTTTCTCATCTCCTTCCTCCTTAAAAAAAATTTTGTTAATGAAATGAGAAAAACTGATGTGGCTGTCTTTAATAGGCTTGTGTATCGGGAACAAACAGCACAGCAGGTTCAGTAGCATGCACTACACCTTGTCCTGCTGGTTACAACTGTACTTTAGCTGGAAATATCACTTTGTGTCCCGTTGGAACATATTCTAATTATGGAGAAGGAATCTGTCACTCTTGTCCTACTGGTAAAGTGTGCTTGGATCCTACTCAGCAACCTCAGGTACAAACCAAATTTCATTTAAATTATTAATAAATCAAAGTAAGGTTATTGACAATGATTAATTTCTTGGATATACAATTGACCAAAGGTACAACTTACAGAGTCAAATAAAAGCAGTGAAATTAAAAAAAAAAACATGATTTTATGGAATGAACATGTTGTGGTTTAAATTTTTAGCTGGTGTTGAATTTTACAAACCAGTTTGATTGATAATTTCTTTTGTTCAAGCTATAATTATTAATAATCCCTAAAGAGAAAGAAAAAAATTAAACTTGTGCTGTCAGACAGATATAAATCTAAGGTAATATTTTAACCACGATATGTATTCCATGCCGTCTGTGCTTATCCAAAATAAGGAACAACTTTCATGGTTAACATGAATGTATAAAATCTTGTGCTGTCTCCCACACAATGATACCAGTAGGCAAAATTAGGTGAATTTTTTTGTTTTCTTAGTATTGCCCTGGAGGTTATGAACCAAGTCTTTTGCAATCAAACTGCTCAGTCTGTGAGCCAGGAACATTCTCATATAATGGCACATCTTGTCAATCATGTGCCAATGGAAGCTATAGTCTTGGAGCAGCAGCAGAATGTACTGTTTGTCCACCTGGAAATCAGTGAGTCTTGTTAATACTACAAAATTATTTAGGAATACATTGAATAGCACTTCTTCTTCAATGTAAGACAGAATATCTTGAGTACAAGTTCATAGCTGTTTTTCAAGCAGAGAGAATTATCAGTCCATGTTTTCAAGGATGAAGTAACAAACCTTAATTGGACAAAAGTGATAGTACATATCATTTATAGATGTCCATTAATGTGGATACACCTAAATGTGAACAGTGTGTGTCCCCTACTTGCATGTACATCTATGAAGACATATCAGACAGCAATTTAAGTTTTCCATTTCAGAGTTACCACTCTAATATACAAAGAAGCTAAATGAGAGCAAGTGTAACTCTTATATTGCTTTTAACAGATGTTCCAACCAAACAGTTGTGCCAGTTAGATGTAATCCTGGAGAGTATGCTGCTGCAGGGCAAACTTCTTGTTTACAATGTGATAAAGGATTTTATTGTCCAAATGTTTCCTTAGCAAGTCCTTTGCCTTGTTTCAATGGTACCTACACAGACACTGTTGGGCAAACACTATGCCAGTTGTGCACAGCAGGACATTTTTGTCCCTTTGCTTCTCAAGGGGAGCAGCCTTGTGAGAATGGAACATACAGTAAGAATGGCTCAACTGTCTGTACAGAGTGTCCAGGTGGACACAGGTAAGTTATGTCAGATCGTTGAAATAAGTGCAATGTCTGCTTTGGTCTGATGAATAAAGTTTTATGTATTGAACAAATAAGCTTCATCATTGATAAGTAAATGCTTCACTCTTTATCCCAGAAGTATCAACAGTAATCCAACAGTATTACCCCTTAATTACATATAAAGGTCACAAAAATAAATGATATGATGGAAAACTCAAGAAGCCCTTGATTGTTAGACAGTCTCCTCTGCAGTACTATGGGAAATTTATAGAGAACTACATGGAAAATTTGCATACGTAGTTTAGTGTGTAAAGGGTGAGGTATAGCCAGTCACCAAAGTCAAAGTGCAATAATTCATTGTATTTAATAAGTTATTGAATTATCCAATTTATGTGATATTGCAGTTGTGCTGACCCAAGTACTGATCCATCTGAATGTCCAGCTGGTAATTATGCTCCATCAGGGAGTTTACACTGTCAGTCCTGTCCAGTGGGATCTCACTGTCCATCATCAGGCCTTTCAGTATATGTCCCTTGTGTTAATGGCACTTACACAGACAGTGTAAATCAAAGTATTTGTCAGAGCTGTCCAGCTGGTAAAAAATGTTCAAATCCTGCTCAGCCACCTGAGGATTGTCCAAGTGGGACATATAGTAAGGGTGGGGCAACAGAGTGTACCATTTGCCCTGAAGGCCATCAGTAAGTATTTGATTATCACAAATGCGTGTACCATGTCATTCTGTGTCTGTACAAATGAAAAGCCTTTGTGATAGGAATGAATAATATTCCTACCTAAATTTTATTTTTTAGATGTCCTGTGAACTCAGCTGATCCAATCCCTTGCACAAATGGTACTTTTGCTCCAGCGCATAGTATCTTTTGTCATTCCTGTCCTATTGGTTCACATTGTCCATCCGAGAAGCTTCCTTATCATCTCCCTTGTGCGAATGGGTCTTATTCGGTTGTGAAGAATGCTACACGCTGTTTAGAATGTATGCCAGGTTTTAAATGTCCAAATCCTGCTGAAGAACCAGTGGAATGCCAGAATGGAACTTACAGTAAAGCTGGAGCTACCCACTGTATAGTGTGTCCAAGTGGCCACAAGTAAGGAATTCATTGTAGTATTTTCTTTGTGGATGTCAAATACCCTTTCACCTTGAAATTCCATTATTATCAGGGTTTGTTTGTGTGAGTTAAGCTTGGGTGTGCATGCACATGCTGAGGCAAGAGGGGGGGAAGGGGGGGGGAGGGAAGGAGAAAATCAGTCATTACATGATCAATATTCTGGCAAATACATTATCTGTGTAATGATCTCTGTGGTGGTAAGTTTTAATAAGCTTTCTACATTTATTTATTATTGTGTATTAGAAGTGAATAATGGTGGTAAACATGAATTTGATGGCTATGCCTAACAATAGTATTTGGTAGATGAATATGCACCAGGAGCAGAAGTTTGATTGATGCATTTCTTTTACAGGTGCACAGACAATTCAGCTGACCCAATTCCATGTTATCAAGGATCCTTTGCTCCATCGAGGAGCATTGAGTGCCAGGAATGTCCTTTGGGGTCTCACTGTCCAGCTAATGCCTCAGAGAAACATGTTCCATGTGATCCTGGGTCTTTTGCTAATGTTACATCACTCACCAAGTGTTTAGAATGTCCAGCTGGATTCATTTGTCAGAATCCTTCTCTAGCCCCAGTGCCCTGTGAAAATGGAACTTACAGTAAAGGTGCTGCTACAAACTGTACCATGTGTCCAGCAGGATTCAGGTAGACTATGGCAGATTTTAAACATTTCAACACTCCTGTCTAGTGCCTTCATCAGGGGGGATCTAATCGTTGCAACAAGAGGTCCTATTATGTGCTCACTAGTTAGCTACCCTATGTTCTGATGATGTGTAAAGAGACATCAAGTAGTTAGCTGCCATCGTTAAAATTTTAAGGGGCATGGGCAGAGGGTCAGTTGGTTCACAAACACCAGAGTCCGCATTGCTAAGTATTGGTTTCATTTGTATTTCAATAACTGATGCATAGAAAACAATGTGCTTTCATCAAGTTTGAGATTTTGGTCTCCTTTGTAGAGTGCTAAGGGATACAAACTCATGGTCCGCACTGGTTTTTCTTCACTAAAGTTGTGAATAGATGAATGCTGCATAATGTTTGTGCATTAAAGTAAGCATTCATTTTCAATATGCTTTTTCATTCATGCCCCAGGTGTCCCAAAAAGGGCTCAGACCCTATTCCATGTGAGGCAAAGACATATGCACCAAGTGGGAGTCTTGTTTGCTCTCAGTGTCCAGCTGGATCACATTGCCCTTCAGCTCAACTATCCACTCATGTTCCTTGCCGTAATGGAACATATGCAGATTCAGAAGGACAGGATACATGTAGCCAATGTCCAGAAGGATTCAAGTGCCTAAATCCTGCTGTCTCGCCAGTCCCTTGTGAAAATGGAACCTTTAGCCTCACTGGCTCTACTCAGTGCACCATTTGTCCAGCAGGATACAGGTAAGAAGGTTGGGGTTACTTCTTTTAGTTTCTGTGGAGCTAGTTCAAATGAAGGGCTTCTTAGCTGTCACGAGGTGCAAATGAAAATTAGCATCCTCTCTTACTTTTCAAAAGGAACACGGAAAATGACTTGAACTAGAAAAATTTGTTTCATTTTATTTGTACAATGTAGGAGCGTACTCGTTATAATAATTGATTAATTAATCATTACAGTGTGATGATACTCAAAGTAGTTTAGAAACTTATAAATGCAACTTGTGTCGTATTATGTTAGTGTGTTAAAGCACGGCATCTTATAACTGTTGCAGCATCCTAATATTGCTCTAGAGAACCTGCTGTAGGCACAATTAATTAAAGTCATTGTAAAACTGCACCTCATCCTTCATGTAATGGTAAAGTGTTATTGTGGCTTGTTGGAATTCTCATGCAGATCTGTAATAAGCACCACTTTAAAGGCTGTGGAATGCACCACAGATGTTTTTATAACTTCAGTACACTATCACTTGTTTTCTTCCTCAAAATATATCATCACCTGAGCTGTTAACTAACCTCATACAAGTTATTTAAAGACACTTCAGCTTGCACAGAGCATCTTCATCTAGGAGCATGTCACTTTAATACTTTTTTAACTACATCAGTGAAGCACTACTGGCACTTGTTGGCTGAGTTCACAAATACATGTGTTTGAACAACTTCATTATTACTCACAAACCTGGCCATTTCAGTTGCCCAAATAAAACAGCTCCTGTGGAATGTTCAGCTGGTTCGTATGCTGCAACAGGTAGCATTGAATGTCAACCTTGTCCCAAAAGAGCTTCATGTCCAACCAAAGGACTTTCTACATATGTACTATGTACAAATGGAACTTATTCAAATGCTGAAAGTCTGAGTGATTGTAAACAGTGTCCAGCTGGCTTCCAGTGTCCAAGTGTTGGAATGGAAGCACCAGAAGAATGTGCTAATGGAACATACAGTAACACAACTGGTGCTCGATATTGTATTTTGTGTCCAGAGGGTCATAGGTAAGGTTAATGCAATAGTCAATCCATGCATTTATCCATGCATTGATCTGGTCATTCATACATATTCATGGTGCAATCAACACTTACAGTTCACAGATGCCACCTTTTCAGAACAGAAAACAACAATACACCTTTCACTTGGAGACATATGTCAGTATGTGGAGTTCATCACACCAGCACCAATGCATACCACTGTGTTATTAATTAGCATCATTCTTGTTGGTCTTTATGATAAGGTTGTTACCTTTAACTAATCTTCCAATAATCAATCCAGTTTTCTATATTCTTTGGTTGGCTTTTAACATTGAGCAGTTAGATGCACTCATGGTTTTGTAAAGTTCAGGGCACCATCTTTGATGTACCTCTACCAAAGAACCACATGCAAATTCTTTGTGTTGGCACAGAAGATCATGACCAAGAAACCTATCACCTCACTAAACATCTAATTTCACCAATGAAGCACCACTTCCAAGTGTTGACTAAATTCACAGATACATTTTTTTTTTAACAATTTTATGACAAATCTCAATACCTGGCCATTTCAGTTGCCCAAATAAAACAGCTCCAGAGGAATGTTTAGCTGGTTTGTATGCTGCAGCAGGGAGCATTAAATGTCAACCTTGTCCCAAAGGAGCTTCATGTCCAACTAAAGGACTTTCTACATATGTGCTATGTTCAAATGGAACTTACTCAGATGCTGACAGTCTGAGTGATTGTAAAGTGTGTCCAGCTGGCTTCCAGTGTCCAAGTGTTGGAATGGAAGCACCAGAAGAATGTGCTGATGGAACATACAGTAACACAACTGGTGCTCGATATTGTATTTTGTGTCCAGAGGGTCATAGGTGAGCTGTTGGGCCTTTAATGAGCACTTCTTTTCATGTGATTGATCCACATCAAGACATTATCAACTTATGATTCGTTGTCATTGTCGTCTTCATCATCGTCATTATTTTTCTCATCATCATCATCAGCATCATCATCATCATCATCATCATTATTATTATTTCTATTGTTATTGTTAATGTCAGAGCACTTGATACATGTATCATTATGGATCACAAGAGAGTGTCTTTTTGCTTATGTTTATTATTACTAGAACAATTATTATTAGAACAATTAATTGACATTGTTTAGAAGGATGATAAAATAATGAGTAACCCTAAAATTTTGTTGTTGTTTAACTTATTCTAAAACAGAGGATTATTACACAATTTAATGACCAAGAACTACCCAAAAATGTAGTTGTTACATATTGTGAGTACTGTGATATTCCACTAAACGTAAGCTTGAATAACCTTGTTGATTAAGTTCACTTAACACTCAAATTAGCATAGGGAGCACTGTTCACTCAGAGGCACCAGTCTGTTTGAGAAGATCAACACACTTGTACAATGCATTGCATCGTTTCACAGAAAACGGCTCTACTTATTTGGATATATGTTAATACTTTTAACTCCTCTTGTATTCTCAAATCTCTCCAACTTGTTGTCATGCACTCTTTGGTTGACACCTCACATCTTTGAGTGTGGAACACTCCACTTGTTTTTATAACCTCAGCACACTATCACTTATTTTCTTTCTCCAAGTATATGACATCACCTGAGCCGTTTCACTAACCACATACAAGTTATTTATAGACACTTCGGTTCCCACAGAGCATCTTCACTTAGGAGCATGTCACTTTAATACTTTTTTAACTACATCAGTGAAGCACTACTGGCACTTGTTGGCTGAGTTCACAGATACATGTGTTTGAACAACTTCATTATAACTCCAAAACCTGGCCATTTCAGTTGCCCGAATAAAACAGCTCCTGTGGAATGTTCAGCTGGTTCATATGCTGCATCAGGGAGCATTGAATGTCAACCATGTCCCAAAGGAGCTTCATGTCCAACCAAAGGGCTTTCTACATATGTACTATGTTCAAATGGAACTTACTCAGATGCTGAAAGTCTGAGTGATTGTAAAGTGTGTCCAGCTGGCTTCCAGTGTCCAAGTGTTGGAATGGAAGCACCAGAAGAATGTGCTAATGGAACATACAGTAACACAACTGGTGCTCGATATTGTATTTTGTGTCCAGAAGGTCATAGGTGAGGGTTTGTTTATACACAAGATTTCTCTTTTAAAAAAAAAAAATCAATGTATGTAGCATTGAGATTGGGCAAATTTTAACTTTTACCAAACTGATCATGGTCATGTATGTAACATTTAGAATATTATGTATACATGTTTTGATTGGACACCAGAATACTTTTAAGTGACCCTACCTTTTATATATAATTCTCAGTCATAGTAAATATTCATGCATGCTGGAGAGTCAGATATGTTTTTTGTCATCCATATGGGGCATCATCTCATCTTCTCATTTGGGATATTCGAAAGAAGCATGTTAGTTATTGTCAACAATTAGGAAAGAGATAGAGAACATGTTTTTATAAAAGAATACAGTTTCTTCCATGGATGCACTTGTTGTTGCTTCAGAATAAAGTTATGACACTCAGTTATTCACTAGTCTGTTAATAGCATAATTGGAAAGTTTTGTTTGTGATGTGATTTGGTTTTTGTATCTTTTATGAAAAGGATCAGTGTAAAATTAAACACATTTTCATTTGCAAATTTATAGCTTTTGGTTATGCATCTGTAGTGCTGTGGTTATAAGCTAAACTCCACATTTTATTCGATTCTATTTCTTAATGTTTATTCCTTGTGATTTTAGTTGTCTGAATAAAACAGCTCCTGTGGAATGTTCAGCTGGTTCATATACTGCAGCAGGGAGCATTGAATGTCAACCTTGTCCTAAAGGAGCTTCATGTCCAACTAAAGGACTTTCTACATATTTTCTATGCTCTAATGGGACTTACTCAGATGCTGAAAGTCTGAGTGATTGTAAAGTGTGTCCAGCTGGCTTCCAGTGTCCAAGTGTTGGAATGGAAGCACCAGAAGAATGTGCTAATGGAACATACAGTAACACAACCGGTGCTCGATATTGTATTTTGTGTCCAGAGGGTCATAGGTGAGGCTATTGCAATTTATCAATCCATGCATTGATCTGGTCACTCATTCATGGGATACAAGCAACATCTACAGTTGACTAATACCACCTAACTTTCCATTGGCATCTTCATCTATTCTTCATTCTTATGATAAAGATATCCAGTTGGTAACAGATGAAGTTACCATCTGCTCTAAGAATCCTTCATCCATGCATTTGTTTGTTCTTCTTTGCATTTTGACTTTTCTGTGCTGTATTCCAGTAAATGTGATGACTGCATACTGCATTTATATTATCTGTTGATATTGGTAGGTTTTTCGTGAGTTTCTTAGTATGATTTCTACACCATTAAATCATATTCTTACACAATACAAGGATATGCTGGCTATGTCATCAGATTTTTCAACAGTTCATTTTGAAATGTTCATATCATTCATGTTTTCATTTATTGATATGGTTGGTAGCAGGATTTAGTAGCAATGTTTGTAAATATCTCAATATTTGTTATTCTTGCCAGAAAACCTGGTTAAGAGGTGAATCTGAATTTGCACATTCAGGTTTTATTTATAATAGTTTACATATTGGTTATATATTCAATCTGTACTGACTTTGTAAATAATTTTTTGATTTGTAATATATTTTAGTTTATGGCTATACATTATATCTGTAATACTGAGGTTATCAGCCAAACTCTTTTTTTTCTTCTATTTTTCTCTTTGTGCCTTTTTCTGGGGGTTTTAGTTGTCCAGATAAAACAGCTCTTGTGGAATGTTCAGCTGGTTCATATGCTGCAGCAGCAAGCATTAAATGTCAACCTTGTCCCAAAGGAGCCTCATGTCCAACCAATGGACTCTCTACTTATTTTTTATGCTCTAATGGAACCTACTCAGATGCTGAAAGTCTGAGTGATTGTAAAGTGTGTCCAGCTGGCTTCTATTGTCCAAGTGTTGGAATGGAAGCACCAGAAGAATGTGCTAATGGAACATACAGTTATGCAACTGGTGCACAATATTGTATTTTGTGTCCAGAGGGTCATAGGTGAGGTTATTGCAACAATCAATCCATGCGTCGATCCATGCGTTGATCCATGCATTGATGTGGTCACTTATTCATGGAATACAACCAACATCTACAGTTGACTAATACCACCTAACTTTCCATTGGCGTCTTCATCTATTCTTCACTCTTATGATAAAGATAGCCAATTGGTACACAGATGAAGCTACAATCTGGTCAAAGAATCCTTCATCCATGCATTTGTTTTTTCTTCTTTACATTTCAACTCCTCTGTGTTGGCTACATTGACTTCTTAGCGTTGGATACCAGTAAATGTGTTGATTACATACTGCGTTCATATCATCTGATAATATTGGCAAATTTTTTAACAGTTCATCAGTGTGATCTCTACACCTATGAATTTTATCCTCTAGTCAATGGAATCACCTGTGGGCTATATCATCAGATTTTTTCAACAGCTCATTTATACAACTTTTACATCATTCATTCATTCATCTGGTTGGTAGCAGGATTTGGTTGAGATTTGTCTTTTTAAAAGTTTGTTCCTGTTAAGATGCTAAATACTCAGTTCTATTAATTGTACAGTCATATGTTTTTATTAGTAAATATGTCTCTCCAAACTTTAATAGCAATTGTTGTGCTCACCCAAACACCTGGATAGAAGGTGAAACTGACTTTTAAAATTGAATTTTTAGTTGTCATGTTTATAGTTGTTGTTATGCATAAATCTGTAATACTGTAGTTATAAAGCAACATCCTCCCTTCATTCGATTCTATTTTTGAATGTTTTTCCTTGTGATTTTAGTTGTCCAAATAAAACAGCTCCTGTGGAGTGTTCAACTGGTTCATATGCTATAGCAGGGAGCATTGAATGTCAACCTTGTCCCAAAGGAGCTTCATGTCCAACTAAAGGACTTTCTACATATTTTCTATGCCCTAATGGGACTTACTCAGATTCTGAAAGTCTGAGTGATTGTAAAGTGTGTCCAGCTGGCTTCTATTGTCCAAGTGTTGGAATGGAAGCACCAGAAGAATGTGCTAATGGAACATACAGTTACACAACTGGTGTGCAATACTGTATTTTGTGTCCAGAGGGTCATAGGTGAGGTTATTGCAATAATCAATCCATGCATCAATCCATGCATTGATCTGGTCATTCATTCATGGGATACAACCAACATCTACAGTTGACAGATACCACCTAACTTTCCACTGGCATCTTCACCTATTCTTCATTCTTATGGTAAAGATGGCCAGTTGGTACAAAGATGAAGCTACAATCTGGTCTAAGAATCCTTTATCCATGCATTTGTTTGTTCTTCTTTACATTTCAACTTCTCTGTGTTGGCTACATACTACAATCATATCATTTCATGATATTGGCAGATTTTTTTAGCAGTTTATCAATGTGATTGATACAGAGGTCAATCATATCAACTATTCAATGCAAGAACATGCTGACTTTGTCATCATATTTTCCCAACAGTTCATTCATATGAGGTTGACATCATTCATGCTTTCATTCATTCATTTATCTGATTGGTACTGGGACCTGCAGGAGATTTCTATCTTCTAAAATCTGTCCCTCTTAAGATGCTTCATGCTCAGCACTCAATACCAGTAACAGTACAGTGATTTGTTTTCATTATGTTTCTGCAAACATTTGTTATTCTTGCCCAAATGCCTGAATTAAATTGAAGGTGAAACTTACTTAAAATTAAATTTTTAATCTGTAATGTATACAGTCGTTAGTTATACATTTAATCAGTAATACTGTGGCGATTAGGCATACTCTTTTCTTTTTATGTTTCCTCATAATGTTCATCTTTGGGGTTTTAGTTGTCCTAATAAAACAGCCCCTGTTGAATGTTCAGCTGGTTCATATGCTGCAGCAGGGAGCATTGAATGTCAACCTTGTCCCAAAGGAGCTTCATGTCCAACCAAAAGACTTTCTACACATTTTCTATGCTCTAATGGAACTTACTCAGATGCTGAAGGTCTGAGTGATTGTAAAGTGTGTCCAGGTGGCTTCTATTGTCCAAGTGTTGGAATGGAAGCACCAGAAGAATGTGCTAATGGAACATACAGTAACACAACTGGTGCGCAATACTGTATTTTGTGTCCAGAGGGTCATAGGTGAGGTTATTGCAATAATCAATCCATGCATCAATCCATGCATTGATCTGGTCATTCATTCATGGGATACAACCAACATCTACAGTTGACAGATACCACCTAACTTTCCACTGGCATCTTCACCTATTCTTCACTCTTATGATAGAGATGGCCAGTTGGTACACAGATGAAGCTACAATCTGGTCTAAGAATCCTTCATCCGTGCATTTGTAAATGTTCTTCTTTACATTTTGACTCCTCAGTGCTAGATACCAGTAAATGTGTTGATTACTTACTGCATTCATATCATCAGATGATATTGGTAGATTTTTTTAAGGGTTTATCACTGTGATCTCTACACCAATCAGTTTCATCCTGTAGTCAATAGAATCACCTGCTGGCTATATCATCATATTTTTTCAACAGCTCATTTATACAAGGTTCCTATTGTTTATTCATTCATTCATTCATCTGGTTGGTGCTGGAGAATGCTGGAGATTTTTGTCTCTAAATGTTTGTCCTTGTTAAGATACTTTGTACTTAGTACTAGTACAGTATTATGTGTTTTATAGTATATGTTTTTTGATGTGTCTCTTCAAAGTATTCAAGCATTTACTATTCTTGCCAAACACCTGGATAGAAGATAAAGACTCGCAGAGGATTTAAACCCAAATAAGTTTAATTCTGTGTTTTTAATTAACATTTTACTTGCTACCGTAACTTACTTTTGTTTGTTTACCAGTAACAAGTTCATCTGCATATTAACAGTGTGTACAATTGTAATATGTAATCATTATCTGACTTAATCCTTAATACTTTCATCAGGTGCACTGTTAAGAGTGAGGCCCCTGTGCCATGTGGAAGAGGATATTATGCTTCTGAAGCAAGCATGTCATGTCATGTATGTCCTGTAGGATTTTATTGTCCTCTCTTGATCACTGCCAGTCCACAACCTTGTCCTTCTGGATTTTATGCAAATGAAACTAAATCCGAGAGCTGTGAGGAATGTGAAAGAGGTATCAAGTTTTTTTAAAATAAATAATGTGTTGGTATTTAGTTTTAGTATTTATGAGTAAATCAGGTGGTAGTGCAGGTTAGACCACTAGCTCTGATTTTTTTGATGTTCTTATCTGAATTTTCACTTTACTTACTGATTTGGACTTTTATCATTACTGGTAGATCTTTCACTTATAAATTAAGATAAACTGTTCTTACAGTTTGATTTGTCCAAAAAAAAATTGATCCACCTTTGACTTTCTTAACAGGTCACAAGTGCCCAGACCCTACTCTGTCTCCAACAGAGTGCCCTGCTGGTTATTTTAGTGCAGTAAGGGGTCAAACAGCCTGTACTCAGGTAAATAAAAACGAGACTTGTACTTGAATAAGCATAGTTACATACGATATTTGCAATGTATTAAAAAACTGCCCTGTAATCTTACACTCAAATCATTTGGCTAGAATGAAATGTTGTACATTGTCTATCAGTGACTTTTAGCTCGGAGCCCATAGGTTTTTTTCTGAAGTGATGTGTTGTTACCCAAATTAATGTTTGCTTTTATCTCTTTTTAAAAAAATTAAGTGTCCTTGAGCAGCTGATTTATTAACTGTATCACCTTGAGCTGAGAAAAATTTAATTTTGTGTTTGTTCTTACAGTGTGCACCAGGATACTATTCTGAAACAACAGGGCAGTCAACTTGTCAGGTGTGTCCTGCTGGAAGCCGCTGTCCCCTGAGAGACAGCTCACCAGTTCAATGTGTTTTTGGCCAGGTATGTACAATGTTTTATTTGAGTGGTTACTTTCATGCTCTTTTTGCTGCAGTGATCATCATTATTTTGGTCCTCCATCTTTTGGACTTCTCTTCATCATTATCAATGCCATTGTTTTTAATAACACCACCACTGATATGTTGGTTAGAAGAATTTTCACACACCACTGTCAGTAGCTCTGTCAGGCTGATCACCACAGCCCTATCTTTATTGTAAACTAAATAACACCATTCCTACAGTCATTAAAAAAAACAATTAGAACACAGATGGAAAGGTTGTAAGAAGGACAAATGATTTTTTAGTATAACATGAAATCTTGTAGCAGGGTGCACAGGTGGTAAAAATTGGTGATGTCCAGTGGTATTGTGCCTGTTACTAGTGGTTTTTTTCACACAGCTAGTGGAATACAATGCTTATTACTGCTGATTTTATTGCAGTATTCCCCAGAGGCCTCTACAGAATGTCTTACATGCCCAGCTGGGAAAATCTGTTCAGATCCTGCACTCCCACCAGTCACATGCAGTGTGAGTGTAGAAAGTTTTAATTTCTGTTTTGATTCACAAGGCTATTTGTTTGCAGAGCTACATGTACAAAAGGGAAAGTTTTCTCTTCAACTGCTGTAGATCCTCACTTAGATGACAATTTTCATTTTTTTTCCTAGGTTGGAACTTACAGTAATGGCTCTCACTGTATTCCATGTAATGTTGGCCATTATTGTCCATCTCCTACAAATGTTCCTCAACCCTGTCCTGATGGTACCTACTCTGATGAAACAGGAGCAGTTAGCTGCAAAGTGTGTGATGCCGGACATTCCTGCCTAAATCCATCCAACTCACCAGTTCCATGCTCTGCTGGAGAATACAGTATATCTGGACAAGTAACATGTACTGTAAGTATGTTTCTCAACTATGTTGTAAGGGGGCCAAAAACTGTTTGTCATTTATTAAATAAGACCAACTTTTGAAGTACTAAGCAAAGCTCACATCATGATATTTGTTATTTGTTAGCTGAAATATTTTCTGGGTGTCCCAACAGAAATGTCCAGATGGTAGATACAGCCTTGGTGGAGCATCTTCTTGCCTTATCTGCCCAGCAGGACGGTCATGTGTAAATGGTTCTGATCCAATATCTCCAACAGAGTGTCATCGAGGAACATATAGTCCACCTGGAGTTGGCATTTGTCATGCATGTCCACTTGGAACCTATTCTAACACAGGGGCATCATTTTGTTCTCCTTGTCCTGCAGGACACTCATGTAATGATCCCAGCCAGACTCCAGTAGCATGCACCTCTTCAGAATACTGGAACAACGGTGGAGAGGTATCATCACTTAAGCTGTTAAAATTTTTAAAAGCCAAGACAGGAACAAAAAGCTCATCCAACATATCGCTGGGTTTTTGGCTCCTACATGTCTTTCAACACACACAAAATAAATGGTTGGGGTTTGATTTAGGGTACAACAAGAGACTAAGGATCAGTTATACAATTCTCTTGCAACACTTAAATACTTGTGTTTTAGGTGCTAAGAAGGGCATGTGTGACTGTAGTGTATTTTGCAATGTTGTTTTGCTGTATAAGTTGTTTATCTGGTTGTACATCACAGATCCCACGTTGTGCTCCATGTCCTGCTGGCTACAACTGTACCAATGTGACTCAGCCTCCAGTGCCTTGTATGCCAGGTTACTACTCACTTCAAGGAAATGCATTGTGTACAGAGTGTGAGGCTGGACAGGCATGTACTGATCCTGCTCAGGCACCAAAACACTGTCCTGTTGGTACCTACAGCCAAAAGGTTAGTAGCTCTTAGTCTAAGAAACATTTCTTTGGCTCTTCTGTGCCTAAGTGCACTGGTAAGAATAAAGTACTGAATAGGGCACTTGCTGAAACAAGATGCCCTACAGCAATGGATTTGGATGAAAGATGTCCTACACTGTAGCTCAGTAGAGTCCTTATCTGAGTGTGTTGTGTTTTAATGGTCTTGTTGGTTCTGTAAAGAAATGGAAACCATGATCATGAGTGTGTTCTTTTTGCCTTGTGTTCAACTAAGAATTCAATATGCATTTAGGGTGCAACATCCTGCAAACATTGCCCTGCTGGTTATAGCTGCCCATTTCCAAGTTCCACTCCCTCTCCATGTTCCAATGGAGAGTTCTCCTTGCGAGGACATGCAAACTGTACAGTATGTCCAATTGGATACATGTGCCCATCCACCAAGCAGAGGGCTGTTCGGTGTTCACTTGGCACCACAACATTTGGAGAGAGTGGAAAGGAAATTTGTAGTGACTGTCCTGCTGGATTTAAGTGTCCAAACCCAGAGTGAGTAACTAGCATTAAGGTGTGGGTCTTACTGAACAGTGCAGTACATTACCAATAAGAATAAGGAGATAAGCAAGTATTTCTTCAAGGTGTAAAACAATCTTGGTAGAACTGGTTTGTACATTGATTAAAAGAAGGAGTAGATTTTGATGGAAAAAAGGGAAGAAGGTGTTGAAAGATATCTATCTGAATTTGTTTCAAATGTGTATTTTAGGTCAAATGCAACAGCTTGTATGAATGGAACTTACAGCATTGGCAAGTCAGTGCGATGTTTGGAATGTCCGGCTGGTCACAAGTGTCCAACAACCAATGTAAGTTTTCATAGATTAAACAATGAATTTTCTGTGTTAGAACAACACTACACTGGAATTCATTCTGTTACCAGTTAATGTCCAAATACTAATAATTTAAAATAATAATCTTGTGCAAAGGTTGGTGCAGAGAGATCTTGCACCAAATCAAATTCCAAGTGGTGTTCATGTGGTGTTCATGCCCTCAGACATGCCTGAGTTAAATTCTTTGCTCCATAGTAGTTGATTGCATTAGGTTATCCTTTAACAAATACATTCTGTACTAAAAATTGCTCAGTGTTGGTGAGAATTGAATGTTTTCTTTACTCAGACATACCCCATTGAGTGTCTTCCTGGACAGTACAGTCTTGCTGGCAGCCTTTCTTGTACTGACTGTCCGGCAGGTATGGAGTGTCCTTCAACCTCACAAAAACCAACAAGGCAATGCCAGCCAGGTTTGTTCTTTGATTTTTTTCCCTAGAAATTATTGTGCACTCAATAGTACTCCAAGGGACTCTTGTATGATATCAAAATATTATATTGACAAAATGGCTGAACTCTTTCTGAATATTGCAGTTTATGTTTGATTTGGGTGTTATGTGGTAGAATGTCAGGAGGCATATTTGCCAATAAGTATTTCAGAATGATTTCAGCTAAAGACTTTGGACTATCCACTTGTAAATTCTATGTCATACAAGTTGCCACAGTATTCAACTTAATTTAACATTGTTATCTTTTTGTTTAGGATCATATTCTGATGGAAACGACCAGTTTTGTACTGTCTGCCCAGTAGGAAAGTTTTGTCCATTCACCAATAACTCAACGCAAATCAACTGCGAGGATGGAACATATTCTTGGGGTTATCAGGAGCAATGTACCCTATGTCCCAGTGGATGGATGTGTCCGAATAAAGATGGAACAGGAAATGTTAAATGCTTACCAGTACGTTTTAACCGAGTATCCATGATTTATTTCATTATGCACCACTGAACCTGTAGCAGCACAGAAAAGTGCTTTGTTGGTAGCTGATGACCATTTCAGAATCTCCAGAGATTTCAAATTTGTAAAGTGTATCATTACTTGATTACCTACAGCTAGCAATTACCTACAATTAACTTTAATTAACTTTATCTATCAGCTAGATACTAGATTGAAGGAGAATTTGTGCCAGTCACAGTGATTTCTTCTTGCTTTTCTTTCTCTCAAGGGCACTTATTCAATTGGCAGACAGATAGACTGCATCCCTTGTCCAGCTGGCCAGGCTTGTCAAAGAACAGACACAAATCAAACTGTTACATGTCTGCCAGGCACATATTCAGTTGGATCACAAACAGTATGTTGTCATTCTCTATTATTCTGTTGTTGCACAGGGCTTTGTTACCATTACTTTTCCTATTATGTCTTATAACACACTATTTATTTTAAGTAGTCTGAAATTTGCAGGGAAGCTACCTGTACCATATTTCCTCTTTTGCTAAATGTTGTCAAACCTGTATTTTGTAGTCATGTACATGGTGCCCTCCAGGATATAAATGTCCAAGCACCACAGAGAGTAAGGAGATAGAGTGTCCTGATGGAACATACAGTAAGGGAGGACAACAAAACTGTACTGAGTGTCCTCCTGGATATGCCTGTCCATCCAAAACAGATGACTTTAAAGTCCAATGCTCTGCAGGTTATTACACTCTTGGGCGGGAACAGGTTTGTTTATGAATCAAATAGTTTCAGATAAATTCCTTCAGCAATAATTTTACTTATGTGGCACAAATTCTGTGGCAAAACAAATTTGCTACTAAAATAAAGATGGATAAAGGTGATATAAATGTGGAATTATTGCTTGTGCAAACAAATTTTCATCTTTTTAATGTTAGTTAGCCATAGAATTCCTCAAGTTCTTGATGGTACAGTTGTAAAACTACTCTTTCTTTCAATGATACATAAATTCATTTCCCTTTCTTAAGGATTTAAAGTATATATATAATTTCATTTACTTTCGTCCTACCACTGGAGAGAATTGCTGTATTTTTGGTTCCCCTTTAAGAGCCCGCTGTAATTGGCAACGCTGTTGTGGTGTCCCTACCATTATTTGTCATTTTTTTTCTTTCATTTTGTTTTTTTTAGATTGTTGTTGTATGGCAAAGTTAATAATAAATAAATAAAAATAAGATATTTCAGAAATAATTTTCTGGTGCAAATTGTGTTCCAAAATAAACAATCTGCATAAATTTATCACACTTCATCATTAACCAGCTTCAAAGTAGACTGATGCTTTATAAATGCAACTTTATCTTTTGCTAGCAGAGGGGCAGAGAATTAAATGGTAGCTCATATCCTTCTGCCAAATCTGGTGTGAGTATAAGCTGCATCTAAACATAGAAGTTTAAGCCATGCTTTAACTCTAAATCATAACAATTAAATACTATAGTAATAACAAATTTAAGAAGCAAAGGTGCACTCCAACATACATTGTTTTGATTGGTTCTAAATTTAGAATTGCTTCAGATTAACAGTAAGTAACTGATTGATAAATCAGTGTAAAAAGTTGATGTTTTGTGTAACAGATGGTATAAGAATTGCATGATGCTACTTATTTTTTGCTTTCTCTAACCAGACTGATATAAAGTCTACTACTACCATGCACTACTACTACTATGAGGGTGTAATGAAGAAGGAATCTCTTTTATCATAAGCTTTTGAACTGCTAGACTTTTACAAATGATAAACAAAACTTTACAATAATATTGGCAGCGTTCATATTGATTTGAAACATCATGCAAGTTAGATGGATGTGTGAAAGCAGTATTCCATGATGGTGGTCATTGTCACCATCATTATTGTTATCAGTAAAGGGCTGGTTACCAGGATGGGCATCCATTCTATGAATAAAAAAGCATTGAATGTTAAATTTGGTGAGGAGGAAAATTCTAAATTGATTTATCACCCTTATGTATAATAGACTTTTAAATGAAGTGGATGAAGGTTTATAAATGTTTGAATTTTCATTTTATTTAAGTTTAATTGTCTTCATTCATATTCTTATGGCTTAGTTTTAAATAAACTTCAAACATTTCACAGCACAAAGTAGCTCATGAGAAAATTTTGTTAACTGTTATTACCTCCAAGGTTTGCACTCAATGCCCAGCTGGATCTTTTTGTCCAAATATCACATCCTCACCCATTCCATGTGCAGATGGATCGTACAGTTTGGGTTTAGCAACCAGCTGTATAGAGTGCCCAGCTGGTCATTTCTGTGAGGTTAACAAGAAAGACTCAGTTCCAATGCCATGTCCTGCTGGTAAATACAGCAACAAGTCAGCCACAGAATGCTATGACTGCAGTGCTGGTTATGCTTGCAAGGGATCAGACACAATTCCCACACCTCCATCTGGCTTATGTCCATTGGGTCATTATTGTCCAGATGGCCTTCGTGAGGTGGACTGTCCAGCTGGTACATTTGGTAATATCACTGGTGCAGCAAGTGAAGCTGAGGGCTGTCCACCTTGTCCTGCAGGTTTTTTCTGCCCTGCAGGAACAAGAGGTTATCCCACCCATAGGTTAGTGTTTCAAATGACAGGACTACTCACTTTATATTAACCAATAATTGTTAGCTGTGACAAGCCCTCTGAATTAGGTCCATTACTTCATAACTGGGAGAGTTTTAGCAACCCACCTAAGAACAGGTCCTCAGCCAGCTAGTCACATATTACCTTTATCAACCAGAAAAGGGAAAAAAACATTAGAGAAAGAAACTGTGGTGCTGCAGCAGGTGGGAGAGTATATCAGGTAATTTAGTGTTAACAATTGAGTTGAAGTCATAAATTGACCATGGTAAAGAGCAATCCCCAATCGCTCTGACAAAGGGCTAATGCTTGAAATGTCAGCCTTTAAACCCTTTATGGTGATCAATTTACATTTTCAACTCAGTTGTTAACACTAAATTACCTATTAGAATTTCTGGTTGAGTATTAGCCTAATGGCTTACAAGTGGCTGTAAGCAAGACAAGCTTATAGAGTGAGGTTTATGTACGATAACAAGATTTTTTAATCCAACCAAACTACTGAAGCTTTTTTTTAAGTGTTCAGCTGTGACTTCTTTAAAATATACTGAAGTAAGAAAATAAGTGACTTTTAATCTACCTGAAGTCAAGGTTCATGTCTGTTTGGCAGAGCTTTCATTACCATGCATTTTGACTTGAAATTTTACATCTACAGGTTGAAATGTCCCCCTGGTCACTGGTGCACTGAAGGAACAAAATCACAATTTGAGCATCCTTGTTCAGCAGGCACCTTCAACAAGGAAATTGGTCTTGAACGACAAGACCAGTGTGTTGATTGTTTACCTGGATATTACTGTCCATCTGGTGATGCATATGCTGACAGACTCTGTCCAGCTGGGCACTACTGTCTAGACAAGACTGAGGACCCCAATGCTCACCCATGCTCTGCTGGGACTTACACTGAAGAACAAGGAGCACAAGGTAAACAATATGCCATAATCACTCTTTCTTTTCTTCAAGGAGAAATAGAGAATAATACCTGGGTGTGCATAGATATGGAATTTCTCTTTGAGTGTCTAACTTGATAGCTCACAACTGAGCACAGCAAACAAGTGAGATGTCAATTTGAACACGAGAAGGGAAATTTTATATCTACAACCAACCATGTATTATTTTCTTTATCATATAAACACAATAACCCTTTACCGACAAGAAAGGTTGACTTTATTTATGAATGAAAATAAGGGGATCGACAATTCCTGAATAAAAATCGTAAAGTGCATTGGTGCCAAGGCTCAAGATGAAAAAATGCATTGAAACACTACAAAAACAAACAATGGCCTAATTTTCAATTTTCAAAATTCTCAGTTATTGACTTGGTCCTTACTGACAGAAGAAATCTTTCAGGTACATGGCCAGAATCGGCCTGTGGTAAATCTTCCAGTTGTCTCTTTTCATTCTCAGCTGTGAGAAATGCCATTACCAAAGCCACTGAATACGCAACTTTCTGTTTTTCTTTCTGTATTTTGCTTTTCTTCCCCTTCTTGGAAAGTTTGAACATCTGTAAGTGATACAGATTTTTCAGTGTTTTAGCAACCATAATCCAAAAAAATTACAACAAATGACCTCGGATTGAGAATGGTAAAGGCTTTGCTGTTTGTTCATTGAACCTGATTGAGTGGCGTGAAAGGCGAGTGATGTGTCAGCAGCTGATTGGCGATATCAAACACATGAATAAATATGCAATTTTTTCACCTGTGTTGTTAAACTTTTCCCAGGGCTGGAAATCCTTGTAGAACACCATAGTTCATATGATAAATAGTTTTTATTCTTTTTTAGATAAATGAAATTGATATATTTGCACTGCGGTGAAGAAATGAAATCAATGTAAGAGATCCTTGCAGCTAAGAACACTACTGAAATGAGTAGTTGAAAGTAGGACCTGAAAAAAATTCAGGCCCTTACAGGATTTGAACATCTCTTACATTCGTCTCTTCACCGCAGTGCAAATATATCAATTTCATATATCTAAAAATCATTAGTCATCACTTGGATTGTATATTTGGACCCAACATATTGACCAGCTCCCAGTTGGCTTGTTAGCTCAGTTAGTAGAGTGCTGCACCGGTATTGCAGAGGTCATGGGTTCAAATCCCGTTTGGGCCTGAATTTTTTTCAGGTCCTACTTTCAACTACTCGTTTCTGTAGTGTTCTTAGCTGCAAGGATCTCTCATATTAGTTTTTTATTCATTGTAATTTGTTGTATTAACATTGTGCCAAGAAATGAAATGTTAACACTCACAGCAATGTTCAATGTTTCCACTTTCATAGGCCAACTAGACTGCAAGGATTGCCCACCAGGTTACTACTGTTTAGCAGGGGCACGAGAACCTGTTGCCTGCCCCAAGGGTACATTCAATTCCCTGTCTAACAGAGGTTCATTAGCAGAGTGCCGCTCGTGTATATCAGGAATGGCCTGCCCCCGGCCTGGGCTAACTTGGCCACCTGTGAAGTGCGATGCAGGTTATTACTGCCCTGCTGGGTCCTCACTTCCAAATGAGACCATCCATGCCTGTCCAGCAGGGACTTATACTGACTATCACAACTTGACTCATGCTAGAGAATGCACCCAATGTCCAGAAAGACAATCATGTGAGGCAGGAACAGGAGGGATACAGAAACCACCTCAGGAATGTGCCAAAGGTATGGAGTATTACAAGGTTAAAATTGTGCATAGGCCAACTCTCTTAGTGGAAATCTTTCCACATTTTGGAAATAATGAAAGTAGCAATGGAGTCAGAGTAGATATTTGCTACCAATACCAAAGATACTGCCAGAGTTTTTGAGTGAGAGAGTTTGCAGTTTGAAGTTTGTCTATTTATTTGATAGCCAGGGTAATGGTCTGTGAAATCAATATTTTGAAGAATACAACCTTCAAACAAAGTTTCATCTTTAATTTAATCTTGTAGGGCATTACTGTCCCCTTGGCACCATGAGTCCCACTCAGTTCCCATGTGAAGAGGGAACATGGACAAACCTTACCAACTTGAAGTCACAAGAGGAGTGTTATGTGTGTCCAAAAGGTCATTTCTGTCTCAGAGGTTCTACCAAACCCACAGATCTATGTTTCACTGGACACTACTGTCCACCAGGTATGTAAGACATTATCAATGTTTTTTGCCTTGTGGTGCTTTTCTGTTAGTTAATTACCATCACTCTAAATGGTGTCTTTTAGTACAAAATTATTTAGAACTTTCACTCTGTGAGAGTCAATTATTTGTTCCTATAGATTTTTAAAGTTATTGTAAGTGTTTATACTGATCAACACCATTAACTTTCATATTGAAAACAATTGATAGCTTGTTATCAATTTTTCTTGAAAGTTTTAAATGATTTTTACTCCCTCTCAAGGTACTAAAAGAGGTACAGAATTTCCCTGCCCTGCTGGAACATACAACAACAGAACAGGTCTGGAAAGAAAAGAAGATTGTGTTCCTTGTATAACTGGTCACTACTGTCCACAAGGAACCACAAATCCCAAACAATGCCCACGAGGCACATTTAACGATGTTCTATCAGCAAAGGTACCGAAAAAAACTTATCTTATATATATATATTTCATGCTTTGTTAAAATAAATTGTAGATCAATACTACTGTGGATGTCGTAACATCACCTTTAAAATAGAAGAACTTATGAAAAGGTCTTGTTTGGAAAAGTATTGTAAGTCTTTGGTTCTTCTCCTTTCATCTGTTTTACTTCTTTGCTTCATATCTGCAGAACCAGCTTGATGGTTGCAAACAGTGTGTTCCTGGATACTACTGCCCAAATTTGGCAAATTATGAACTTACTGCATGTGAAGTAGGAAATTACTCGGTAAGATTAACCCAATGTTCTTACTGCATTTGTACATAACTCTTGCAAGTTGTAATAAATTTTTGCCAATGAATTAAACTGTCTGTTTTTAATGCACTGTAGAAACTTTGTTGTGTTGTAATTAAACAGAGTAAATTCAAGGTGATAGCCTAATTGAGCAATGAAGCCTTTGTTTAAACTTGGTGTGGTAATGATATTTCTACCCCAGGGTCCTGGTGCATCTGAATGTACAAAATGTGAGGCAGGCCACTATTGTGACAGCAGAACAACAAGCAAGGCAGAAATGATAGGTAGCAAAATTTGCCCTGCTGGGACACATTGTCCTCCAGGCACAGTGGAAAAACCAGACCTTCATGACAGTACTTATGCTTGTTGGAAAGGACATTACTGCCTTAGGGGAGATGAGGTAATGTTTCAATTTAACATTTTTATACCCATTTGCAATCAAAAAATAAGAATTTACTGAGCAAACATCTAGGTTATACAAGGCATTAACCAGTAATTCATTAGCTGTATTGGAAATATTATCAGTAGGAACACAAATTTATTTTGCTTTGTTTGCTTGTTTGTTTGTTTTTTCAATCTACATACTGTGTCTCATTAAGTTACATTAAATCTCGTTTATGTTACTAGTGTACAATTAATGTCTGGTCTGGACCTGTGTAAGTAATTCCTTTCAAGTTGCTCTGTCAGTTTTCCCTGAAACATGATAAGAGGCAGCAACCTGGTACTAAATTCTTTTGTTTAAAGTCTTTGTCCAAAGAACACTTAGCAATCATGGCTATCTTTGACGAGCTTATTTACTTAAAAAAAAAAAAGATGATTGAATTCTTTATGAAATGAGTCTGAATCAGCCAAACCACACATCCACAACTTAGTTACAAACATATTGACAACCAAGGTGGTCTTCCCTATGAGCCTGGTGGTTTGTTAGAGGTCTCCTCCTGCAATCATACTGCTTAACCAGTATAAATATAATTATATCTTAAGTGGCTAATTAATGAAATGAAATGATGATGATGATGAAATGATTTATTTACTTTAAAATAGAATCCTTACCCTATCAAGTGTCCAAATGGAACATTTAATCCCCATGAAGGTCGCAAACTTGTCAGTGAATGTCTTAAGTGCACAGAGGGTTACTACTGTGAACCAGAAGGCCTGAAAAATGAGGTACTTATTTGTGGTTAGACATAATGTCTTCATTTTACTTTTTGTCAAAACATTTTAGTGATGTTGTGATGTAACAGACCATAATGGACTGATAACAAACAACATGAGCATGTTCCAGCTATAACCAAATTGCATACCTGTGCTACGTGCGACATTTTGTTTTGATTTAAGAAATACCTATGTTGCACCAGATATGAGTTGAATCTAAACTTTACAGCTCATCTACCTTAACTTTCCTTTTTCAGGCTGATGTGTGTCCTCCAGGTTACTACTGTCCAGAGGGAACAGGATACAGATTTTCTAATCCCTGTCCTGTTGGATTCTACCGCAAACTGTCTGCAGCAGTGTCTGTGCAGGACTGCAGTGTGTGTTTCTCTGGACATTTTTGTGATGTTCTTGGCTTGGCAGATCCAAAAGTTTGTCCAGAAGTAAGTCACAACCTTAACCCTTTAACACCCGGATCAAATTTGTCATTCTCCTTACTGTCAACTATACAGTTCTTATAATGTTAGTTCAGAGAATTTAGTATTGGATCAACTAATTATCCCCAAATTGATATATTTCTTTATTCTCACCACTTGTCTGCTTGATATTGTATTGATACTGTAAGGAGAAATTCTGTCTTGGTCACTTATGGGAGTTAAAGGGTTAAGATGGCTTCAAAAGCTGGTTTTCACATTCAACCCATGTGCTCTTTATTTGTATCATACAAGCTAAAGCAATGATGCCAGAGTGTTCCTTAAGCACTATTAAAGCTAGATAGCTGTTTGTTTTGTCTAAGTTTCACTGAAAATCATATACATGGCTAACAGAATATCACCTGAGTGACTGAGATGTGCTGATACATAACCTTGCTGTCCAGTGTGTTGAGAAATAAGTAGTATAATAGGGATACTAAATAATTATTCCCTTGATTTATTTCAGGGCTTCTTCTGTCCTACTGGAACTACCATTCCTTCTCCATGCCCCTGTGGTTACTATGGTAACTCCACTGGTGTAAAAAAAAGTGACGAATGCACACCTTGCCCAGCAGGTCAGTACTGTGCTGGCTATGGACTTAAAGAACCAACTGGACCTTGTGATGCAGGCTTCTATTGCAGTGGAAGAGCTTGCACTTCTGTAAGTATTAATAAGAGAGACTTGTCTGGTTGTTTTGAATTAAGGGATGGGAGATGTTGTGAAGTTAATGTCAAGTTTCTGTAATTCTTCACTGCCTTTTTTGAAAATGTTTTTTTCTATTTATCAGGCACCACCTGAAGGAAGTCCTACAGGAGGGCTCTGTCCCAAAGGGGGTTATTGTCCACAAGGTGCCAAAACTCCAGAGCCTTGCCCTGTAGGGAAGTACAGTGGAACCAAAGGAAATAAAGAACCAGATGACTGTGTTACATGTGACCCTGGGTATGGCAACCAAAAAAATTATTTTCAAGATGTTTTGTGTTTCTTAATATTATGCACCTGAACAGGCTTGGAAACATTTCATGATGTGCATATAATATAACTATAACTTAGTACAGCGAATTTAAAACAATGGCTCCACTTGACCTGTCAGGAAGATGTTGTAAATTAAAATGAAATTCAGACAAAAGTGATCCTATATACAGTCTGATTTGTTTTCTTCTTTGTTCCAGGTACATTACCATAGTTGTTATACAAAAAAAAATTACAATTTAACTAGTTTGGAATCATCTTGACCTGCGAGTATTTCAACATAACATAGCTATCATTTTTGCTGAGGGGAAGGTTCAGAGACTTAGACATCCAAGTACATTAAAAACTCCAAATGCCCCCTTGCACCATTGGAAAGCAAACCTATCTCTTAAACTAATGGCTATAAGTGCATTACTGTTATGTTTATTCAAGCATCGAAAGCAACATATGAAATAAATTATTTGTGATATTGTCAGCTGGCACCTAACTGAATATCCAGCAAGCTTAAGTCACCTTTCTTATACTTTGCCTTGTATTCAGGTACTACTGTGCAGGTGATACTAACCCTGAACCAACTGGACCATGCTCACCAGGCCATTACTGCACAGGGGGGGCATCTGTACCAACCCAAAATGTCACACCCAAAGGTCACTTCTCAGAGGAGGCTGCTGTTTTTCCACGAGAGTGTCCAGTTGGAACTTACCAGGAGACAGATCGAGCAGAGAAATGTACTAATTGCACAGAGAAGAACTTTTGTGATGAAATGGGGCTAGAATTTCCAAAGCCTTGTATAACTGGGCATTATTGTCCTCCAAACAGCATAAAACCAACAGCCTGTCCACCTGTAAGTAAAGAAATGTAACAAAGGTAGTCCTATCAAAGCTGCATGTTTAAAAGTTACAAGGATTATAAACTTTGTATGCCTTTGAAAGATAGGAAACTTCATCTTTTTCCAGTTTTGCATTGTTACTAAGATGTTAAGATATTTTATTCACTTTCTAAGGGAATATTTTATAATGTAAAGTTGCAATAACTTAATATAAGATTTTTGTAGCATTAAATGTAATCTGACTATTTTAACTAATTTGTTTTCTCAGGGCACTTATAATCCAAGTTCTGCAACACCCTCAATTGACTTTTGCCAGCTCTGTGATGCAGGATTTTATTGCAGAAAGGCAGGTCTAAATGCCACTGAAGGGAAATGCTATGCTGGATATTTTTGTAAAGAAGGTTCCCCAAGTCCAACCCCAGTAAGTGGATTGAGATTCTACCTTTGTATCCCCCCTTTTATGAAGAAACTTTTTCTTTCTTTAAAAGTGATATTGATTGATTTAAAAGGTATTTCAAACCATAATTTTCTTTTCCAGAATAATGGTTCCCTTTCAAATATTACATATGGAGGCATCTGTCCTCGTGGATACTACTGTCCAGTTGGGACAAAAAGACCATTTGAATATCCTTGTCCAAATGGAACTTACAGTAACACCCCTGGACTTGAGAGAGAGGAGCAGTGCATTCCCTGTGACCCTGGAAGATCCTGTACTGGAGAAGGTTTGAGAGAACCAAACGGAGTCTGCCGCCCTGGTTGGTACTGTTTAAGAGGGGCTACGACCCCTATGCCTCTTGACGGTGTAACTGGAAATATATGTCCTGCAGGCTTTCAATGTCCAAATGGTACAGCCAACTTTACTGAATGTGAACCTGGAACCTACAGGTGACTAGTCCATTAATATATATATTTCCTCTTGTGCCATTGCTACTTGGTTGTACAGTCTGCCCATCAAACCAAGCTTGTTAGGAGAGGACAAAAATCTTCTCACAGCTTTTAAGAATTATTTTGCTTGTTTTAAAAGTTAAACCAAAGGAAGTGTTAAGGTATGGAAAGCATAAGAAAGATAATACTGTTATATTTCACACAGGAATATTCTGTGATGTGAATGAGTCTATTATGTTTTCTTTTTTCTGCTAAAGTTTGTGTCCTGGTTATGCATAAAATTCTATTTTTTGTTTTGTTTTCCTTTTTTAAGTAGCCAACAATGGACTAGTGACAAATGCATGAACGTGTCTGGAGGCGGATACTTTTTTTTCTCATGTGCAAACCTCATTATTACATAGGTTTACACACTTTTTTTTATATTTGTTACTTTCACAGCAACATAACTGGTCTTGCTGCCTGTTTAACATGTCCAGCACGCTTCCATTGTGAGGGTGGTGAAGGTGACAGTAAAACGCCAATACCTTGTCCCAAAGGTCATTACTGCCCTGCTGGTACAGGAAAATCACCAGAAAAGTGTCCAGCTGGAACTTACAATCCACAAGTATGTTTAATGAGTTTGGGTATGAGTGAAAATGAGTTGACACATGAGTTTATTTGGACTACCTACATGCAGATTATTCATGTAAAATGTCTGTTCAAGTTGTGACTTTTCATTCACTCTCCTAAACTGATGTATTCTTTTTTCTCCTGAAGTTGAGTCTTGCTCGTGAAAGCGAATGTGAGCCCTGTCTGCCTGGAAAGTACTGCAGTGGAGCAGGTGTTGTTTCATTTCCAAGTGACATATCTGGAAACTGTGATCCAGGGTTTTATTGTGTGCAAGGTATCAACACACCACGCCCAAGTCAGAACTTTACAGGAATAGGTGGTGTTTGTCCACCCGGTGCTTACTGTCCTGAGGCAAGTCCTGAACCTCTTGGTTGTCCAAGTGGTACATTTTCAAATGTGTCACAGCTGCAGAGTGCTAGTAACTGTACTCTGTGCTCTGATGGCCATTACTGTGAGCAAACAAACCTGACTGAGCCAACAGGTGAGATGATAATTTCTCTCCTAAAGTTTGTGACATTTTCTTGAGATTTCAGGTTCAGCTTAGATTAGTAATAGCATCTTCTGGAAGATTGTTTTTATTTAAACCAGGTCAGGTGGATTCTGTACATATTCCATTAATGGAACAATTTGCTCTTTGTGTGTGTTAGTTGGCATGATCCAATTATATCCAGCATTTCTGTATGTGTGATGCTTGATCGTAATTACAGGAACACTGGATTATATTTGATTCCAAGTTACAACAGAAAAAATTCACAATATGAATGATCAATTGATAAATGTTATCGTTTGAGAATGCTTAACCTGGTTCAAAATGAATACCGGCTAAGGTACCCTGTGCTAATTGTCTATTGTAACCACATACTTCATTGTTGCATGGTTTAATTCCACAACACAAATTGTGCTTTTCTTATTTTGCAGGGCAATGTGCTCCAGGCTTTTACTGCAGAAGAGGCTCAGATACAGCAACACCTGCCAATGTATCCGCCATAGGAGGACCATGTTTTAAAGGTCACTTTTGTGAACTTGGCACAGCATTTCCACTGGGCTGCAGGCGTGGAACATACAATCCAAATGAAGGAGAAACAGCTTGCTTCACTTGTCCTGCTGGATATTTTTGTCCAGAAAACTCAACTGACTTTAACCCTTTCCCTTGTCCAAAGGGCCATTTTTGCCCAAATGGAACTGAGTATGCAACTCAATACCCTTGTCCCAAGGGCTACTATAATGGTGCCACACATAGTGTCAGCCTGGTAGACTGCAGAGCTTGTCCTGGAGGGAAGTACTGCAACAGATCTGGGCTCTCTGAACCTACTGGACCATGTGCTGCGGGTTATTTCTGTGTCAACGCTGCTTGGACAGACAAACCCCAAGATTATGACAACTTTACAGCTGGTGATTGTCTCTGCCCTGCAAACTCTACTGGAGGAAAATGTCAAGAGGGCTTTTTCTGCCCTGAAGGATCTGATGAACCTACTGCCTGCACTGGAGGGTTTTATTGTGAAGGAAAAGGAAAGGAAAATGTCACTGAACAGTGTGATCCTGGTTGGTTTTGTACAAGTGGTGCAAAGATCCCAAGGCCTTCTGATGGAATAACTGGAAACATTTGTCCAGCAGGAAAGTATTGTCCAAGGGGTACTGAAACTCCAAGGCTATGTCCTCAAGGTAGATTTTCCAATAATACTGGTAACAGCAACAAGAATAACTGTTCCCTATGTACAGAAGGATCATACTGTGAAACTGAAGGATTAATTCAACCAACTGCACTTTGCTCTGCAAAGTATTTCTGTCCTCCTGGTGAAAAACAAGACAAGAACAATTCATGTACAAAGGGACATTTTTGTCCTGAAGGGAGTCCAGAACCTGTCAAATGTCATTCTGGAACTTACCAGGATCAAACACAACAAGACTCTTGTAAACTTTGTCCGGCTGGCTATTACTGTGACACCAAGGATGATTTGAGTGAGTTCACAAGTTATATTTGTCCTAATGGGTTTTATTGCCCTAATGGAACAAGGTATGCTACAGAGTTTGGTTGTCCAAATGGAACACATGGAAATGGAACCCAGCTTTTTCATCCAGATCAGTGTGTTAAATGTCCCCCTGGACGATTTTGCTATGGTAAGTGGTCTCTCATTAACTCTTATTATTGTAAAAAGAGGTTAACATATTTTGATTTCAATAAATGTAAACCACTCTTTGTTAGTTTTAAACCATGCAGGTAATTATATAATGTTAACAACGAAACTTTTGTCGTCCATATCCTTAGTAATATTCTTTGATCTTTGTGGCTTTATGATGCTTTCTAAATCGATATAATGTTCATGTTAGCTTGCACAGTCGCCGAGAGTTATCGTGAATGATTTTAAGGAAAAAGTTCAAGGAACTTTTATTCTTATAATATGATTGGAAACCAACTCTTTTTTTCATGTGTGTAGGCTCGTCTCCTACTTTCACAGGAGAATGTCAGGAAGGTTATTATTGCAGACTTGGTGCATTCACTCCCGCCCCGACTGATGGAGACACTGGTGAGGAGTGTCCTGAAGGTCACTATTGCGTCAGTGGCACGGTGGCACCTGAGAGTTGTCCGTCTGGAACATTTTCCAATTCATTAGGATTAACCATTATTGATAACTGTACTGATTGTACACCCGGTATGTTTTGTAATGGAACTGCTCTCACAGCTCCCAGTGGTGACTGTTGGCCTCGCTATTACTGTAGTGGTAAAGCAGAGCATCCAGCACCACAGGATGGTAACACTGGAGGGAACTGTACTCCAGGTCACTATTGTCCTGGAAAAACACCGGCGCCTATTCCTTGTGAGGTAATTTAGCATTCTCGTATGCAGAAGTTGGAAAACTTATCTCTTCCTTGTAATTGCAGCACTACTGCATTGAATGTTTCTTATAGCAACAGTTCCGTGGCACTTGACCATAAATTTACTAGCATGAATATTTATTTCAGTTATATGCTCCATTCAAATGGGAACTCCAATTTGCAGATATATTTCTTGTTCTCTTTTTTCCTGAATTCATTAGGATGGCACGTATATGAAAGATCCTCTTGCTGATGCCTGTTTGGACTGTCCTGCTGGCTTTTATTGTGTGAATGACAAAAGTCAGGACCCCAAACCATGCCCCCAAGGATTTTACTGCCCTGTGAGAACAGGTTTTAATTGGCAACCCTGTCCAAAAGGGTCATATGGTGACTCACCCGGCCTGGCTAACATAAGCAGTAAGTATCCCTCTGTTTAAAACATTTTATAAATTCTGTTCGATAACAAAAATAACTTCCTTTTCTTCACCCAGGCGTTTTTCTACCTTACTTTATCGATACTCTTATAATCTACCTTATCTTGTTCCCCCTTAAATACTTGGCTGTTTTTTTCTCAGTATTAGGAAACTAGTTTGCTAGCTAATCTCCCTTGAAAATGTTGTCACGAAGTTTATCTTAGAAGAGGTAGTAAATAAAGATTTGTTTTATCATATCATTTCAGGTTGCCGTCCTTGTGATTCTGGAAAATTCTGTGCTCATGAGAATGCTACAAGTGTGAGTGGAGAGTGTGAGGCTGGCTACTTCTGCCGTCGAAATGCAGAGTCTGCAACACCAAGTTCAAATCAGGATTCAGGACCGTGTCCTGAGGGCCTCTACTGTCCTGTTGGTACAGGAGAACCACAAAAGTGTCCAAAGGGCACTTACTCTAACGTAAAGTTCCTAAAAAGAGAAAGTGAGTGTCAAAACTGTACAGAAGGTAACTATTGTGGACAGCTTGGCGCCAGGAATGTTTCTGGGCCATGTGATCCTGGATTCTTTTGTCTGAGGGGATCCGAAATTCCTAATCCACCAAATGTGACATATTCGGGTGGTCCATGCCCTGTTGGCCACTATTGCCCGCAAGGAACTTCGTACCCATTAGGCTGTGAGGCTGGAACCTACAATGATCGTACTGGCCAGTCCAACTGTACCCAGTGCTGTGCAGGTTTCTATTGTCCATCCAACTCAACATCATGCGTCTTGGAATGCCCAAAAGGATTTTACTGTCCTCCAGGAACGAAGACATCCCATGAAAATCCATGCCCCAAAGGTTTCTTCAATAATGAAACTATGCAACAAAGCATCAGGTTACCACATAATACATTAAATGTTTAACGCACCTTCCATTAAAACCTCTATGCAAAACATTGTATTTCGCTGACAACAGTGGCAGTTGGCTATCCATGTGAAAAGTTATGTCGTTAGCACACAAACTGGCGTTTGAAGAAGCCTGCCATGCCGTAGATGAACTGCAACATACACCAACAAAGAAAAACAAAGTTTTAATCAATTTTATTTCCAAAAAATGCTTAGAATATAAAACTATGAATGTGAATCGTGGCCCGCGAGATTGATGTAAAATGTTATCATATCAAACTTAAAACAATCAGAAATTCAGACTTTTTAAATATTTTGATTTGATTTGTTTATTGAGGAACTAAAACTTGAAAAGTAGGAACGTTGTCAAAGTGTGACTTGCTGAATTAATCAATTCACACTTGCATTCAACTGTGTGAGGCATACAGTTTTCATTGCTTTTATTTTTTCGGTAAAAATATTCATTTAGTTCTTGAAATAATTCTCTAACATTTAAAACAAAAGCAACCAATTAATATTTTAAACGACAAATATATTTGAATCTCTTCACTTGACAGTGGGTGCACACCATGTCTCCCTGGCAAATTTTGTGGCAAAGAAGGCCTTGCAGAACCAAGTGGAGACTGTGCAGGTGGCTGGTACTGCATACGGGGAGCTTGGTCCGATAAACCAATTGATGTTGGTGTTGTTGGATACTGTAATGGTACAGACGGTTGCTTTTGCCCAAACACCACAACAGGAGGAGCCTGTCAGCCAGGCTTTTTCTGCCCAAATGGGTCACGTGAGCCTACTCCTTGCTCAAGAGGTAAGAAAATCTGTTCATCATATAGTTTTGATAACTGATTCCACAAACTATTGCCAATATGTTATCTCATTTTGCCCTAATGAGTACGAGACGACCTAATGGAGGTCGTGAATAATTAGGTTGGCGCCATGGAGCCCATCACTCAAATAGTAAACGGGTTTATGATTATCAAATCCATTTTATCTCAGGAAATTATTGTGAGGAAGCTGAACTGTCCAAAGTCACTGGCCTCTGTGATGCAGGCTATTTCTGCCTCCGGGGGGCTAAAGTTGCAGATCCTACTGATAATATCACTGGCGGAATTTGTCCCAAAGGCCATTATTGCCCTGGTGGAACTTACGATCCAGAAAAATGTCCTGAAGGAACATATTCCAATTCTACTTTCAATAAAAATATATCTGATTGTCAATCGTGTCTACCTGGCCAATACTGTGATAGTAAAGGTCTTGAGCTACCATCTGGAGAATGTGATCCTGGATTTTTCTGTCCTGGTGGACAGAAAACAAAGAGACCTGCAGAATATGTCTGCACCCCAGGGCATAGCTGTCCTTCTGGTAGTGTCAGTGAACAGGCTTGTGACTCTGGTACCTATCAAGATGAACATCAGCAGGCAACTTGTAAAATCTGCCCTGAAGGTTACTTCTGTGATGGAACCATTCTCAATGCCACACACTGTGAACATGGAGTCCAGTTTCCAGAGCCTTGTATTACTGGGCACTACTGCTTGAATGGAACTAAATTCGCTCAGGAACATAAATGTCCGCCAGGTGAGAAGCAATTATTAGGATTTGTCATTGAAACTATTTTTCTTACAACGTCAACCACTTGTCATTATGACAACCACCGATATGGCACATTGTCATCGCTCTCTCTTAAATTATAATTAATTTTCGGCAACTGACTTTGTGCTATTGCTTTGGTTTTTCGACATCGTTGCTCTGGTAGATTTTCATGTGGTCAATGCAAAAAAAAAATAGATTTTAATGAGTAAATATGAAAAAATGACATGAATTGAACTTTATTTTATTTCCTTGTTAGGAACGTACAATGATAAAACACATAGAAAAAGAGTTGAGGAATGTACTGACTGTCCAGCAGGGAAGTACTGCGAGGGTGAAGGGAATGACTATCCAACAAATGACTGTTCAGTTGGTTTTTATTGTATCAATCGAGCTGACAACAGCTCTCCTAATGATGGTGTCACAGGCATTATTTGCCCCAAAGGGTGAGGCGCATTTTGGCATTAAGTAGTTAAAAGTATGTTCTCTTTAAATAAGATCTCAATGAAAAAGTAATTGCTCCAGCTCTCCTTTTTAGGCTCTTTCAAAGGCCACGGCCTATTAAAAATTGCTGGTATTATTTGTAGTATTTTTCATTATCACTATTGTATTGTTGTATTAATTTGATTGTTGATCTGTGTAAAACTAAGCAAAAGAACAAAGCCACAAGTGAAGTGTTATCAAAAGAAACTCATGCAAGTACAGGCCCATTATCTGACTTTTGAAGAATAAAACTTTTGAGTTTCCTCTTGTAGGCTTCACCAAATTTTTATATTTTCTCCAATGCTAAGGCCTGAAACGGATGTGTTGGTAAGGAATTTTTGGAATGTTTTCATAGAATGTCAAAGCCGCTGTAGTAGAGGAATTTCCAAAGCTTTGACATTAAAGATCTGAGGATTATGGGGCCAACATGGGTATACGTGGGAGGATATATTTCATTATTAATATGCAAAGTGATGGGATGTAAATATGCTACTTCTAACAAACATCATTTGCAAAGGGTGACTCGCTGGAATAATTTAAAGGCTAGAACTAAATGTCATCCTTATTCACCTTTTTCTCTCTATAGTTATTATTGTCCACGAGGAACAAATGTTACCATCCCGTGTGAAAAAGGTACCTATGGGCCAACTGAACAGCTTGGCTCTCAAGCAGAATGTAAGGGATGTGAACCAGGAGAATTTTGTGCAAAAGACGGGCTTAATGAAACCTCTGGAAACTGCTCAGCAGGTTTCTTCTGTCGACGTAATGCTTCAGTCAATGAACCAACTGACGGTATCACTGGTGAGTATTGTGAGATACATTTTGCTTAACCTAACTGAGTGCGATTCCTTTAAGAACCTTCATTGATAGTAGTTGTTTTTGAATAAGAAGCACACAAATACTTTCCCTTATCGAACAAGTGCCACTTTGTGTTATTCACTCTTTTTGTTCTGCTCTATAATTTTATTCCAAACAAGATCATATATTGCTAAAAAGAGGAACTTATAAATGTTTATTCCTTTTTAATTGTTTGTCCTCAGGTGACATTTGCTGGATTGGACATCACTGTCCCAGCGGCACAGCCATTCCAATCCCTTGTTCCCCAGGAACATTTATGAACCACACCCAATCTGCAGAATGTTACACCTGTCCTGCAGGACATTACTGTGTGAATAGAGTGTCTCCTGAACCGTGCCCTGCTGGTAAGTATTGTGAGATAATTCAGTGAGTTGTGTTAAAGTTGAGTTTGTAAAGTATTGCTGGCCATCTCCTCACAGGTTGGTACTGCCCTGAAGGTACTGGACATGATTGGCAGCCTTGTCCCCGGGGAACCTATAGTCCGGTTGAATTCCTTTCCCGGGAGAACCAATGTAAACCGTGTGAACCTGGTTACTTCTGCGCGTACCTTAATGCTACAACAACTACAGGAGAATGTGATGCTGGGTTTTTCTGTCACAATGGTTCTGACCAAAGACAGCCTTCTGGAGGACACAAAGGTTATGCTGGAATCTGTCCAAGTGGTCACTATTGTGAGCGAGGTGATCCAAAGGCCCCTGTAGCTTGTCCTGCTGGTCACTTCAATAACATAACGCATGCTGATTCGCTCAGAAATTGTTCAAGGTGTCCTGGGGGACAGTACTGCGAGGAAGCAGGTCTTTCATGGCCTACTGGCCCCTGTGATGCAGGATATTATTGCACAGAAGGAGCACTATACCGGAATCCAGATAACCAGTCAGATACTGGAGGTCCTTGCCCTCCTGGTCACTTTTGCCCAGTTGGATCACCTTCTCCATTTGCCTGTCCTGGTGGCAAGTACAATTCCCTGTGGAAACAGAGTCAGTGTCGTGTCTGTCCTCCTGGTTATTTCTGTCCAAATGCTTCAACCAACTTCACTGATTGCCCTGAGGGTTACTATTGCCCCAATGGATCGGCATTCACTGTTCCATGTCCTAAAGGAAGCTACAAAAACTACACTTTAGGTGATAAACTGGAAGATTGCAAAACCTGCCCGGTTGGCATGTACTGTGAATTTAATGGTTTGTCTCGGCCTTCAGGCTTGTGTGCAGGAGGCTGGTTTTGCACTGGTGGATCATGGCAAAAGAAGCCTCTTAATATAAGTGATATAGCGAATGGGACGGCTGTTTGTCCATTGATTGGTGAGATTGGTGGTTTCTGCAAAAAAGGTACCTTCTGTCCAGTTGGTTCTCATGAGCCTCTCCCATGCACGCCAGGCTACTATTGTGAAACGGATAAACTAGCCAGCGAGTCTGGTGTTTGTTCTGCTGGTTACTATTGCAATGGAAGCACAGTCCATAGTCATCCTGTCAATCAAAGTAATGGTGACAGATGTCCAAAAGGCAATTATTGTCCTGTGAAGAGTTCTTATCCAACTCCATGTCCACCAGGCACTTATGCTGACACTGAATACAACCAGTTCAGGAACAATTGTAAGCCTTGTATTCCTGGTATGTATTGTCCCACTTATGGACTTGACTATCCACCCGGAAATTGCTCTAAAGGGTTTTACTGTCCTGCGGGAGAAACACAACAAAGTCCTCTAGACAAAGAATGCCAGCCTGGTCACTTCTGTCCTGAAGGAAGTGGACTTCATAATCCATGTCCTGCTGGGACTTACCAGCCATATTCCAGGCAGGAATTCTGTTACATATGCCCAGCTGGAAGTTATTGTGATCCTGATGAAGCAAGAAAGAACCTGTCATGTGAAGGAAATGTCTCTTGTGGAGTAATTGCTCCTCTAGACTGCCCTGCTGGATATTTCTGTCCAAATGGTACTAAATGGGCCAGGCAGTTCCCATGTCCTGTGGGAACTTTCGGAAATGTCACAAATCTTATGGAGCAGGACCAATGTGCCAAGTGCACGAAAGGTTACTACTGTCACAAGTCAGGTATCACATATCCAACTGACAAATGTCATGCAGGTTATTACTGCATCGAAGGTGCAAGTGTTCCAACCCCTAACGATACTGTAACTGGAGCCCCTTGCCCAGCAGGGTCTTTCTGCATTGTTGGGTCGCACAAACCAGAGCCATGTCCAGAGGGAACATACGGACCAAATGAAAGGCTGCAAAGCCGTTCTGGATGTATTGATTGTGATGGAGGAAAGTACTGTAGTCATGAAGGATTAGCAGCTCCAAATGGTTCCTGTGATCCTGGATTTTTCTGTGAGATCCGTGCCATAAGGCCTAACCCAGTTAACACATCTCAAGGAGGAGGAGTCTGTCCCCGAGGACATTACTGCCCAAGAGAAACAACTACACCATTTAAATGCCCACCTGGCACATTTAATAATAAGACTGGAGCAACTGAGCCATCTGACTGCACTCCATGTACACCAGGAATGTACTGTGAGGGATACGGTAATACCGATCCAGACGGACCTTGCGATGAAGGATGGTACTGTGAAAGAGCAGCATACTCAAAGAGGCCTCTTCCTAATGTGAATTTAACCTTTAACAACTCAATGGACTTCACATGCCCACTTTATTCTGTGAACTTTACTGGAGGTATTTGTCCTCTCGGACACTTCTGTCCTGAAGGTTCTGCCGAACCCAAACGTTGCCTCAAAGGCCGTTACTGTGGCCAGGAAGGGCTTGCAGAGCCGCAGGGTAACTGTACAGCTGGCTACTATTGCAGTGGGGGAGACATTATCTCCAATCCAAGGAACTGCACGGCTGGGTACTACTGTCCGGAAGGAACTGAAATTGAGATAGCTTGTCCAGTTGGAACATTTTCTCCATATGTAGGGAAATCGAAGGAAGAAGACTGTTTGAACTGCACAGCTGGGTACTATTGTCCACTACCTGGTGCAACAGAAGTGTTGTTTTTATGCTTGCAAGGATATTACTGTCCAAGTGGTTCTACCCATAATTCCACCGTGATTTGTCCTAGAGGAAGTAGTTGTCCCACGGGAGTTGGACAGCCGCAGAACTGTGTTCCTGGAGAATATCAGGATGAAGAAGGACAATACCAGTGTAAGGTTTGCCCGGCTGGTTATTACTGCGATCCAGCTACAAATCTTACAGGTGTTATTTATCCAACCAAATGCCTCGCTGGAAGTTATTGTCCAAGTGGAACAAAGACAGGGAAACAATTTCCTTGTCCTGCTGGTACATACAGTAATGAAACAGGCCTAGAGAGATCTCTACAGTGTATGCCCTGTCCACCTAAGCTCTTTTGTGGCTCTCCTGGCTTGACGAAACCTTCTGGACCTTGTGCAGCAGGTGTGTCATAACTGAGTTTTCTTTGCCAAAAAAAGAAAGAAAAAAAAAGGAGTAACTGTTTGACAATACTATTATATCCGCTTTCAATTTAAGTTATGTTACGCTGAGGAAAACGGTCGGTGAAGCGCCAAATGTAATGCTTTTTTGTATGTTTGTTTGGCCGCACGGTTTCTTGGCCAGGTGTCTGATAAATTGATTGCCTTTGCAGGTCATTACTGTGTCCTCAATGCTTCCTCATCAACGCCAACTGATGACGTGACAGGTAACGCATGTAGATTGGGTGAATATTGCCTAGAAGGGTCATCGGAAGGAATCGGATGTCCAAGTGGTAAGGGCCTCACCAGAAAAAATAAGTTTGAAACCAGATTATACAGTGATGTAATTGTTACAAGCGTCAGATAAATTGTAAACTTTAGAATGGAAAAATCTCGGAAACCTAAGAAGTATTCAAGGTTCTTAGCAGCAAGAGACTTGAATTGTTTGATAAACATTTCTGGGAAGCTTCACAAAGTTCTGTTTTTAAAACGGTATTCAACTATTTGACATCAGTAGACTGGTGGTTTTACGTTAATAGCAGAATTGAATAATTAATTAAGTTGCTAAATAATCTAATAAGTTATTAAAATTTAATAACTCAAGAGAGTATTTCACGTGTAATCTTTTGATGTTCTTTTTTAGGAACATTTTACAATGAAACAGGGTTGAAAAACGAATCAGGATGTCTCCCATGTTCAGCAGGCTACTACTGTGATGGAATAGGGAACGTGGTTCCCACCAAGAAGTGTCAAGAGGGGTTTTGGTGCAGAGGGGGCTCTCCAGAAGAGATGCCACTCAATCAACCATATGGAACAGAGTGCCCAAATGGCAGTTATTGTCCCGAAGGTACCCCAGCTCCAGTTCTGTGTCCCAAAGGAACATACCAGCCTGGGCGGCGCAAAGCACGTCTTGAAGATTGTGTGAGCTGCAATCCAGGGAAGTTCTGTAGTGAAACTGGGTTGTTCCGTGTGAGTGGCGATTGTGACGCAGGATATTTCTGTGAAGGAAATGCTAGTAAGAGTAATCCAGAAGATGGTGTAACGGGCAACATCTGTCCTGTTGGAAGCTTCTGTGTAAAGGGTTCGATAAAACCACAGCAATGCTACAATGGCACTTACATGAATCACACAGGTAGGTCTTTAATTGTATTTAATTTGCAAGATTTCTCTGTTTGATACTAAGTGGACTTAATAAATAATAATAGTAACGTCAGTAACAGGGGTGTTGGCTTATGGAAAGTGTTCCACACGGTTGTTATTCGCTTAATTACCAAATCGTGGGTTTGACTTAGTTTATGTTGCGTCTGTGTTTTGCAATTGGAAAGTTTAAGTAAATAAGACTCCCCTCTTGGTATTTAGTGACTCTTTTACCTCAGGAGTTGCACCAAATCGATTCAGGCTGCTCTCTTTTGCGTTTTAGGTGCTTCGTCCTGTTATGTTTGCCCTGCAGGACATCAATGCATCAGTGCAATTTTGCCTGACCCATGCCCCGCAGGCTTCTACTGCCCCGAAGGTACTGGATATGATACCCAACCTTGTCCGGTGGGCACTATCGGTAATAGGACAGGTTTGACAAATGAAACTGAATGTACACAGTGTCCCGGTGGCTTCTACTGTGAGACAGCTGGCCGAAGTATTGTCACTGGAAAATGTCAAGGAGGTATGTCCCTCTTTTTGTCCATTGATTTAAAGCTTCCTAGGTTGTTCTCTGCAGGAAACCAAGGAGAATAACAGAGTTAGGAAGGAAACCTCATGGCTTAATATGGTTGTGTAATAGTGCACTGTGATTAATATCATTGCTTTTTTCATGTTGTTCCCGTCGTTGGTAGGTTTCTACTGTACGTCAGGTGTGAATGTTAGTGCTCCTGATCAACATTTCACGGGTTTAGGAGGACAGTGCCCCGTGGGACATGAATGTCAAGAAGGCAGCAGTACTTTCCATCCATGCGACCCTGGATACTATGCAGCTGTGGAAGGAATGTCAACTTGTGATACATGCCCTGCAGGTTTGGAAATTATAATCACAAAATCTAACGTTATTTTATTAACCTCACTCCATATCACTACAAAACAACACCTATTGTCCCTTTCTTTTTGGTTTTTTTTATTATCACTTACTGTTGCAAAGGTTTAGACTTTCGATCAATACTCATTTTTGGAATTTTCAGGCAAATACTGTAATGGTACCACAGTCACACCAGCGTCATGTCCTGCTGGGCATTTTTGTCCAAATGGCACAGAATTTGCCACACAATATCCGTGCAAACCAGGCTCTTATAACAACGTTACTGACCAGGCGTCAGAGTCGTCATGCAAACTTTGTGATCCAGGCAAGTACTGTGAAGGTTCTGCACGCGTTTGGCCCAATGACTTGTGTGATGAGGGCTTTTTCTGCTCTGGCGGATCTTGGAGCAAGCGTCCAGGAGACATTGGTGTCGCCAGTTACAGTAACGCAACAAGCCCTGCTGACAGCTGCTACACAGCATTTGAATGTGTTTGTCCAGCATGGAACAAAACTACAGGTAAAGTAAAACTTAAATTGTATACAGACGTAATTTGATTTATTTGACGTAGGCATTTCATACCCAGTAGCCCTGTTATTAAAGCGATGTACTTTTCTTCAAAAAGTTTGAGCTGAAGCCCTGGGCACTCATCTTTTGTGATGGTTTAAGGCGAGACACTGTAGCTTCAAAGTGTATCTCTATCCTGCTCACCAAACCTGGATAAGCGTAGCAGCCATGCTAGTCAAGCTCGTCACGTGACACGTCTTTCTTCGTAGAAGTATTTAAAGCAGTCCACTTAATTTTTCATAGGTGACATTTGTCCTGCTGGTCATTATTGCCCAAGGGGCTCGTCACGACCGTTGCCATGCAAACTTGGTCAGTACTGTCCGCATGTGGCGTTGGCTGAACCTGTTGGAAATTGCTCGGCTGGTTATTTCTGTAATGATAGTTCAACTGTGCGAGACCAGTTTGATTGTCCGGTTGGCCATTATTGCCCATCTGGCACAGGAGTTCCAGTTCCTTGCCCTGAAGGCAAATTCTCTAATACAACAAAGAACACAGAAATTGCAAATTGCGGAGATTGTACCCCTGGTAAATACTGTGCTGGTACAGGAAATTTTGCTCCAACTCAGGAATGTGCCGCTGATTATTATTGCCCAGGTGGACAAAGTTCACCAACACCCGGAGAATACTTGTGCACAGCAGGTCACTTTTGCAAAGCAGGGACAGCCCAGCCTGTCAGATGTGAAAATGGTACCTTCCAAAATGAACGTGGAAAAAGTTTTTGTGAGATTTGTCCTGAAGGTTACTACTGCGATGCCACAAATATGGCCGTTGTTAATGCAACATTATGTCCTCCTGGTCATTATTGCCCGCTTGGTACTGGGGACTATCGAGACTTCCCATGCCCGGAGCGTAAGTAGTGTTGGTATCCTTATTTTTTGTGCGCTGAGACTGTCATTCGACATTCTGTTTCTTTCAACATTCTAAAGTAGTGGTAATAGAAATGACCAACCCGATGTTGAAATTTAGATTAACGAATATTTCCCTCTTTTTCTTCCTGATGGATGCTAGGCACATATAATGACAGATTAGGTTTGACGGCCATTGAAAACTGCACTAACTGTCCACGGGGAACGTATTGCGGTAGAGAAGGCCTTAATCAACCGTCTGGCGACTGTTATGGTGGACATTACTGCACAGAGGCATCCAAGTCTCCAGCTCCTGATAAAGACCTCCAAGCTATAAACTACACGGACTATTTGAACTTCCCTTTCACATTCCTTAACGATGCTTGTCCTCCTGGACATTTTTGTCCCAATGGTTCTTATCCTGAGCCCTGTCCATCTGGTACTTACCATAACGAGGGTGGTATCTCCAACAAGTCACAGTGTAACCCATGTCCTGTGGGAAGGTATTGTAATGGCTCTGGTATATTAAGTGGTGTTGCTGCGCCATGTGATGCTGGATATGTGTGCACTGGAGGGTCAAGCCAACCAAAGCCAACTCACCCATCTATGGGTTACATCTGTCCCCGCGGATTCTCTTGCCCTGCTGGTAAATACCTTTTTCTTTGTAATTGATTATAGCCCGCGACAACGTTGTAGGGTTTTGCTTGATATTAAGAGAGCGAGGTCTAAACAGACATCGACAACCAATTTACGAATGAAAGGCTAGTTCCACCGTAAATGCTCCGATTAAGCCCATTTTATTTACATCGTCCACAACTTGCTGACAACTTGCTGAAATCTCGCCAGGTGTCATGATTTTCTAGCTTGTAGATCACGTGTCCATCAACTAGACTCGAACCTAAATCACCAGAGAATTTGAAAAAATATGCTTTCCTCGTACTACTGCTCTCGTTTGACGAAGGAAAAAGAGAGATTTAATTTGATTCACCAATGCTATCACGCAGATTTTTATTTGTAAGAGGCGAGAGCCGTTTTTGGACTCAGATAACTCTGTAGATCGCCTCATTTTTGTCTGCTCCTACAACCTCCCTCGCTCGACGATGGTAGACGAACGTTAGGGAAAAGAGAAACTGCGAGTTATCGCAGTTTTAACTGTCTAAAACTTCCATCTGAATACGTAGGTACTCATATTGAACTAAGCTGCCTTCCTGGAACTTATCAACCTAACTTGGGACAAGGAGAATGTATCCCATGTGGAGCAGGTAACATGTGCCCTTTCCAGAATATGTCGTCAGTTGAACCTTGTAAAGCTGGCTATTACTGTCCAAATGGAACCTTGGTGCCTTGTCCTCCAGGAACCTATGGTAATCGCACTGGGCTGTCCTCTGTTGATATGTGCACGGACTGTCCTTCAGGAGAATTCTGTCAGGTGATGTTGTGTTGTTAATTACATCGCCCTCTTTAAACTGTCTTCATAAATAGTTGGAAAAAATTTAAAATTGTAAAGCTGAATACATCTAGTAGTATGGAAAAAGGCATCTTTCCGTATGGTGCAAAGCAACATGCGACTTATTGTTGAAATGGAACAAAATATGCGTGTTGAACTAGAAAAGCTGTCAAGTACAAAATAACCAATATAGTCTTTCCGTAATAGGATTATGCACAAACAGTTCCCAAGGGCCCGTGCACAGAAGGATGGTTCTGCGAAGGAAAAGCTGACACCTCCACCCCCACAGCATTACCAGAGTATCCAAGAAACGGCCTTTGTCCAACTGGTCACTACTGTGTCCGAGGAACGCAAGCACCAGCTCCGTGTCCCCCAGGCACATACCGCAACAGCACAGGTGCACGATCAGTCGATGACTGTCTGGACTGCGCTCCTGGTTTCTTCTGTAATGGATACAATAACTCGTTTCCAACTGGACCATGTGCACCAGGGTATTTTTGTCCCCAAGGTTCCAGAGCCAATGTATCCAAGCCCCATGGTTATTTGTGCCCGGAGGGCCACTTTTGTCCTGGAGGCACTGCAGATCCAGAGGAGTGTGGTGCAGGTTTGTGTTTGTCATTTTTGACGACTAAACATCAAACAATCAATTTCGACAAAAAGTTGTTGCTGGTGCATGATGAATTTTAGTTTGATATCATATAGTTCCACTTTTTGCTTAGGACTATGTTTGACAACTTTTGGTGTTATATATTTAAGAGTGTTTCTCCTCCTTTAGGTTCCAACCAACACAACGCAGGTCAGGAAAGCTGTGACCTCTGTCCTGCCGGATATTATTGTCCAATAAAGACCGCCACGCCGGAGAAGTGTCCCCCAAGGCACTACTGTCCTGCTGGCACCACTGTACCGTTGACATGTCCAAATGGAACATTCACCCATGACAACATGAGCGGCCTGGCAAATGCATCTCAATGTTTGCCATGTATCACTGGTTTTTACTGCCGCCTGGGTCAAGTGGTTGCAAAATGTGATGGTGGTTATTACTGTAAAGCTGGTAGTCCTGATCCAAACCCAGATGGTTACCGGTATCCTGTTGAAGCTGGTCCTTGTGCCATGGGGTATTATTGTCCTAATGGCACGCTCGTGCCTATTCCTTGCCCTGACAACACGATGAAGAATTACACTGGCGGGTATGGGGAACCTTCAGACTGTACCCCGTGCCCTGCTGGAAGATTCTGCTTGAATGGTAATGTTGGTTCAGGGGATAATTAAAAATAACTTTCACAATTTTTAATTAATTTACATAAATGTCAGGAGCGATTGATCTTGTCCATGCTTCTAATAGAGGTGTTTCTGTTCAGGAACAGCATACGGTTTATCATGCCCTCGTGGAAAGTACTGTCCTCGTGGGAAAGCTCCAATTGACTGCCCTATGCACAGATACCGAGACATTGTTGGCGGCAAAGACTTGAATGACTGTTTCCCCTGTCCAGCCGGTTACTGGTGTAATCTCACTGGTATGGTTAATTACAATAACAGCGAATGTCCAATTGGACACTTTTGTCCAAGTCAGCTTGGGCCAAGTCTGTGCGGAGCAGGCCGTCGCCGAGAAAATCCTGGAGCTGGGAGCAGGGATGATTGTGGTTTCTGTCCTGGCGGTCACTATTGTCCTAATGATACCATCAATATCCAGGGAATACCTTGCAAAGCCAAGTATTACTGCCCTGAGGGCTCATCAGCGGAAAGATTATGTCCAGGTGGAGCGTATTGTCCTGCCACCACTGCAATACCCATCCCATGTCCCGGTATGTGTTTATCCCTCTATCATTATTAACTGTAGGTAGGTGCTTTACCTGTAGTATCCGCCACCTGGTCAACTCATGTTGTAGAGCGCCGGTCTACCGTGCGGGAGGTGAAGGGTTCAAGCCTTAGGCCGTACCAACACTCAGGGTCTTAAAATAACTGAGGAGAATGTGTTGTGTTCGCTATGATATCTGCAAATGGCTAGACATTTTAGTCTTCTCGGACAACTGAGGACGAAGAACCGTAGGCTACGTCTCCTACATCTTCTCTGTTCTGCTAAGCAAGGGACGTTAGCGAACCCACGCTCTTCTATCACGTATCTCCCAGTGTTGTGGTCTGGCCTTTTTCCAAACATTCCTAAATCGGGGGCGCCTGAAAATGCGCTTTCAAAAAGTTGTAAACTTCTCAATACAGTCTGGCTAAAGTCCCCCTGAAATGTAATCTAAAGCGCTTTAGAGCATAGTCATATGAAGAATGCGCCATACAAGTTTATCGTTATAATGTATTACGATTATAGGCTCCAAGAGTGTAGGACTTAAGATTTTCTTCTGTTTTTCTCAGGAGGTTCTTACTGCCCAAATGGATCGCAGGTGGACATCGCTTGCTCTTACCCAAATTACTGCCCACCAAATAGTACTCAAGAGCTTATTTGTGATCTTGGTTACGAGGCCTTAAGTACAAGCGGAAAGCGTGATTCTCACAGTAGATGCTGTCTAAAGTGCTCCCCAGGGTCTTACGGTAATCATCCCCAGCGTCTTAAATGTGATCCCTGTCCAGCAGGTTTTTTCTGCCCCGGAGGTACCACAGGACCAAGAGTGCATCCGTGTCCACAGGGAGCGTTTTGTCCCCTTGAATCTGAAGAGCCAAGAGCTTGTCCGCCTGGTACTCGTGGAACTATTTCCATGGCAACAGCGGCCTCTGACTGTTCGCCCTGCGCTCCCAAAACTTACCAACACGAATCAAATAAAACAGCTTGTAAACAATGCGGAAGCAGTGCTGATTCAACGGAAGGTCAGGAAACTTGTGAGTGTTTCGGGAAATACCGACATTTCCAGGTGTCGGATGGTTCCTGTGAATGCTTATCCGGTTATGTGTTTTTTGATCCAGTCACTTATGAGAAGGTCGAAGGAAACAGTGACAAGAATTGTCAGCTTGAGGTATGGACCTTGTTATGTTCAGGAATGTATCTAATATGTGAACCAAATGGAGCTTTTACTGCCGGGAAATCGCATTCTTTGTGACGTGTTGAAAGCGAACGTGTTTTTTTGCAATTTTTTCTCTCTTTTAACTCGCCTATCGTCCTCGCTTTGTGTCACGTGCTACTTAAGAAAGAATTTTCCTCTGGCAAGACGTACCTTCATGTTGCCGCAAGCTATGAGCTTGTTGTTTTATTCGAGTTATTCAGGTTTTATTACTCTGTATTTGAATGAAACTTGTTTTTAAGTTCTTACAGCACTTTTTATTCATTGTTACTGGGACTCTTAAATTCTAGGAATTCCCACGATGCGGCACTGGTGAAGCTCGAAAAGCTGCTCAGGGAGAATGTGTGAAACCTGGAGAAGAAACTGTAAAATGTCAAGAACTGTGCGATAGTAGCGAAGCGTCCTTCTCCACTGAGGATGGCATTTGTTTATGCCCTTATACCGTAAGCTGTGATGCTGAATGCGAGGAGAACAGGACTAAGACGTACATAAAAAGAAATTCTGATGGCATTTTAACTTTGAAGTACGTGGACAGTGGAGGAAAATCAGAATCTGTTAATATCACCCAAGAGCTCGGAGTCAATGATAACGACAACGAGCAACATCCTACTGAAATTATGTTTTTCCGAAAAACCCAGTCAGTGCGGGCACTTGTGCCAAATTCTATTGATGATGTGAAAAATGCGTTGAGACCAGATGCTGCGGTCGTGACGCGCAGACGGCGAAGGGCAGTTGGTGATAATACGACTACTGCCCCTTCTACCAACACAATCGCAAATCCAACATTTTGCTTTCAGTATGGGCAGGCACTGACTTTCAAAATTGAAATCAACCCAGAAAACCGAAGCCTAAGCCATTATCCACGATACCGCAAAAACCATCTGTTGAACAGAAATGACAAGTTTGACTATGGAAACTTTAGAAAACTTCACTCTCTTATCCGTGAATCGAACGACTCTCTGGACTACTTTGTACATGTCTTTACGCAGAATGGAACGTTTGTGTTTTATGACAACGCAGAGCCTTCCCGAGAGGTAATAGTGAATGTGGTTGCTCCTGGTGTTTCGTGCGGAGGTGTCACCATTTCACCGACAACAAAGGGAGTTTTGACCTCTCTCGGTGTCGGCCTCCAAAAGGTAAGCTGGTGCTAACAATTTAAGTTTTTTGTTACAAAGGGTGAAACTGTTGATTTTGTCGTTGCTTTTTGATGTGATGAAGAAGAAACAACAACATTACTTTTTCCCACGCAGTGCTAGTCTTTACACCGCAATTCCAGTCGAAATCTTTAGGTTCTCACTTTTTTTTACATGTTGTTTCGATGTTATAATTAAAAAGGAGAAAGTTCAGCGAGGCGACTGTCAAGGATAAATGTAGTTCTTGTTTGAATGACCTAATTTATATTACTTCCTCACATTTTGTAATTTTAGCCTCAAAACCTGTCCCCAGACTGGGCAGTAATCTGGGGCATGATTGTGTTCATGCTGGTGTGTATCATTATGCTTGTGATTGCTGTTATCATATGGCGCCCAAAGAGCATCGGAAGGTTCCCTGTACGAGCACTGAGGCCCAAGTACAAATCGCTAGGAGCACCTATCCCAGTTGTCCCTATCCCTGGTAAGTAGCCTTCTATGGTTTTGTTTGTTGAGGCTCGCAAAAGAGTTTGTAACTCATCGTTATTACTGATTTATTTTATGTTAGGTATTGATGATCATATTTATGACCTTGGACCTCGTGGTTCACCAGAAGGGTCGTCGTTTGATTCTCCAAGTGTAAGATTTGAGCTGGAAAACTTCAACGTTCGTACATTATATGACAAATTGGAAGATCAAACGTTACACGTTTCGTCACAACTAGCGCGTCACCAAGCAGACTTGAGAGCATTTTATGACAGAATCAGCCAACAGGCAGAGAAGCTCAAAGGGATGTTAGATAGCATGGACGTCTCTGCACTTATCAAAGCGACCAAAGAGGCAGGAAGGGTCAAGGAAGGCGAGGTATGTAGGTTGTGGCCTGCTCTCAATTACCTTAGATAACCATAATTTTTATGTAATTTTTACAATTATTGAAGTTTGAAATTGTTATGTGTTAAGTGATGATGATCGGTTGCAGGCCTCCACTGAACAGCAGCAAACAAGTGAGGCTGGTGAACACGGCACGAGATACGGTATGACAGCTGGTGGACAGGTGAGAGAAGAGGAGCTGATGCAGTCTCTCCAGCTACTGTTGGAGAAAGTCGAAAAGGGACAGTTTTCCATGCCAGGTAACACGGCTCAATGGAATTTTCCTAATTGCAAACTTAACTTCTTGTTGTATTGTCTGTCGTCCTCTCCATCGTCTCTAAAGCCAGTGACAAATACGTTTTATTTGTCACACAGGTGTGGTGTCGGGCACAAGCATAACAGTACCAGGGCCTGGAATGATTGTGATGGGTGGAGATAGCAGCACAATAACTACTACCTATACCCAACAAGCTTCTGGGTATCCTGTGGTGGAGGTACACGCTGGTGAGGCTGCTGGGCCGCAGTGGCAGATCCAAGGAACGAGTGACGTTAGTGAGTTCCTTCGGAAAATGAATGCAGAGCGCATGCACCTTGAGCAGCAGACTGGACGAGAAGAGGAGACTGCTGTACACAAGCTTCTGAAAGAACAGGTTTGGCTTAAAGCAGGAAAAAGAAAGAATCTTATATTTTATTAACACGCATTTCCTCTGAGTCCTCATGACATTTTCCTTTTTAATAAGGGACTAGATACACTGGAGTTAACATGACAGGTTTTTTAGTTCCATTTCACGTTGTCCAGGAACAGCGTTCATTTTGTGGTAATTTTCCTAATGGTTAAAAGTTATGAATTCACGTTCCAGTTTTTGGCTTTTTTGGAAGCCTGATTGTTACATCACTGCTAATAAAACGAATGAACTTCGTCACCCATGTAACTTATTCTACGTTCCTGAGAAAGTGAGGTTTAGAACTTCAACAGCTGTACCTGTAATCCAGCCTCGTGGCTGCAATTGGTATTAATAAACAAACTACAAACAGAATCAACTTTGTGAGGGTTTTGCTTCTAATGTGGAAGCATATGTTCATTAACAGGAAGAAATCCGTTCGGGCGAAATGAAAAAGTTAGCGGAGAAGTTAGCAGACAAATTGTCTGGTGATCTCAGTGAAGATGAAATGCGAGCGGTTATGGAGGATCATGCAAGACAAGTTGTCCAGTTAGAAGGAATGTTGGCATCTGAGAAAGAGAAACAAATGGCAGCATTGAGAGAGAAGCTGAAGAGGAGAAGAGAGGAAAAAGAGGCCGCCCTCTTAAGAAAACAGAAGGAGGAGGTACGAGTAATTTTGTGGCAAAAGATAACAATAAAGAGAGTGATGTTTAACAATTTTCCTTGTCTTCACAGGCCGAGAAGTCCAAAATTCATTTGGATGATGTGAAACCTCTGGCCAGTATTGATACAGTGTTGAAGACGCAAGAAAGTGTACAAGACGTGATTGTTCAGGAAGAATCTATTGGACATGCGCGAGCAGAGGAACAACAATCCACCGAACAGGCGAATGTTTACCGACGCCAGTTGGGAGACAAATTCTGCGCTATGGTGGTAAGAGAATCGTCAATATAAGAATACACTTGAAATTTTATAATTATTTTCTTTCGCAAAGTTTTGTCGTGTATGTACTTGCTGCTGGGTAAGAAACTGAAATTCTTGTTTTATTTCAGGATGATCTTGTTGCATCTGGTTCTCTGTACGCTGATCAAGCTGATCAAATTAAACGTGAACAAATGGAACTCGAGGAGAAAATGTCACGTGACCTGGCTCAACAGCAGGCACGGCAGACGGCGCTTATTAGGGAGAAATTGGCCCAGAGAAAGAAAGAACGACTGAAGAAACTCAGGGAACAACAGGAGATGGAGAAAGCCAAGGTAAACTGAGCATTGCTGGAGATGCTCATCTACTTTTGGTGCTTTTAGATAACTGGACGCTGGTGTAAAATGTTTCTGTTCCTTATCGTTTCATGTGACTTTCACTTCAGGTTATAAGCGAAGGTGGTGATGTGACAGCTTTGCTGAAGCAACACGAGCAGGAAATAGCTGCTCTGGAAACAAGCTTTGAGGCAGAGGAGGCGCGTGATATTGCAGAGATCACCAAGAAACTCAATGAGTCGCATATGCAAAACGTGCAGCAAGTCCACAAAGAACTTCTTGATAAAGTGAGCTTAAAAATCAAACAGGTTCTTAAACATAAACATTAGTCGTCATCTCAAACAGGATATCTGTTATTATTTTGCATTTTTGTCATCTTCAGTAGATTGAATTGGATTATCCTGTTTTTTTTTTGGTTTTTGTTTCACATAGGCCACAAAAGACAATTTGGACGCGGTTCTCCAACAACAGATTATGGATCAGTTCAGGAAGGAGAACGAAGCGCTGTTAGAACACTTGGAACAACGAAAACTCAAATCCTTGGAGGACACCAAGGTAACATGGTTCCTCGAAATAACTGGATTATTCAACTGTACCATTGATGCTTATCACTTAAGGGTGGGACCGCGACTGTTAGTTATTAAGGCAAAACACAATGACACTTGTCGTAGAACCATACAAACTGAAAATGGCATTGACACTGATTTCTACCTCTTAGGCAAAACTTGCTGCTCGTCGAGCGCGTCGTCAAGAAGAAGCGCGCCGGCAGGCAGAGGAAACAGCTGCTCAGCGGATCTTAGAGGAGCAGAGCCAAGCCATCGCAGCTAACAAGCCAGTCGACGCAGACCACGTGATCGTACCCGAAGTCATATTACCACGTGAAACTTCAGAAGAACAGGTTCGTGCAACTTTACTACACTGCCCTAAAGAAGTGAGTTCCGATATACTGTGCAGAACGAACTAGTTATTGACAAAATTGAACCTCAAAAAGTAATGGTTGATGAATTTTTTCTAATCTCTGTGAATCTGATCTCTGTAAACATCTTTATTTTCAGGCGTTACGAAACGAACAGGAGCGTACCTTAGCTGACATGCGTGATAGACATGAACAAGATACCCTGAAAGTCAACGAAAAACTTGAACGAGAACTGGCTGCAGAAGAAGCTCAGGCTATGGAACATCTTGAGGCTGATAAAGAGCGTAGACTGCGAGAGTTGAAAGACAGACATGCTGCTGAGTTAGCGGCACGCTCTAAGGACATGTCACCTGAAGAAGTGCAACAGGTACGCCAAGAGTCTCTCTTTTAATCAGCTCAGAATTCCCAGGAGAGAAGTAATCGATATTCCGCAATACATTGTCATCTCATGCAAATGATCGAAACTGTATAAGTTAGACTTAAACACCGTGTAAGCAATAGTCATTCACTCTCCATAATCATTCACAATAATTTTTTTGTTTTAATTGCCTACCAGCTTTTGACGGCACATCAACAAGAACTGGAAGAAATAATGGAAAAGATGGACTTGGAGAAACAAAGGCAGCAGGCGAACTTACATCAGAAGCTACTGGAAAGAAAGAAACGAAAACAAGAAGCACAGCAGCGTAAACAAGAAAGAGAGATGGCTAAGGAATTGTTGGAGCAGAAGAGAGAACTGCAAGAAGTGCGCACACAACACGTGAGTGGCACGTGCTCAGTTGAAAGGGGAAAATTTTAAGTTTTTCTTTTGTGGTGTGTTATATTGCTAGAGATTAATTCAGATGTTTCAGTTTCTGAGTTCAACGGTGTAAAATGAAATCAATTTTTGATTAATATTCATTTGCAGATTTTAACTCACAGATCGTGCCAATTTGTTTTAAACGAATGCATTTTTCACTGTCAGGTAAAAGAGGCAGAGAAGCAAGCTATGATTGACGGGATCAGGGAGAACGGCTCTGAAGCTGCCGAGTTTGTCATCAGAAAGGTAATAAATGTGGAGTTATACAGATCATTTAATTACCTTGTTGTTTAGCTGTATTGAAAATGTTGTTGAGACTAAGCCATAGTTGCTCTTTTAATCTGGATATAATTCGTGCCGGTAACATCCTCTGTAGGGTCTGATTTAACTGTTATGTCATGGTAACTATTGATTACATGATGGCTACTTTAGTGGATTAAGTAAGAAAAAAAACACAAACCTGTTCTGTTTACAGGTTCTGGAAAAACGTCAAAGTCAGGAGCTGAAAGACTTGGAGCGTATGTTTCAGGAAGAACGTAAAGTGGCTGTTGATGAAGCACTGGCCAAGATGGAAGAAAGACATGCGCAAGAAAACGATGAACTTCGGGCTCAACACGAGAAAGAATTAAGAGAACTGGAAAAACAAAAATTAAATCCTGAAGAGTTGCAGCAGAAGAGGGCCCAGTTATTGAACCAACAACAATTACGACAAAGCGCGCTGGATAAAAAACACGCTGATCAAAGGAAACAAATTCAACATGGTGTGCAGTCAGACTGGGAAGTGCGCTTTGCGCGCGCCAAGTTAGAGCTTAAGGAGAAGCACTATCAGGTGAGTTTGGATGGAAAAAGCTTTAGTTGTCCTAATTTTATGTTTGCTCTAGGAATATTGTGGTCGCATCAAGAGATTCGTTCTGGTATTCCTTGTTAACTTTTCAATTTCCCTCTTTGCTTAACTCTTCATCTTATTTATGCTATTCCTCTCCTCATCTAGGAATATGCTGATGCTTTGAATGAGTTGACTCCAGAACAAGCAGAGGAACACAGGCGATCAGTTGAGAAGGCGCTGGCAGCCGCGAGGGAACTGGAAATAGTTAAACAAAAACTAGATGAACAGCGAGCGGAGAATGAACTGAAACTCAAACAAGAAAATGATGGTTAGTAACAATTTAACTAAAAAATTCCATGAACAGCAATAATTCATGTAAGTCAAATGAATAAATTTTTCTCTAAACCTCTCTTATTTGCATCTGTTTGTCACTTAGCATTTGAAGCCGAGCAACAACTTAAGTTAGAAGAGGAACTTAAGGCGTTCGACAAACAGCTGGAACAAGAAGCAGACGAAGAACAGAAAAAGAACGAAAAGGCAATCTTGGCTCTTAACACTCGTAAAGAAGCGCTGCTGAAGGAAAAGAAGGCGAAAGTGAAACAAGAAATGGACAAAATGAGCAAACAAGGAGCTTCAAAGGAAGACCAAGAAGCCATATTGAAAGAACACAGCAAAGACTTGGCTAAACTGATGAACAAAATGGACGCGGATAGAATGAGGATGCAGAGCTCATTGGAAGAGCGTTTAAAGAAAAGACGTGAGGCAAAACGGCAGGCTAAGGTGACTGAACTTACAACTCGAAACGAAGAGGAGAAGAAAGAATTTGAAGAGAAAGTTCAATCTGAGCGCGATCGAGCACAAGCTGAAGAGGTGATCGCTTTGAAGGAAAGCATTCATGTCGATAACCTTGTAGCTGCTACAATCGAATCTGAAGCTGCTTCACCCCCTGTACAGCAAGCGCGACTAATGCCGGACAGTTATCGATTAGCAGCTCCATTGAGCGAAGGTGAACTGGCATCGCTGCTGCTGGCGTCACCGCTGTACCAAAAGATCGAAAGCATCAAATCGTTAGTGAGTGGTGGCGCTGGTAAAGGAGGACAGTTTGGCGGTTCGGGTAAGTGGAAATCAATATTTTTACTAATGTCAAGTGGACAGTGTTATTTTAAAGTATCTGGTAGAACATTTTTAGAGTTAAACGATGCGGTTTAAGTCCTTTGATTTAAAGTAATGGGATACAGAAGTTATATCTGCATTAAGAGTCTGTACACAAGGGTTACTCAGTAAATGACATTGTGTAACGTATTGGTGTTGACTTGCTTCTCTCAGCACCTGGTGAAGGTTATATTGACATCAAGGATGACACTTTGTGGACAGGGGACGATGAACTTGTCCCAGTTGATCTGAACACGCTGCCTGCTCGGGCCTTCGTCACATACAAGTTTGGCTCTTTCATTGTCGATTTACTCGCCGTTCATTGTCATCATCTTCCTGTCACACTCTTGCTAGCCGATAAGCTGCCTCCAAACTCTCATCTACAGAGGAACGCTTACAGAAATTCCTTCTTCTACGACGCAAACAATCGTATCTTATACGTGCGAACTGAACGAATGGACAACGTTGGAGAGTTTATTTTGGTTCTGGTTCACTGCCTCGCGCACATTGCTTGCGGAGACTTACGCGACGACTCCCATCCGGGATTTATGAAAGAGTTCCATCACGCCCTAGCTGTAATTTGCGATGACTTGTTCTTTGCACGATATAGGCGTTCCTCTGCGCTTGCGCGCACTCTGTCCTCACTTCCTGCAAGCGACGATTTGGAAAGCGCCAGCCGTGTGCTGTTGGAGTCTGTATTTGGTGATGCTCATACTGAGGCTGACAAGGCGAATATGGTGGATGGACTTTTGGACGTCAAGCTTTTGCGCGGCGCGAACAAAGATGGCGTGCATTTTACACATGAAGGTATTGTGGAACGTTTATCCAAGTACAGTAACTTTGCTGTCGAGTCCAAGTTGAGATCTTTCCTGGGTGATGTGGAAGAGAAAGCGTCCCACGCTCGTCTTCAAGGCACAGAAGAGTTTATTGATAAACGATTACACGAGCTACAAGGACCACTAGCTAAGGAGAGACCAGTGTCACGGTACGCTCAGTCACGTGGGAATTTGTTGTCGCGTGGAGTGTCTCGACAGGTCTCCCGCGCCCAAGCTCTGTCACGCAATGCCACTCGTTTGCCCATATCTGGGAAATCTGCACAGCCTAAAGAGGACGAGGACCTCTATAAAACCTTCTTAGAGGTATGTTCACGTGTTTTGATATTTTATCTAAGATGCGTTTTGACCTTTGAGGATACTTGACGTTATTGTGGATGTCTATGTGTAGGAGGGGAATTTCGGGAGAATGAGAGAACTCCTTTTCTGAGATCAAGAAAACTGCTGGTGCAAAGTAACTTATGTACAGATATGCAAGATAAATCAACTTATTGAAATCCTTTCTTGCTCTGGTATGTAACATGGAGAGGAAATATTTTATAGGGTCTGAGAACTAACCAAACTCATTCGTGACGAGACAAGAGCACCTTTACCTCTGAGATTCTGATAAGTAGTGACTTTGTGAACTTTTATTACAGGTTCAAGTTAATGACATGCAAGACACTGTAGACAGCTTGAACCAGGAATTCGCTCAGCTTTCCAGGCAGTCTCTTGATGTCACTGCAAATCTAAGGGAACTGGAACAAGAACTGTTGGCTCAAACAGACCTCTTCAGGGAATCAGCGGAGGGCAGCACGGAGCATGCTCAGCATAAGAATGCTGTTCGACAAACAACCACCAAGATAACTACTGCAAAGGCATCGCTGGAATCCATTAATCTGCAGAAGAGTAACTGTTTGGAGCGACTGAACTTGTTCAAGAAAAAGTTGGAAGAGAAACAAGCACAACTAGAGCAGCATGTGAACAAACCCGAACACGAGCGCAAACAACAAGCTGAGAGAAAACTACAGACAGCCATGGGAGGAAAACCAGTCAAGAAGAAAACAAAGAAGTAAACTTAGTGCTTTTATAACATTTGTATTTTTTTAATATTATTTATTTGCACTGATTGCAATACAAGATATTTAATTAGAATAGGCTGAAAACATTGAATCGAAGTTTTAGATCAAACCGCTATTTTTTATAAATTTTTGTACATGTGAAGCCGTAGTTGTAGACAGTCCATTCCTTCGTGTAGGCTCATCCAAAAAAACCGTGCAATACAGCCATCTAGTCTATTAAATAATTGTAAGATTTAGTTTTTCGACAGTCCATCGATAAGAGCCAAATCAGCTTGATGTTTTGTCATTAATTTAGAGAGAAAAAGCGATTTTTTTGTATTGAATGAAGCGCATGATTTCAGTTTATTATAGTGATATCTATTAATGTAATAAATATCGAATTGAACTATTTTTGAAATCTGAGAGAAATTTATTACGGTCAGTTTGGTCTGATTAAAACTTTGATTTTAGTTTCCTGAACACGGAAAAAGGCAGTGAAACATCCTTTTTAAATTCCTTTCTCCACTGATCCAAGGAGATGAAAACGCGGGCTCAATGTACGTTATGCCCCCCCCAGTTGTGGTACCGAGCTTTACGTCTCAGATCCTCGATGCTTGTTTGTTGATTAAACTGACGATTATAATCAACCTGACTGACACTGGTAACAAAACTGGCGTGGTTACACATGCACAGATGCTCAACACACCCAGTTCTATAAGCACCATGGGTAAATGGTGTGATAGATGTTTCTTGGCGTAGCTGAGTTACGTGATTTGGTGGTTTGTATGTCGGGGTTGCCGGGACAACGAAGCCCCTCTGACTCGGTCCTTCCTGCCGACGACTTTTAGCACGACGGTTTTGAAACCAGATCTGTGGATAAATCAGCGGGATTGTCACAGTGACATGCTTTTCATCAGAACACCTAACCTAGCCCCAGTCTTACTCCTCTCCCCTCGTTTCAAGTACCCTCTCTCAATTTTGTGTTTTGTACTGGAAATGTGAGATGAAATCAAGTCATTAACAATTGTTTTTTTTTTCCTTGATGTGATATACCGTATTTCCTCGAGTAAACGCGCTGATGCTTAGTTAAAATCTCGCCTAAAAGAAGGAGTACCCATTAAAAGGAGGGCGCAGACTCCTGCGCTAACTCACTTCTGGCTGAAGCTTAAAACGTTATAAATGAAGTGGCGATAGATACAGTTTTTCCCTGTTACCCTGCAACTAGAGATGAGGGAGGAAGGGAGGCTCTTATTCGAGACGGGTGCTTGTTTGACACTATGGCCTAGTGAGTAAGTGCTTATCCAAGGGAATTAGTGAAAATTGATGGCAATTGAATTCATTTTTGTTTGTCCACAACTTATCAAACCAGTTTTGAACTTAAAAGGGTAAGTTTCTAAAGAAACTGTGGTGCTGCGTCGGTGGGAGAGTATAGCAGGTAATTTAGTGTTAACAACTGGGTTGAAAACGTAAATTAGCCACCGTAAAGGGTAAAAAAGCTGACGTTTCGACGCTCGAAACGTTAGCTTCGAAACGTTAGCTTTTTTACCCTTTACGGTGGCTAATTTACGTTTTCAACCCAGTTGTTAACACTAAATTACCAGTTTTGAACTTGCTTTGTTTCAAAACAATCCCACAAGACCCTGTTCGGCGAGTTACCTGAACTCTAGCTTCTGATAGGCCCATCCTCTTCGCCAGTGTCTCCCGCGTCAAGGCATCTGGGTAATGTGTCTGATCAAACAGTTTCTCCAGTTCTCGCAATTGTTCTCTCGTGAAATTTTTCCTGTTTCGCGGAGGTTTGCACCGGTTTGTTCGTCTGGGTGATTCGTCAAAACCTTCCGAAAGAATACACAGATATTAAATAAGCGTATCAGTATTTTAAAAAGACATCCGAATTTGATATGGACTGTTATTTCAAACGTTCTTCCTGAACCTTATACGCACTGTCTAGGATGCAACATGCTTTTAAGTAATCTCACTTTATAATTGACGAACGTTAAGCTTGCTTCAATGTGAATGTTCTCTGCCGAGAGTCCAGTGATCCCTCGGCTTACCAAACCTCAAAGCAGTTTCCCATTTCTTTTAAGCTAATCTTCGCTCCGTGGCTGAATCAAAAGGTTTAGAAAATTTTCTTTATAAATACTGGAGTATTGATACGTTTAGTCTTGTTAGAATCGATAAGAAAATTCTCGAGGTAAGACTGACCCAAAAGTTCATCAGTCAAATTGTTTTTCTTGTTACTCGGAGTAAGATGGTTTTATACCAACTGAGTAGAAATTGGGACTTTCAATATAAACTATTGCAGTGAACTGTTTAATCTACAATTAATAAATAATTATTATTACTGTTTATATTGGCATATTTTGGTCCATAGATTACTTGATAAGGACAAATTTATAAATTATTTCAGACGTTAACCTTTTTGATGAGAATTTCAGGAACGCAGTGACTTCCTTGTAGTGTCTCAAGTTATGTTTATAACAATGGCACAGGAAAATGTCCCGTTTTGCATTTAGGAATTAATTTCTAGAAAATAGAAATAGTTAATCTGAAAGTAGTTTAAACTACAGTGAGATAGTAATAAATTCAACCTTACGGCGAACAAAGACGAAATGTTCTGTTATTTGGTTGTTTCTCTCCTACCTTGCACAGCATACCGTCTCATTTCAATACTGATGTCTTCGGTTTCCTTTTTCCTTGGCTCATTTCGTTTATCGCTCAAAATTTCCGCAATGCTGAATGGAAGAGTCACCAAGCTCGAAGAAGATGAAGCATTGTCCTGCTCTCGGCCACCATCAACTTGTGTGGCTGATGAATCTTGTGGCTTTACCTTGTCGAACCGGGACACAAAAGCAGTAAGACCATCCATGGAATATCAATACCCACTTATGCAATTAATTGTTGCATTCTTGCTCTCAATAACACTGATTACAGCTCACTTTAGACTGGGCGAAATGTTCACTAGATCCTCGCCTCACAAGACTTCTCAGACGCGCTGTGTAGATATACAGCCAGTGGATTTTGACACGGTTAATAAAACACACAAGCAAAACAATGATATTAGTTCTTAAGGATTGTTAATTAAAAGCTCATCACTGATTAATCAACTTTATTATTTGCGTTATTAGTGACAGTTTATAAAGCTAAACTTTCACCCCCTACCATTCATTTATTTGTCCTGTTATGAACCCATACCGCGAGCTACAAAACACCACTGAAAATAATTTCAAACATTATTAAAGTAAAATTTCAAGCTGGGAGTGTGCACAGTGGAAATGAAAATACCGTGTGCTTCCATTTTACCACAGGAAAAGTCATTGTCGCATTGTCCCGCTGAGAAATTATTTCCTTATTAATTAAGTTCTTTTCAGAGCTGTCAAAGCCGTTGATAAATGCCTCACGCCTCTGATCACACAGATAGAGAGAACAACCGCTACACCACTGGTGTAATCCTTTTCAATCATAAAAGTAATTTATTTCAGTTCGAGCTAATTGCGTCGAGGTTGAGATAATCTGGAGTCACATTTTCACGGAGTGAATCCAGGTTTCAGTTGAAAAAAAAAGCAACCAGCAGTTGTCATAATTCAATGCTGAGCGGCGTTTTTGCGTTCCCGCAGAGTTGAAGTATAAATTGTCTCCCGCTAAATCTTGCCGCATCGCTTCTAAAGCCAACTGTTCCATTGTACTATGGACTTTCAAAATTGTAAAGCCACTTAGGAGCCTTTGTAAACAGAGTGTGTCTTGCAGTAATACTTGTTCAAGAACGCTTTCGTTGTTTTTCCCATTTGGGGCTTGAAATTAAAATGATGAAGAAAAAAGTGAGATACTCATCGAGTGTGGTACCGCCTTGTTTTTCAAGCGAAGTTGAAAGATTTGTATTTAATCTTCACAACATTGAAACCACAGGCAATTAAGAAGACATGCGATAGTCAGTCATCAAAAATATCTGACGAAAATTTCACTGTTTCTACGTCAAGCGTACCACCCAAGAAAAAACGACAGATCTGTCCTAAAAACTATCAGTTTAGTTTGGCAATATTTAAAATAAATGAACGCTAATCATATTTAGTTTGTAGTGTAACTTTCGCGTTCATCATGGTTTTTCAACGGGACATCATGAACTCACGGCGCCCCCTGTTATGTGACTATTTGTGTTTCGTGTGGATTTTGTTTAATAAATACTTTCTTATTACGAAGTTCTTCTCGAACTTATAAATGGCTTAATTTACTGCTAATGACTCGATGTTTTTGTTTCAGCTTTCGTGGCTAATGTTGAGGTCTTCCAAATTACAATTGTTGTTCTCCCTCTATTAGTCTCGTCACGTCTGGAAGAAGTAGGTTTTCTTTTTTAAGAAAAATACCTTTGGAACACCTTGTTTTTCCTTCAGAACAAAATTGCTTGCAATTAAGTTCTCGCGGTCGTTAACAGATAATTATCATTGAGTCACTTAAATATTTTAATCAGATAATCGAGATATGTTGTATTCGCTCAAAGCAGAGGACGTTCAGAGAGACAGATGTTGATATCGAAACTCCTCCAAACGGCCGAGGTACAAATGATTTACACGAGCGTCAAAAGAAAACTGAACACTACAGGACTCTGGTTCTTTACGTCTGTAAAACCAAAGTAAACTGTACAAATGACTTTACTACGACTGGAACAGAGAAAAATTGAACGGAAACAACACAAAGCTTCAGTTCCATTCACGAGGAAATTAAGATGACATCGACCACACAGGTAGACGAATTGTCATAGCTGATCGTAAGATGTCACTTTAAAATCTAGATTGGGTTTTAATAGTTTTTCACGGCTTTGTTAAGATCAGAACACGATCAAACTTCAATTGAAATAAAGAGTTGAAGTAAAACCAAACAAGCCACTGGTTTAAACCACTTTTTAATTTAACAGTTATCAGATGAACGCCATTATATTACATGAATAACTCTAGGGAGGAGAGGGTGTTCTTATAATATTGATTCTAACAAGAAAAGTTCTCGGAAATGTAGAATCGCCGAACCTGTAAAATGAGTCACTGGAATTTCACACAAAAGTCATTAAATTAATGTTGGTGTGCTTCCAAAGAGAAAGTTGCCTCACGCTTTACGAGAAGAAACTAATATACGGCCAGGAGCACGCCAAGCTGAAAGGTGTAATGATGACAGATGCGTTTGAAGAACACTCTGCAGAAACTTCACTGCAATTTAAACGTTTTTGATTACTTTCCAGTTTCAGTTCCATTCCTTACTATGGTTTGTGGTATGACTGAAAATCCTTTCGTAGTAAATTTGGAACTACAAAGTAATGTTAAATTAGGTTCCTACTCTGCTTTCACATGTCATGTGACGATCGGTCCAGTCTAAAACGGTTTGAAATCTCCAAACGTAGCTGCGTCAGAGACTGGGGCATGCATGTCTTCTCTAATGGCGCTACGGTCACGGATTTTAGCAACGAGAAGGGAGTGTTCAACCTAAAGAGAGACAGTCAACAACCTTATTAGTTAACATTGTAAAGAACAAATATGTCTGTGTTTGTAACTGAGGGACAGCAGTTACTTGAAAATGTAAATACCTATTCTACTCTTACTTCATGACTAGCGAGTTTTACCTTATTATGAGAAAGACTTTCTAGGAAAACGGTAAGAACTGAACAAGTCGTCTGCTGTAAGTTTCCAATAATTGTACTGGGTTGACATACAGAAAGTAACGTAAGTGGGAAACATCAGAGTTTATTTTTGTAATTTGCCGTTCCCTAAGCGTTACGCCTAAAATCACTGTTACGTCCCGGGATCTATACGGAATCGTATTCGGATTCTTGTCCGTAAAAAGTTTCCGACAGTCTTGAAACTTGCTGTAATCAATACTAAGACACATCTCTAAGTCATCGAAAGCTCAACGAAATCCAAGTCGACTTGAAACCCCTTCCCTATCATTTTTTTATGTCTTTGAAGTACATAATGAAAAGAACGAAACAAAAGGCAAACAAACAAAAGACAAGACCCAACTTACCACTCCAATACGAACTTCCATTTGTTGAACTTCCTGTTTAAGTCTTGTCAAAGCTTGTTTTATTCTGACTAATGGACCTGCATAACACAATTGAAATGACACTAAAGATCTTCGCTCCCCTGTTACAAGTCACTGTCACCAGAGTTGCAGAATGAAATCAAAGATATAATTATGTCCCTTACCTGCATCAGTCATATTTGTTCCTCTTTCATCCATCTGTGCTTTGACAGACTCAAGCTCTTCAGTGATCTAAACAATCACACAAAATGAATTCAATTTGGTTTATCATCAGAATACTGTGTCATCAGGTAAAAGGAGTAAAAAACAATCACAAAATTCCACATGTAAACAAACCTGTGATAATGACTTGGTGAGGTCAGTTACTCCCCCAGAGCCTTGCTTGTAACGTTCTTTAGTCTGATGACACACACAAATATATTAAGACACATCAAAATTGTAGCCCGAGTGAACTTACATCTCTGCAAAATTAATATTAACAAACATACCTCAGCTAAAGTGTCCTGTAAACTCCGAAATTCTTGTAGCAAATGTTCCAGCTGTTATAAACAATAGGCAGAAATGATTTCCGAGTCAAACATTAACACTCGAACCTAAACTCTAACATCTTTTTAATTCATTTTATTTTCTAATTAAGTTGCACCTGATTGTTGATGTACTTTTCGCGACTTCCTATTTTCTCAAGTGTCCTGCCGATTTCATGGTGTAGTTTGTCAAGATGACCCTGATTGAAATAGCAGTTGAAGATGTGAGTAATACAGAATGGTGATGAGCTGGCAGCAAAGTAAACAGTCTGTAATTAGCCCTTAAACTCCTACAAATGATCAAGACAGAATTTCCCTTTAAAAATATCAATACAGTAACGAACAGACAAGAAATAAGAATAAAGAAAATATATCAATTAGGGAACTACTAATTTATCAAATATCAAATTCTCCAACTAACTTCATAAAAATTGTATGGCAGACAGCAAGGACAATTTCTAAATTAAATGACCTCTCAATAGCAAAAGGTTAACTATGAAAACAATTAAGGTACATGATAATTAATCTATTGGTGAGTTCCAATTAATCGTACCTTTGTCTCTGTTAGAGAAGATTTAATTCCTTCACTGTGTTGTTGCATTTGTTCATAATGTGTCCTCCAGTCCTACATAGGGGAACAGATGTAAAACGCCATCAGAAACCCCGCCTAAATCAAACTGCCACTGACCAGAACTTAAATTGGATACCTTTGATTGCCTAAAAGTTTAAAGAAAGATAAAATAAAAGGAAATATTGTTAAAAATTTACCTTGTTGTCAGTTCTAATGTGAACCTTCAGTAGAGGCAGAACTCTTTCAACTTCAAGTTTCCACTCGGCAGCATCAATAGTTGACTCCATCACAGACTCAGGTTTTGATGAATCAGTAATCTCCTTCATAGCAAAAGACACAAGAAAAAACATAGAGATTTTGATCCTGAGATGAATTCATTGATCAACAATCATCACAAACTGGTTCTGATTACATTCATTTGTGACTGCTGCTTCATTCCTGCCAGATCTAGATAACTGTCTTCTTCTTCAATTTCTTCCTCTGTTTCATCCTGCCCAAAAGAGGTACAAAAGTTAAAAGGTAAAGCTCAGGTAAAAGGAAATAAGAGTTTATTATTAGAGATGATGTAAATCAACTAAGCTTGAAAGAAAATGCCTGCACACAGTGAGCATATCAATATTTTGATTTAAGTTGTTCTCACTATCATTTCTTCCTCCACTTTGTTCAGTGTCAGTTCAGCTTCATCATCTTCCATTGTTTCCTCCTCAAAGTCTTCCTGTTCATGTTGTGGCCTGGGAAGTTAGAAAAATATGGTTTCGTCACAACACAAATAAATTTGTGAACTATCTTGAATATATATAACGACATGCAATAATATGGACATTTACTTTTTCCAGCCAAATTTCTTGACTTTCAGAGCCTCGTCTGCAAGTTTATCAATTACATAGCAAACCTAAAAAATATCATAAAACAAACATTTTCACAATCATATCAAGTTGCATATAATTTAATCAACTACTTAAAATGGACATTGCAAGCTGAATTACAAATTTACTTTTACCTTGTCATTCTTGGACTACACTAAAATTATCACCTTGGATCAGTAGAGTTTAGTGTAGTGTCAGTCACATTATAATAAATATGCATAATAACAACAAAAATTACATAGTTTAATAAGGTTTGTGTTCATTTACCTGTTCTCCTGTTCCTGTTTTCAATTTTGCTGGTGGAAAATCTGCTCCAACATTCTGAAATAAAGTCACTTATAATAAATCACAAATAAAAATTAACTTATATTTAGTGACTAATCATCAGTCTTATGAATTAATATAAAATGATTATTGAATTTGTCTCACCAGTTTTTTAAGTTCATCCAAAATGCTGGACACAGTAGCATTAGGGTCATCATACTGAAAAAGAAGACAACTTCAATAATTATACACCATGGATGTATCAAGCACTCATTATCTGACAGAAAACAGTGACCAGTGATCTCCACGTTACAAACCTCTTGAGGTTGTTCAAAGTTCCTGTCACAACGTGTAAACAACCAAGCTGCTAATGATGTGAAGGTAAAAAACTGCTCCCCTGGGTTAGTTGCCACTGCAAAGTAGTGCCTGACAATGTTTGAAAAAAGAAGGGTTAAATTACCAACTATAACTTGGTGATTCGCGGTCGACTAGGAGCTAAAAAATCATCTTTCTTTCCACATAAAAGACCATATGTTTGAAGAGCTCCACAACAGAGTTTTGTTGTTCTGGACAGAAGCAATCCCTGTCATTATGGATAGTCCTCAAATCATCTTAACACAACTAAAATTGCGAGGTTTGTGTCAAATTTTACTAGCTGTTACCTTGACAAAGGTCTGAACCCCATCTGTTTGCAGAATTCCGTCTCGTAGTCAAGCAATTTTAGTTTCTCGAGAACTTCTTCCATAACCCCTACAGTTAACATATAACCCATAGAGGCATTATCAGCTGTGGCATCAGCGCCACGGCGCCCTTCACCCTCCATTCCCTAAATCTTAAGCTTCTGAAATTAACTCTTTTTATCAAATGCGAGAAGAATCGACACCAAACTCAATAGTTGCCATGTTATTTTTGATCTTGTGAAAATAAGCCTCGCTTTCGTGATAGACAGTTTAGAGCCCGCGCTTCTAATAGCTGACTTTTTTATTTTCAAGATGGCGGACGTTTCTATGAAGAAAGTGAAAGATCTGATCGCGAAGAAAGATGCTATTGAAAAGGAAATTAAGGAGTTTCAAGACGTCCTAGACTCGGTAAGAACTCTTGACTTTGGTTGGATGTAAAAGTTGCCCCATTAATGAATTTTATGGTTTTTTTTCCAGCAAAAAGGAGTTGGGATGAACGAAAAGCTGATTGACGCAGACAATTACCCTCGTTCAGACATTGATGTTTATACCGTGAGAGTCGCAAGAAATCGGATTATATGTAAGAAATATATTTGTTTCATGTAGTTTTCTCGGAATATGGAAAAACATAATTCTGATGATCACTGAACGTTACTATTACAAATGAAATTTCAACCGAAATTTTGCTGACTAATGTTAACTGTTTTTCTTTTTTATTTCATCATGACAAATAGGTCTTCAGAATGACCACAAGGCGCTGATGAAAGAAATAGAGGAAGGAATTCATGAAGTACATGCTCAAGCACGAGAACAAAAAAATAAACAAGAGACTCAACAAGACCAGGAAGTGGAAGGTAGCAAGGCTCAATCACTCACTCATTACGCCGTAAAATAAAAAAGTACCAGTATCAATATTCTCCATACTCTTCTTAACACATTTCTTAAGGTGCTGACAAAGAGAATTTGTTTGAAGATCGAGAGCTTCTTTGGTTGATCATTTCCTGTATTCTCATGACCTTTATGTGTGATTCATGGATGATATTGTTAAGAGAAATTAGATGCCAGCCTCTCTTTAGGGTCAAAGGGTTAATCATCAGTCAATTAATGTGTTTCCCTCCTGCTAATATAACTTTGTGTCACACATGTCAATAAATTGATACCTTCTTAGAAAAATCATTTTTAAGACTTAGTAAAGAAAAAGGCATCTAATTATCAATGAACACTCTTAGACATGGCCATGGATATATTTTCAGATATTTCGACCAAACTAAAAGCTTTCCTCAGAGTGGATTCAGTAGCTAATGCATCACCGTCATTCCAAGCTGTGAGTATTCTATTCCATGTGTTCACTTTGCTCCTTACTGTCCTTTTTTTTATGTTGTTGTTGTGAACTGTTAGGTAAATGACAGACTGGTCAATCCTTGCTCTCTCTTTTGTAGGGTTTGAAAGCTGGTGATCGCATCTTACAATTTGGTTCCATAAATGGTGAAAACTTTCACAGCCTTGCAGACATAGCTTCTATTGTACAGCACAGCAAAGGGGTAAATAATAAGTTCGTTGTACATTTTGTTGTATAGGTGTCTCAAGTTAAGCTAGGTTGGGTTAATACATTCAGTCCTTTTTTATTATCATTTTGTTCTAACAATGGTTTGTTTCAATTTTTGTTAGTCTGATGTATTTCACTGCATGATGCAATAATATTATTCATTGGTTCTTTAAGTAAACTGTGGCTTTGAAGCATGTTTGTACAATCTGTGCATCAAATTAACTTAATCTCTAATACTTTGTCTAGAGACCAGTGAATGTAACTGTTGAAAGAGGAGAGAGAACAAAGGCAATCACTCTCACTCCAAACACATGGAGTGGCCAAGGACTTCTAGGGTAAGACATGCATTCAGACATTCTTTTTTACATTTTCATATCATTTTCAGTATAGTAAGCCCACAGACTTAAGAATATTCTGTTGTTCTCAAATGTTCTTAACAATAACTGTGGTACACCCTGGTTGATGGATTTTTTTTACTTTTTTTTTTTTAACAACATGAAAAATTTTGAATTTATTTTCAGTTGCCACATTGTACCTGTGAAATAGAAGCAAGTTTTTGCAAGTTAGTTTGTTAACCAGCAAGTTATCAACAAAGAAAACTATGCCAGCAACATTCAAGCCCAAATTTTAAAATGTTCATATCCAACTGGGTAAACAAGTTAGCAACGTGAAGGATGTTAGTCCAGGACAGAGCATCGAGCAAAGTAACTCCATATTTTGAACCTTCTGATGAATGAGATGGCATGAAAAGCCCTTTGTGTATTGCTCCTATCTTGCACTGCCCTAAACAACAACAGGGTGTTTCACTTCTACTTGAAATTTTTATATACTGTACCACTGGGAATAGACATATTAAGTTATTAACAACTGACAGTGTAATATGACAAATTGTTTGACATGCCAAGGTTATGTAAAGTATATGTACAGTACCAAAAAGCTCATAAGACAGTACATTACCCAGTATGTTGCGATAAAATACAGAAACATTTCTAATTCAGTACAATCTGGTCACCTTACCTTCTTACAAATTAAATTTGACACAGTAATAATTTCAGCCTTTTGTGTGCAAAGATTTTCTGAAGTTGTGTTGTAAAAGTACATGTACTTCACAGAGTGTTGCTGGGCTCATATTTTCAGGTTTATTAGTCACAATCTGACCTCATTTGTTAATGACTACTGAACGTAACTTTGTGACTTTTGGAAACTACATTTTGAGGATAATCAAATCAATTAACAAGTGTTTTGATCAATAAGCTTTCTGAAAACAAAGCAATTGTACAAATAGTTTTTTTTCCCCATAAAAATCATAGTTGAACAACTTCTTGTCCCTTGTACCCTCAGGAGTGACCTGTGAGTTATTTTCCTTTACAATGTCCACACTTTGTGAAGAGGAAAGGCAATGAAAAGATGGAAAAATGAAAACTTAGAAATATTGTTTAATTTAATACCAAAATGTGTCTGCTAAGAAGATAAGAAATGTATGGCTGACAGTTCTGATAGTTGATCTTTAGATCTTGGAAGCAAAATGGCTCAATCACTCTAAACACAAGTGTCAAAGTTTCACCTACTTCAAACTTACCAGTAAATACACTTGGGTTATTACACTCCATTTTAAAATAAATAGTACATACCGAATAAAGACTGCAAGCAGATTATCTGACTGCACCTAAGAAACAGTGCCAGCACCACACAACAATACAAGTTTGTAATTTAAGCAATTACTGTTTGCCCTACTTATGTCCATAATGAGTGCAACATAATTATATAATTACAAAGAGTAAAAATCCCTTCATTCTTCTTAGTGAAGTGTTGAGTTGCTGAGGCTGCTGATGCTGTTGTAGGCTTGATAACCAATTGGTTTTTCAGAAATCAAGCCTTGCTTCTTTCCCACTCTTTAGGGAGGAAATCTAAGACCAGACTTGAGAAAGCTTATTGTTGTTTCAGCAGTTCAAAAACTCTGCCATTATCATATCAGCTGAGATTTGTGTTCTGGATAACAGAGTGAAGAATTTCAAGTCCATGCATTTCTTTTAGCTTTTCAAGATGTCTGAAAAATACAATGAGAATATTTTTAAGACATTTACAACCAGTCATATTTAAAATGACTGAATATTTTGTAATGTACAACACCAGAAATACTATTGCCCTTTTCTACCTTTTGTCTGATGTTGCAAGTTTTGCTAAACAAATGGCAGCATTCTGTTTGACATCTTTGCTTAGCTCATCATTTGTTGCATGCTTCAGGAGGATTTCCACCACACCATTATCACTGGCCAAATGTTCACTTACTCCCTCTGCAAAAAGAAAATATTGCTAATAAACTAAAGCAGACATCAGGCATAATTAGTATTATAACCAAATGCAAGTTAACTTGATGGGTAAATACACTTTAATATCCAAAGTTAGTATCCAAATGAGAGCAAGATTTTTGTTAAGAAATTTAGTGGCAGAAGAATAGTGTAAACATCCAGAAGAATTTGTAAAATTAGCTGAATAGCTGAATAACCACATTTTGACATCTTTTGTGATCTATGACTGAACAGATGCAAGGCAACATAGAATCTATTTGTTAAATATTACATGTTCATAACTGCTTCAAGTCTGACAAAAAAGTAGCTCAGGGCATTGAAATTTAGCCAAAGAGTTCTCTTATGCCTAATGATCACCAGGCAGAATGTGAATTCAAAGAAACTAAATAAGTGTCTTGTCCAAGAACACCGCACATTCTCTGACCTAAGGTTCTACTTTCACTCTTCTGCTTAGAATCCATGGTAATATTGACAAAGCCACTGCTCTGGTAGAGAGATGATAGTTCAGTATAACATACCCATATCAGCACAGTGGCCAATGCAGAGTGCTGTATTTCCTATGATGGTCTCATCTGTAGAATGAAGTAATTGAACCAAGAAGTCCAAAGCTGAAAGAAAATAACACTGTGTCATACAACTGCACTCTTTGTGGATAACTGTTGATTCCTACTTTAGTTTTGAATCAATCCACTAACATTCCAGTTTCTTTTACACATAGCGACAAGGAGTAATACTATTTCCCTATGGTGAGATGCAAATATGTTGCTCTTTCATCAAGTTTTCATGCACACACTCGTATTTCCTCAGACTAATGCGAGATGTTTTTAGACTTAAGAGTTGAAGACCCTGATCAAGGTCTAAACTCCAACCCCCTAGATCTGATAAGAGTGCAACACACATGCTCAGTGACAGTGCACCTTTTTCACTGAGTACAGCTTCTCTGGCATCTTTTCTCTCCATTGTGCACAATGCCAGTGACTTGATTGCATATTTTTTTACAGTTTCTCTTGTACTTGCTCCCCATCCAACCTGAAAATGGCTGCTTAAGATGACCAGCTGTGGATTAAATTGAACAAAAACTAACTTACATCAACATGCATGGGCAATCTATCAACTTGCTGGCCAAATGTATTGACAATAAAAGCAAAAGTTGAAAACAACAATGAAGGTTCTTCACCTTTAGAATGCGCATGATGTGAATGTGGATTTTCTGATCACATGCTTGATTTAGAGCATCTGTAGAATGAGCTAAAATATTTCTCAGGGTAGCAAGACTGCGCTGGAAGATTAAATAAAAAATAATTATTAAATAAAAGCAATTTATATTCATTGTATCAAATATTTCAGATTGCTAGTAATGGGGCAAATTATATGACTATTTTCAAAGGATGCTACAAATGGGTTTGACAAATTAGGTTTTTTAGTGATAAGTATTATCCATAACAAAGGGAACTCTACATACATACATAGCTAAACAACCTTACACTCTACACTGAGTAGGAAACACTAGAAAGGACAATGTTTATACTTATACCTCACAAACTTCATCATAACCTGTGTTAAGCATTTCAATGAGTGATGGAATCAATCTTGGAGCAGCATCCTACATGGGAAAGCCAAAAAAAAAACAAAAAAGAATTGTTTATTTTCTTGATAAATCCTTGGAAGTTAAAATTACTTATATGAAAAGTTGACTCAATTATACAGGCATTTTGATTGGTTGTTAGTTATTATCTATTGGAGGCAGATGTGTAAGTGACATCACTAATAACAAGATTTTGCTTTTATATGATCTGAAACAAATAGATTTCATGTTGCTGTGGGTCTGTATAGTAATAGATCAGAGAAGCTGATAAAAAATGATAAGAACATCTGTGACATACTCAGCTGCACCTTTTGTGCCTCTTTTTGTTCTTATCACATTTTGGTGTCATCTTTGATCTATTACTGAACAAACACATGGCAGCATGGAATCTATCTGTTACTAGTTTAAGGATGCTTGTTTTTTGTGAATTAAAGATTTCATAAAAATTGGACAACAATTTTTTCCTTTTTTTTTTCTTTTCAATAGATGCACACAAAGCATTATATTGAGATAATACCTTTTGATGCTGGTTTGATTGCAAAGATATGTTTGCCAACAAACCCAGAAGAGAATAAATGGAGCTTCTCACTTTTTGATCCTTTATTCCAGAGATATTGCAATCCTGCATGGAAAAGAAGAGAAAATATTAACCCTTTCACCCCTAAGAGTGAGTAGTATATAATGTCTCCTTACAAAATCACCTCCAAATCAAACATAACAGTCACAAGAATAAAGGAAATGATCAACAACTAAAGAAACTCATGATTGTTACACAAATTCTCCTTATGAAATGTCTAGAGAACAGTATAGAGAATATGCATACTGGTTTTAGGGTGTAGAGGGTGAAAACTGTGACACAACAAAAACAAATTGGTAGCCAACCTATCTTCCATAGCAAAGGTCTAAATTAAAACTGAACAGTCTGTATAAGGTCATTACTTGGGTTGTAAAAAAGTCAGTGAAAGTGCAGTGAAAATACCAACCAGGAACTTGACACTTGTTTCCCACCAATCTTGTTCATCAGCAATCTTTTTTCTGATACATGTGTCCTTGGCCATGTTGGCTAAAGCTGACAAACCAGATGAAACTAGAGACCAGCTGTCTGTTGGTTCATGGGAAACCTCTGTGTTTACTTCACACAACTTTCTCTGCACAAAGAAGAAAAAACAATGAAGAGAGAATGAAAATAACTGTATGTGGAAAAAATGGAAGTTTGGAGTTAGAAGAGAATTTATTTCCTTGGGGATGGATACAAAAAAACCAACACAATAACAAATTCCAATGAACACTGTACAGTAAAAAGTATTCTACATTACCACAAATTTCTGAGAGATGCTCAGAAAGTCTTTGTCAACCAAATCTCTGATTTTTTCACAGAATCTAAAAAGCAGACAGAAGTTGACAAACTTGAGAACAATACAACTGTTTCCAAATTTTTGTTGATCACTTATTGCCATTGTTCAGAAAACTTGGTAAAGCATTCTTAGATATCATACCCTAGTTCCAGGGCTAGGTTATTAATTGTGGACATTGCTACAACAGCTGTGTTAGTTCCCCTCTGTGCCAGTGAAAATAGCGCCTCAGTGACACTGCAAAGAAACACATGATAAGTTTTCAGCTATGACTCAATAAGTGTGTTATTTGCTAAGAAGCCATCTGCTTGAGAAAAAAAGATCATCTTACCACTTGATATGTTTGCAAGTAGTGAGACCAACTCTGCCTTTTTTAGTTTGGGACAGCTGGTGAAGAAATGATGTGGCAGCTGTCTTAATGACAGGAGAGGTTGGATCTCGCAGGAAACGATTGAATGATGGAGTGTGATCTTTTTTGAGAAACTCCTCTACATTGTGATCTGAAATTTAAAAAAATGACATTTCTGATTTCATTTATCAAGGCAAGAGGAAGCAATTTAGCATTTTGGGTTAAATTATTCCATACTTTTCAGTCCTTCTGGTAAGCTAGTTCATTTAGTTTTGTTCCACCATCATCATGAGAACTATTAGCCTTACCATTATCTTTATTATTATTATTAGCCTTACCATTATCATTATTATTATTATTAGCCTTACCATTATCATTATTATTATTATTATTAGCCTTACCATTATCATTATTATTATTATTAGCCTTACCATTATCATTATTATTATTATTAGCCTTACCATTATCATTATTATTATTATTAGCCTTACCATTATCATTATTATTATTATTAGCCTTACCATCATCATTATTATTATTATTAGCCTTACCATTATCATTATTATTATTATTAGCCTTACCATTATCATTATTATTATTATTATTAGCCTTACCATTATCATTATTATTATTATTAGCCTTACCATTATCATTATTATTATTATTAGCCTTACCATTATCATTATTATTATTATTAGCCTTACCATTATCATTATTATTATTATTAGCCTTACCATTATCATTATTATTATTATTAGCCTTACCATTATCATTATTATTATTATTAGCCTTACCATTATCATTATTATTATTATTAGCCTTACCATTATCATTATTATTATTATTAGCCTTACCATTATCATTATTATTATTATTATTAGCCTTACCATTATCATTATTATTATTATTAGCCTTACCATTATCATTATTATTATTATTAGCCTTACCATTATCAGTACATGCCTCCATTAGAATTCTTAAAATTTCACAAATTAAGTCTATGTCTTCCAACATTACACAGACAGCTGCTCCTTCCCAGTACCTGAAAATTGAAAAAAATAAGTCTTTACATGAGCAAGGCAGGAAGAAAAGTATCAAGTAGCAATTGGATGTATAGGTCTTACAGACTTTGATTAGCAGTCTTGAAATTTCACCATAAAGATGAAATTTAGAGTTCCATTACTTACGAGGCACACAGTTTATTTAAACAGTTCATTTTAAAAAAGTTCATTTATTTAACATAATAAAGACTTGGACCTTACACCATAACATCAAAGGTTATTTTGAAATAACCCCTGATAACATGGTACAAGACTTTAAAAAATTCTTGTACCATGAAGTAACAATTGTGCTTTTAAAAGAATTGGGTTAGCACTTACTTTTTAAAAGTATTATTGCAGTCTATGATCTGAAAACCTCCATAGCATCTGAATAATGTTCTGTTTGCACCTTCAAGTTCAACCATAGATAAACAAAATATAAGCCCATTGTAGATTACAGAACTTACCATAAACACATGGAAGAAACAATATGTAATAAAGAATTAATTCAGCTCAACCTCTACAAATTTTGAATGATGGGGACTCTCATAACTTTCAAAGGTACAATTTTTCAATAAAAGAAATTACTCGATTTAACAATTAATCCAAAATTAACTATATCATCGATTCAATTAGCTAGAGAAAAACCATTTAACAAAATTATTTGCAGAATTCAACTCAATTAAAGTGAGGATTATTATAAATAATTATAATTCCAAAATAAAAATTGACATACTGCTATCGAGAAGTGGGAGGAGTTTCCTTGTTGCGTCAGTATATTGTGATGTGGCCAGGCTGTTTTTCTGTAGTCTGTTTATGGAGTCTCTTATCAACTCTCCACTCTCCTCTCCAGCAATACCAGCAGCCTACCATCAATACATAATTAAAATGGTTATATGATGTATTCACTTTCATCTGTGGTTCAAAATTAAAATTGCTTCATTTTGGAGATCAGGGGAGTATGTGCACCGAAACATATGATAATTAGTTTGAAATAAGGAAAAAAAATCAGATGGAAGTAATTTATCCAAACCACAATTTTGAGATGAAACAATTCCAAAATTCAATAATACAAGGGGAAAAAAAGGTGATACCCATTGAGATTTCCTGTTATAGTGCAGATATTGAAGTTTGACAATGTACTATAAGACTGACCTCTTTTTCATCCTGAAGTCTTTTTTTTGCTGACTCAGCCTCAGTAATGTAAGCTGTATATAACATTATTGTGGAAAAATGTTAAATTTAAAGGTTAATTACCATTTCAATAATTGAAAACAACATTTTCCTAAATCAACTAATACAACACAAGGTCTGTCACTAAAGTACATATACTAAATAACTGTAATCAGTTATAAGTATTGAATACATTTTAACACTTTTTCTTGCTTTGGTGCCTCTTTGATGGCGTCCTTCAGAACTGAGATGGCCTACAATAAAGAATTGTGATCTGTAAGTTAATTGTACACAATATCAGTTGTAAATGTCATAAAATGACCACAATATGTTTGCAAATCAAACTGTACCTCATCAAATTTTCCTTGAGCTTGTAATGCTCTTGCTTTGTGAACAAAAGCTTTCACCCACCTGGGATCAATCTAAAAATGTAATAAAAATAATTTGATACTTATTACCCAGACTGTAAATTTTAGCTAGCTCCTGACTTTTCTTTCTTCTTTTCTCGTTTTAAGCCTTAACCCTTTCACTCCCAAGATCTCACAAGTAATTCTTCTTACTGTCTGCTGCACCATTCTTCTGGAGTGAAATAGGAGAAGTAGGTATTAGATCAACTAATGACCTTTTAATTGATTTTTCCATATTCTCATCACTTGACTGCTTGATATTGTATTGATATTGGGAGGAGAAATTCTTATTTAGCACTTAAATCAATACAACTGTAGAGCAAGGTAACTGATCATGATCTATGATTACTAGGTTAAAAAGTGTATTACTTAAAAATTAAACTTGCCTTCAAAGCAAGATTGCAGTCTTGGATTGCAGAATTGAAGTCATTCAGTTTGATGTATGCCTGAGAGTAACAAGGACCATGAAATGCAACGTCAAAAATCTCATATGAACAGAAATCAGCAATACTACTTCAGTAGTAGAAAAGACTTCCACTACATAACAGTTTTATTGTCAAGTTAAGGGTGGTTATAAACAATTTTAAGACAGTAATAATGATCACCATTACTGACACCATTATCACCATGGCACTTTTAAATCAATGAAGTAAACAGTGAATCATTGCAGTAACTGGTCCACCTGAGCTCTGTTGGTGTAAAGTACTGGATTGGAGCCACTTTTAGTGATTGCCACTGTGTAGTTACTAATAGCTTCTGGATAATTCCCTTCCTTGAAAGCAGCATTTCCTTTTCCTTTGAGTTTTTCAGCTTCTGCTTCAGACCTCTTTTTTATCTTTGCCCTCTCCTTAGCATCTTCTTCAACTGCTTTCATGAACTTCTCTGTAGAAATACATATTCAGGACTTCCTTTAGCACTGCAAAGATTTCATTTCACTCATACCAACAGGAGTTTGGTATTATTGTCTAATGTGCTAAGAAGTAGAATCTTAAGTTTGAGAGTAAAATTAAACTCTTAAACATGAAGACTTGAATTGAAGCATAATCTGAGAATCTGATCTCTCCAAGACTCACTCACAGTGCTTTCAATAATACCCAACATCCACTGGAGCTTCAGCAGATTTTCTGTTGTGAATTGCTGGGTATACTTTGCCACAAGGCACATTCAAGTCATGCAATTCATTCAAGTTGAACAAACTCAACAAGTGAGACCTAAAACACCTTGAGATCTTTTAGATTTCTTTCAGGCAACTTTCACCTTAGTTTAAATTTTAAAAAAAACTATTAATGTTGTCTCATCATACTGTATACCAAATTTCCAGGAAAATAAGATTTTGAGTTAACAAGAACATACTGACTCCAGTAACCTATGTCCTTTTTAAGGACTTTTTGTGGGAAACTCATACAGCAGGTTTGCAAGTCAGCAAACGGAAGATTTTGATTACAAATAAACAATCGGTGAAGCAATTGTTACAAAGGAGACTATTACATGATCATTTACTAAAGTTAAACACAGAAAACTCTGTTTGAACCCATTTTATTCTAATAGAAATAATGAGCTAATGAGAGTGAAATTGTTTTTCTTATTGTTCTCCAGCAGGTGCTTTACCAAGGTAGCCACCTACTTCAAATCTTATTGAATGCATTACAAGAGCTCACCTAGATGGAAAATACGTAGTCTAAAACACCAAGACTCATGATCATGAACCACTCAACAGTGTAACTGATTATAACAATGCTATGCATATAGAATTCCTTCTGCATCCTGCTTCCACCCAAATAAACATATCACAAAATATTAACTACCAATAACAATAATTAGAACTCACCTGCACAAACTTCTCCTGCATCTCTCTAAGTAGAATAAAAAATATTGTTCATAAAATAATAATAATAACAACATACATATATAACAAAAGATATAAATACATAATTCAATTAATTAGTTCATTTTAATAAAACTGTTCTCTTAAGGCATAATTTTGAATGATAGACTGCACACCTGGAAGTAGACAGAAACACAAATTGCAAATCTGAACTATCCCAAGGTAACACAACTTAGCTTATTAACCTAACCATTTCACCCAAGGCAGTTGACGGATCTAGAAGTCTTCTCTCCTCAGTTTTAGAAATGACTGTTCTCTCAGCCTTTGTTTTGACTTGTTTACATTCATCATCAGAATCATCATCATTTTCAGCCCTGTGTCGCTTCAAGAACTCATCTGCAGCTGATAGAGCTTTGTTTTGCCTTTCATAGTCACCACATGTTAAATCTTTCATAATGGAATCTGAAAAAAAGAAAAACAACAACAAAATCATGCAACAAGATTGTCCTCAGTGTGACTTTCCAATGTAGTTTAGCAGATTGGAGGAATTAACAAACCAAGGGCCTATGTTTAAATCACTTTTGAAGTGTTCCCGTGACATATAACAATTGGCACTAATTCATTTCTTTGTTGCTCTTATATGCAACAGTTATGAGAAATCTACATGGCAATACATACAATCAGAAACTAAAGTAGATACTTGATAAATCAGTGATCATTTTGTCTCTCATCAGTATATGATAATGAGCCGGACATATTCTTATCAATACGGACGTGAACAGTTACATTCCTATTATTGATTGTTACAATCAGTCTATATATGTCGGCTCACTGTAAGACCAAGCACTGCAACAACGGTCAAAACATGCCTTCTAACCGAGATCAGGCAGCCATTTACCATACGAAGACAAAATACAGCTTCTTGCTCACATTGTACAATTAAATAAGAAAGATATTGTTCGGAAAATAAAATGATGATACGTTTGTGTTGCACTAGCAACAGATCGTGTAATAATATTTACACTTCATATACTGAAGATTGGCAAATTTTAAACGGCGGATACTGGAAATATATAGGAAGTGTAATTAACGCTTTGCGATCACTAATTCTGTTCAGTGAGAATCAAATGTGTGCAAGTAACTCTTAATACCAATCTCATCGACTTTTCCCAGAAATTTCTGAAGTTCTTCTTCCTTTCCAGTCGCATCCTCCATTTTAAGTGACGGACGCCCACGAATAATAATCGACTACATGACATCTTCGTTAGAAGTTCGGATTTCTCGGTCGATCTCCGTAAAGCCCTCGTATCACCGAAGGTCATTCTTTCGTTCTTGTTATGATTTTCGCATGCAGAGTTCGAAGAAAGTGAATTTCCACGATGTTTATATTTGTTTACTGAGTAATTTTTTGTACTTTGAACCACTCATGATTGATTCTGAAGGGGCAAAAGCCCAAAAAGAAGGCTCCCTTTGATGGTTTCTCCGTCGCAGACGTGAGAGGAACTACAGCCTACAAATTTCCAGACTGCACCAATTTTGAGCAAAATTGACTCTGAAATGGCTAAGAACGCTTATCATTGTCTGGTCCCTAGCTTACAATCTCGTCAGCTTGGAATCCTCTCTCCGCGGAATTTCTCCAGGGACACTTCAGGTTCTTGTGGACTTGTGAAAAGACTCACACTACACGACAAACTTGTTCACCACGATGGATGTGTGAATACGCTACATTTCAACATGTCCGGGGACCTTCTAGCTTCTGGAAGTGATGACTTAGAAATCGTCATATGGGATTGGGCTAAAGGCAAGAAAAAGATAGCTTACCAAAGTGGACACTCGAGCAATGTCTTTCAGGTGAAATAAGCTGAGAATTGCACACCGAGAAAAATAAAAGAAACATAATTCTTAACGCTTGTTTACATCAATCTTGGAAAATATGTTATCATACTTATGTAAGGCTTTCAGTTAAATACTTTTTTGTTTTTTAGGCCAAGTTTATGCCATACACTGGTGATAGTACAATAGTAAGCTGTGCTAGAGACGGGAAGGTAAATTAAAATTGCATTTGCTCTTCATTGTTGAGACAATCATCATATTAATCCTACGTGTGATTATCAAATGGAATGAGTCAGCTGATCAATATTCCTGCATGCATGCTTATTTTGCTAATATTCCACTAAAACTGATTACTGGCCTTTCTGGTTACCCTTACAAACTTAAGATGGCACCTGAAACTCACAGGTAAGATCAGGAGGCAAACTGGCCCATGAATTCTGCCGATTAACTCAATACTGATGGTATTGTATTTTACGGGTTTGCTTGTGACAAGTTACATTTGGTCAAAGCTACTAAATGACCAGTTTGGGTTGAAAAAGTTATTGCTGTTTCAGTAAGATCTTATGTAAGAACTGACCTTGGAAATCTATCTTAAAGTTTACAATTTTTAACAGCTGTGAGAAATAGCTAACAAAATTCTATGACTATATAAATATGGTGTCTCACAGAAATCCTGAAATATCTGTTAGTTCTTAAGCAGCACTTGACCCTTTAACTCCCAAGATCTAATTGTTAATTCTCCCCTCTAGCTGTTACACATTTCCTTGTAAATAAGCTGCAAGAATTTGATGTTAGATCAAGATGATAATTTCTATTTGAGGGACACTATGCAAACAACCCCTTTTTCTTGCTGGTTTTTTTTTTCACTTTTTTTTAGTTGTATTTATTTGTGAAATTAAGTGGTTAAGAGATATCTACATGCATTTAAGATTTTTAGTTTATGAGTTGAAACAGTATCTGTATATTATGTTATTGGTTGATTTTAGGTACGCGTTGGTTTCCTCCATTCCTCGAGTGATGTTTGTAAGAATACCAAATGTCTTGCACAACACAAAGGAGCGGCACACAAGGTAGAGAAACTTTTTCACCAATTTCAATTCTTTTGTTTGTGTAAATATGTCCTGTAATAAGCCAGTGAGAACTCGTACAGGTGCAAAGTGGAGGCAAGTAGGCAAAATGAAAATGGCACTTGATATGTTTTGAGTGGAAGAAAAATCATCAATGAAATATGAAGGATGTGGAAGAGCATATTGAAAGAAAAACTGCAAATCCTCTCACCCCCCTCTTCCTTTTCTCAATTGATATTTGTTATAGTGAAAGGAAGTTGTGTAAAGTTGATATAGTGACTCAATTTGTGTTATTACTAAAAGTTCCTTTCACTTATTCTTAAGCATTCTTATTTTTTAAAATTTTAGCTTTGCATAGAGCCAGGATCACCATGTGAATTTCTGACATGCGGAGAGGATGGAGTTATTTTCCATGCTGATCTCCGAGAAGATAAAGCTCACAAGTGAGATATTTAAGTTTATGTATATCAATTAATTCTGTTTTATACTTCTGAGTTGAAAATGTTTGCCTTTTAATTTACAATTGAAAACAATTCTTCTTCTCAGACTGTTTTGCTGTCGTGTTGAGGAGCACCGAAGAGTTCCTCTGTACACAATCTTTATCAATCCTCTGAACAACTATGAGTTTGCTGTGGGTGGCAGGGATCAATTTGCAAGGTGAACCAATATTGTTGCCATGAAGGCATTCCAAAATTCCTTTTTCAAGAGAGGGTTGGGGAACCACTCTTGATTGTCCAAAAAGACTCATAAATTAGTTGCTCCAAGGTATAATAAATAGGTTGAAACAGAATTTATGGTGGAATTGGCTCACGTGTTGACAGCCTTTCCTTGCTACCATGGGTATGTTTTAAAAGCCATGCCTATATATCAAGGTGGAGCCTAAGGGTATTCTTTTCACAGGAGAGATAAGTGGAAAGAAGAACTGTTCAGGGTTTTCAAGAAATATTTTAGCAGACTGAATAAATACAGTCTTATCTGTACTGAAGGCTCACCTGCAGGAATTGTGGGGGGGTCACTTAATTTATGCCATATTTGACCACTAAATGTAATAACATTCGCTCAAAAATACTATTAACATTGAGTTTCAGAGAAAAACATGAATCAATCTTTACTTGAAAGGTTATTCAAATTTTGCTTTAGTGGGTCTGATTTATATGACCATTCAATACAGGTGGGGGAAAATACAAACAGGCCATAAAGACTCACTCAAAGGTCATCACTCAATAGATGTGAAAATTACAGTGGCTGAGAGGAAACAAATTCGGGTTTTTTGACAACCATTGGCTTAATACAGGGTGATCACTTAATACAGTGCTGCTTAATACAGATTTGACTGTATAGCTTACGCAATTGAAATTTAGCCAGAGCATTCTCTAATGCCTGACAAACTCCCTGACTGCCATGTCATCTTGAGAACATAGTCTTATGAGAGATTCTAACCAACATTCACAGCACTATTAAAAACTTGAATATTTTAAATGTCCTTACTATTTTTTTGATTGCATTTGCAGAATTTATGACAGAAGAAAACTCCCAGATGTAAGGAAATATAAATTATATTATTTTCTGGTTGTCATGAAAATATTAACCAATTATTCTTGGCTTAGGACACTTACTTTTTTAATGTTTGTTTTGAACAGGACAGTAAAGCTTCAGTGGAGCCTGTGAAACAATACTGTCCCCATCATCTGGTAAGTAGTCAAATTAAGCATAAAGAACTTGTTGGCATTCAGAGAACTTACGGGCAGAACTGTTGTATATGTCTGCTTTGTCATCAAAAGGTCATAAATCATTTTTCTCCTTAGATGGGAAGTAATGACATCTTTGCCAACATCACTTGCTTGGTTTATTCATATGATGGGACAGGTTTGTTCCTGCTGTTGTTGTTATTTGTGAGCACATAATTATGAATGATCTAGTTGTTCATGTTATCAGATGTTTATTGGAAGCATGACTGATTGTTTTTCATCTTGCTGCAGAACTGCTTGTTAGTTACAATGATGAGAACATTTACCTGTTTGATTCATACTCAAGGTACAACATTATTTATTTTATATGTGATTTCTCCAGTAAAAGATTTTATTTATTTGATTTCAATTTTTGCAGTTAACAAGTTCTTGGGCTGTATTATGTTAATTGGAAATGTTATGTGTGCTGTAACCACAGCTGAGGTCACAAAGTCTTTTTTTCAGTTTTATTCTCTTTTTTTGTTTCCATAGTTCTGAAGCAGAATACATTAAAACTTACAAAGGGCACAGAAACAATGCTACAGGTATCAGATGATCAACCATACTCAACAGTTAGATCAATCAACTATCATAGAAAGTAAAAGCAATAAATATATCAGTCATTAAAACTTGACAACAAGCCCATGTTTTTATTTCTTGTTGTTTATAAGTGCACACTGCAGGACTATTCCCTCTCTTAACAGATGGCATGTTGGCTAGCCAATCAGTTTGCAGTAAATGTGATGGAATGCCAGGAGATAAATAGTTAAACTGATAGAAACAACAACTTTCCATGATGACTGTCATCTCTCTAGATTCAAAGAAGAAGTTTTTGTGTTCTTTCTAGGTGTGATACTCTTCTTTCCTTTTTTATTTTTAGTTAAGGGGGTAAACTTTTATGGTCCACAAAGTGAGTACATTGTTAGTGGAAGTGACTGTGGCCACATTTTTCTGTGGGACAAAGAAACTGAGGAAGTGGTACAATTCCTTGAGGGAGATAACACTGGTGTGGTAAGGGGTTTAACTACTACTAGATAAGACAATGTAGACTGCACATGCAAGTCAGGAAAGTAAATTGATATATGGTGACAGATCTTAGAATTCTGTTTGATTTTTTTGTTCAGTGTATGAAACCAAACTATGATTCAAGTCACTTTTTACAGGTGAACTGTTTAGAGCCACATCCTTTTGCTCCAATTCTGGCTACAAGTGGCCTTGACCACGATGTTAAGATTTGGCTGCCAACAGCAGAAGAACCAACAAGCTTAGATGGACTAAAGAATGTGAGTAGCATCATAGTCAATCATAGCTTTGCAGCTTCTATTTTAACCTGACCAATAAAATTTATTAACTTATGATTTGTTATCCTAGGTGATTAAGGAAAATGACAAAGACAGAGAAGAAGAAAGACTTCGGCCTCATGATCCAATCAGTGAACACCTTTTATGGCTTATGATGCATCACATCAGAAGAAGCCAGGTCTGTACCTTTTGTATTTCTGTTAACCCACAAACAATTTTTGAAGGAAAAATACACTGAACATATTAGTAGTGTGTTAAGAAAAAAATCCACAGGTCCTCTTCTAATACTCCCTTAAAAAATTTTCCTTTACAGACCTGCTTTGTAAATCTTTGAAAATTATTGTGGGGATCCATTCTTTCCAGAACCTTCCCATTAGATTTTCTTCTAGGGCATAGATTCCCAGCAGCTATTGCCCTCACAGATCCTCACACAAAGAATACACAAACCAGTCATGTGGATGGTTGATATTTATTTCCTTTGCCTTTCCCTTAAAGAATCGAGGTGAAGGTGGGGAGCAAGGCAGTGATAGTGAGACTGCTAGTGATGATGATGACGATGATGAAGATGGTGAATTGGGGAACCGAGTGCAGTGCAGTCCGTCATGAATGGACATTTTATAATACATCAGATATGTAGTAAAATATAAATATGGACAAAGAAAAATTTGTGTTAAGTTTAGGCTTGTCTTGTGTAGAAATGTGAATGTGTTAGTGTAGAATAAATGCTTTTCATTCGTGTAAAATGTTGATGTGTCATGTAAGGTATGCCAAATAACATTACATCATCTGATCACTTTTCTTTAAAAGGTTTTGAAGAGTTTTGGTTCTAAAATCAGTTCTGTTTGTTCTAAGTTCTAAGGATTGCCCTTTTTTCTTCTTCTTTTTTTTTCTTATTCTGAATGTTCCACCAACCAAACTATATATAAGGTGCAAAGCCTTTCAACCAACTGATTTAACTCTCTACAAAGAGTATATTTTTTGTTACATGTGAACATCCATACAATTTTGCAGACATAAAAGTAACTAAGTATTAATAAAGGTAGACATGCCTATTACTTGGTAACTATTTTTAAAATTTGAAGAACCACTTTCAATTTTTTTGGACAATTTTTTGTTTCAATTTATTGTAATTATTCATCAGAAGTCAGGAGTTCAATGGCAGAAGTCTGTGAGATGTCCAAGAAATACCTTTCAGTGGTAGTCTTTACACTTAGCAGACAAAATTAATCCCAATGTTCATATACTACCTGAACTGTTTTTGTTCCAGTGGGTTTTTTTTTCTATAACTATTTATTACTTTGTTTTTTGTTAAATTGCTCACCAATCAGTTCAGTGTTACTCAGTTGGTAGATCATCTGAATGTGAAATCAGAATGTTGGTGCATAATTTTTTCTTAGGCCAGCTCTCATTACAAATGTTTGAAGTGTTCTTTCTTTAGAACTACATTTCACTTTAAATTTGAAATGTAATCACATTTTGGTGCACTATTCTTGTTAACATGGCAATGGTTGATGAGGAAATTCTAACTAATTATGGTCAACAAAGTGTTCAAACATGTCTTGTTACAAATTTAAAGTGGTTGTCCAGTTTGTAAAAAGACATCTAAGCAACAAATCAGTTCTTCGTTCAGAGTATAAACTTGAAGCTGACTTGTCAATCCAGCTTTATCCACAGGCTGAGAAAGGACTAACCATAAGTTGAATTTTTTCAGGAAAAATGAAAATCCAGGTTTTGTACTTACCTCAGGTATGATTAACAATATTATTGAACGTCGGTGTTTTTGTCAGTACTAACCAGCCCAAATTTCTTTCTTTAAAAACTTTGTTTAGCTTGATGGTAAACCTTTGTATATTGAAGATTTCTTGGATGCAAATCATGTTGATCGTTTTCAAAATTTGCATCAAGTTTGTTGAAACATGTTGTAGCATAAATTAAGTGCCCAGCACTGAAAGTAAAATTAAATATTAAGAGGGTGCTGTATGGATTTTTCATTCATTTATTGCAGACCAGATTTAGTGATTTAGCTTCTTAGAGAACTGTACCTCTACCTCTCTTATCTTGGCTTGGCTTTAGGCATTGTTCAAGGCCAGAGATCATTTTCTTACCTGAAAAGACTGGCATGCCTGTCTGAGTCTCTAGAAAGGACTGCCTCTTATGACAAGATGTTGACATTCTTCTGTCAAAATATCATGATAATCAGACATGGTTTGATGCTACTCTGGTTTAAAGATTTGATAAATGTTACTGAGAAGTTACAATTCATAGACCCAATGTCTGGACACTCCTGTCTTGTGCCTTCGTCAGGGGTGGTCTAATCACTACAACCAGAGGTCCTTATTTTTTGCAGCTATTAGATTACCCTTGATGAAGGAACTAGATTGGAGTGTCAAAACGATGAGTCTATGAATTGTAATTTCTCGGTTACATTCATTAAATCTTTAAACCAAAGTAGCATCAAACCATGTCCGGTTGTCCACCTGTTTGCCTTGTGAACTTTGATATGTCAGATCATGATGGCATTCAAAATAAAATGTCTTGGGGCTCAGTTGATGAAAAATGCAGCAGTTTCATAACCCTCCATTTGTGTTACCTACAGACCAAAACTATCAATTCCTTTATCACAATCACTCTCTTAAGTTTTTCATACCCCTCACCCCCACCCCCGCCTTGTCCGTTTTGTCTTTTAGTCGCCCATAATTGCGACTCAACTAACCACTGACCATTAACAGGCATCAAACATCTCTCGAGTTATCGTATATGAAGTAGTATAAAGTGCCTTTTCAGATAGAGCTTCCCTGGGAACGAGAGATGGCGTTTTCCCTTAAACTTTTCCCTTCAGTGTGAATGTTTCATTTTTTTTAGTGGATTTTTAGAGTAGATACTCGGTCATCTATGGCTGGCTATATCGAACGCGATGAATGCTGTCTGTTTGTTGGAAACCTTGACTCCCGAGTCACAGAGGAAATACTATGGGAACTGTTCTTGCAGGTGAGAATCTATTACCAGCCTGGCTCTGATCTAACGACAGTCAGCGAAGAGGGCTCCGTTAAAATAATTTTTCTGCTTCACCTATGATAACCCTGTCTTGAAATACCTGCAATGAAGGATTTTACGACTATTATAACTCGGGTTTTGTTACGAGGACTTATAAATCTTTGTCATGATGACGTCTTAATCTATCGCAACATGTGATATCTCAAATTATTATTGTTATGGTCATATACCAAAACCCGAAATAACAGAACGAAACCAGCGAAATGAAACCACCGAAAGTAACCAAACAAAATACCGAAAAACGGTAGAAAGAAGAGAGAAAAAAAAAACGTATTACTAAAACGTTGGTTTTCTTGACGACAAGGAAAGTAGGTGAAAAGCAGACTACATTCGGTTTGTAACTCGAGTTACAGGATACCGTTGCTTTAGTCTAGAATTAGACAGGCAAATTAATGTAAAGTTGGTTTACCTTGATTTTCAAATGAAGCAATTATCATTCATATGTTCACTCACATATGTACACATTATGCGTCCATGCACATGAAGCCTCGGCCAGAGAACGCAAGTGATTTCCGTCAGTTGCCAGTGAGTGTAACTGCTCCCATTTCCAGCTCCCTAGCCTTCGTTTCCCTTTCTACAGTTCTTCTCAAAGTTTCATTGGGTGGAGCCACTCATTCTTCCTATGGGAGGTGGGTGATTGTGGGTAGGGTAAGTACTAAAACGTGGAACGACCTAAAACCACCTAAAACCACCTACAACCATCTACAACCACCTCAAAAGTTTCAAAAACGACCTACAACCACCTCAAAAACATCTACAGTCACTCGCAAACTATCTAAAACCATCTAAAGCAAGGCATAAATGTCTTAAATGTGTGTTTCCAGAAAATATCCATACCCCCACCACGGAGGGAATTGGAAATTCCAGAGGGGTGGGGGGGTCAAAGTCCCAGGAAATTCCAGAGGGGATGGGGGGTAAGAGGCGAAATTTTCGTCCAGAGGGTAGGAAGTCGATCGACTTTCTTCGTATGTCAATTGGCGCCTTTTACCTACTTTAGTGGGACGTTCTGAAGTTTAAGTTGTTAAATTACGATGCTTCTAACAGTTCTGCAGCAAAAGAAAGTTTTCTTTTATCCTTGTAGCGCTTTGGAACATAAATAACATCAAATAAAGAAGAGAATCACTTTGTTTTTCGAACGGAGCCGCCATTACTCGTTACCAGTCTCCAAAGATTACAACCAACAGGAGTGGTTACCTAGGGATTTTCCTCGGTCATAACACGTTTCGCGTTCGTAAAATTTACAAATAACTGTCTCGGTCTCGCGAAAAAAAAAAAAAAAACGCTGGTCCCGCCGTCTCGCAAAGTTTCGCATAAATTTACCATTCACTACCCCTTATTGACTCCAGCCATCTATTAATTTTGATCTGCACTGAGCTTAATTCCGTTACATCATAATGTGTAGGAGACTTGACGATTTCTTTATGGCTTACTTGCTTGCGATGTTACAATGAATGATAAGTACAGTCGTACCGTAGTAGAAAACAGTTGATAGTAACATTGAGAAACATTAGGATCCAGGGCTTTGTATATATGCGCGTGGGACTGGTAACTAGCCAAGGTTTGTTTATGCACAATCGGACGAAATTATCGACCCGCTGTTAACAAGAATCAATGCTTGTGTGGAGAAATTTTACATTAGAGGCTGGAATTTGGAAAGATGAGTTCAAAATAACTTACTGCTGACTCGTTTTTCTCTTTTGCTCTCTTATTTATGACACAATTTTGTACAAATTTACGTTGCTCAATGTGATTTCGAACGTTTCCATTTCAAGTGCACGCAATTTTCTCAGTACATTGTACAAACTTAACAGTTCAAAAGTGTTTTGTTGCGACTTGTACAGTTTTTTTCTCCTTTCGTGTACTGAGAATACTGTGTTAAATGTTTAAGGATAAGTATTGTATTTAAAAATAAAGCAAACATTAAGTTTAAGCTAGTTAGCGACGTTTACCTTGCGCGTGTACGCCATCTCTCGAATATACACGCGACAAAATCACACGTCCCTCTTGTTTGTTGTTTGCTACGAGAAAAAAATATATTTCCAGGGGGTATAGGGGGTGGTAGAAAATTCTTTGGAAATTCCAGAGGGGTGGGGGGGCTACCACTGCTACCCCAAAATGGAAAATCCGAAGGGGTGGGGCGGTCCTATATGAAATTCCCTCCGTGGTGGGGGTATGGATATTTTCTGGAAACACACAATAAGGCGAAACGACAACATGTCACGTACATGAAATACAAGAATCGAATGAAACCTCCACCTCCCCCTGAAATCTTACCCTCCCTGGTCCCTTGTATAATTAACCATCTCACGAAATGAAATGCAAGAGCATGCCAATTATATTTTTTATTACTTCAGTGGTAAAAGACCTAAAGAACTTTACAAAATGAACTATCAAATTACAAAAAGTAATAGAGTAAAATAACAAACTTGTAGTCAAGACTGACTTGACTTGGTTTTTTTCTACCCTGGGTACCAGCAGATGTTTTGGCTCACATCTAGAAAAAGTATGAGTTAGAACTATCATTAGAAATATTTCAAGCGAACTGTGCAAACATTTGGAATCTTCCTTTGGCACAAACGCCATCATGCTGGTATTCATACAGCATGCAGTTGTGCCACTTATGCAATGGTGCCACTTATGCAATAGTGACTCACGTTTTGCTCCAATTACATTTCCATTGCCGAGATTATAAATGGAGAAAAACACTACCTTAGACCATTACATAATCAAATGAAATGTGAGCCAAAACGTCTGCTAGTAAAGTTCTTCAGGTCTTTTACTACTGAGGTAATAAAAAATATAATTAGCATGCTCTCACATTTCATTTCGTGAGATGGTTGATTATACATGGGACCAGGGAGAGTAAGATTTCAGGGGGAGGTGGAGGTTTCATTCGATTCTCGTATTTCATGTATGTGACATGTTGTCGTTTCGCCTTATTTAAGACATTTATGCCTTGTTTTAGATGGTTTTAGATAGTTTGCGAGTGGCTGTAGATGTTTTTGAGGTGGTTGTAGGTCGTTTTTGAAACTTTTGAGGTGGTTGTAGATGGTTGTAGGTGGTTGTAGGTGGTTTTAGGTTGTTCCATGTTTTAGTACTTATCTTGTGGGTAGAGTTGACAGAGGCTGATCCATTGCAGTCTTATTCTCTGGACCTAGTAGGTGATGGGTTCTGTTCCTATTTATCTGTGCCGCTCATTGTTGGAGAAGGTTTTTAAGTCAAAAGATGCAGAGAATTCTTCACAGACATCTGTTCTGGAAGACTGCTAGCTTGTGTCTGATGGTCGTCATCTTTCAGGATTTTGCTCTATAAAAGAGCCTCTTGAAGTAATGTGAGGAAAACTGTAAAAACTAACCTCTCCACCACTAACCCAAAAAAATCAGAGACCTTAGGGCTCCAACACATACTTAACAACACCAGGCAAAACTTGAACATGGTCCCAAGAGAAACTAGTAGTAATACCAAGACATTATCAGTGGTTCACTGTTTTATTGCTGAGTTTTTCTCTCTCCTCTTGCTATCAGCATTAGCCAAAATGCCATCAGTGTTCTTTCTTGATGAATTCAGTTGCTAACATGTTTCAGTCTCTGTGAGATGGTCTTAATGTGACTTTAGGGCCTGAATATCTGACTCAGAATAGGAGAAATTGTGTGAGAGTTTTGGGGCTATTTGAGAATCAGACCTTATGCCCTGATTGCAAAAAAAATATCTCAAGGGAAGGCTATATTTTCCTGGACATTCCATCCTTCACTTGCTCAGCATAATCTTATCTTGGTCAGTTTGCTTGTGTACACAAACCTTCTCCTATTTTAGTGGTTTTCTTTTGTTTTTCAGGGTTTGGTACATGTTAATGTTGCCACATAGATCAGGTTCCTTTTGTGTGTTATATGACTTGACTTATTCATCTGTTTACAAAATCTTTTATCCCTTAATCAGTTATTTATCAGTTGAAAATATGACTTTTCTCTTATATTTAGGCTGCTCCTTTAAATGCTGTCCATATTCCTAAAGATAAAGAAACAGGAAGAAATAAAACCTTTGGTTTTGTCAGTTTATCAGAGGTAGTCTCTGTACCCTTCACCATCAGTCTGTTGAATGGTATCACATTATATGGCAAATCAATAACAGTTAAACAAGCTCAAGGGAATACAAACTCTCCATTAAATCAAAGTGTATCAAATTCTGGTTATGGAATTTTGCCACCTAGAATGTCTCCATTTGAAAATCAAAATGGACAACTGAACATGTTTTCAAGATCAGGAAGTCAAAGTCCAATGTCAGATCTTTCACCATTCAATAGACAGCCATTTTTTGACCATCATAACAGACAGATGAGTGCGCAGTCCAGTCCAATTCCTTTGATATCATCACCTTCTCCTGTCAGAAGTGAGATTGAAAGTAATTCCATGAATTCTTATACCCAGCCAAGAGGTCCATGGGATATGATGTCCCCATGGCAACAGAATGCAACAAGAAATCAAAACTTTGGAAACTATGGATACCATTCAACTTCTTCACAAGGCTCAGCTTACAGCCAGGGAACACCCCACGCACAAGGACGATGGAGAAGATGATAAGTAGAGAGAGATAGTTTAGTGTGAGAATTCAAATTCAACATTTTTTTTATTTCCATGGAACTGATAATAATTTTAAACCATCAATGACTTGTGCATTTAACATTTCTGAGGAAAATCGTATAAAATTCATTCTGTCTAGGAAAGTGTCAAGCCAGCAGGCCCTAACCCCAGGAATGGCTGGCAGTATGACCAGTTTAACGCTTTAACTTCCATAAGTGACCAAGACGGAATTTTTTCTTGAAAAATCAATACAATTTCTAGCAGAAAAGTGACGAAAATAAAGAAAAATAACCATTAGGGGATTACTAGTTGATCAAATACCAAATTCTTCGAACTAACATAAGAATCGATCGCTCTGACGAAGATAGCGCTCGAAACGTCAGCTTTTTAAACTCTTTGTGGTGGCTAATTTACATTTTCAACTCAGTTATACTCTCCCGCCAACGCAGCACTACAGTTTCTTTAGAAACTCACACCCTTTAACATAAGAATTGACAGACAGTAACTAGAATTATTGCTGAGATCTAAGGAGTGAAAGGTTTAAAAAAAAAACCCTCTTGTCAGCCCTGACAGACTAAACAGCTAGGGCCTGTTTACATGGAGGTGGGGGCGCCTAGCCGTGGTCGAAAAATAAAACGCGTTTACATGCAATCTTACAACCCCGGGGTGCAGGGGTGTTGTTGCGCTTGCAATTAAGGAGTTTGAGCAGAGGCGTCCCAAGCTCACATCTCGAAAAAGACGAAAGATTAATTCTCGGACACATATGTATTTATTCATGAAAGCGTCACGCGTTGTGTTACGCGGTGTTTGGTTTCGCGAGAAACCTTTGACTTAATACGTTATACGGAATAGTTTGGGAAGCCAAATATGGTCGATTTACAACGCTAAATATTCCGAAACGTGAACATTTTACACTCCTTGCGGTTTCTGGTGATTTCTGCCGTGAGACGGCTAGGAAATGTACAAAGTTTTAAAACACGTTTCGCTTTTGAGTTTTTTTGCCATGAACGCGACCCCGGCTAGGCGGGTTACCCCACCTTGACACGTTTACATGGCAAATTGTCATCCCGGCTGAGAGGGTTACCCTACCTGGCACACCGGGTAACCCGCCTAGGCGGGTCACCCCACCCATCATGTAAACGTGATCAAAATAAAATTAGAAATTATATGGATAGGCGAGTTACCTCACCTACCCGGGGTCCCCTACCTCCATGTAAACAGGCCCTTAGTTTTGTTGTTAAGAAATCCAAACACCCACACTTTTTTGGTAATATTCAGGACACTGGGGAAAATTTGGCGAACCAGATTAGTTGTTTTTATTCTATTGATATTGATGAGCTACTCGTAATAATCTAATCCCTTGGTGACCAAAATTTTTTATCTCAATTGTACCAAAAAAAAAAGAAGTATTTAAGACTAAGATGCCTTCTGAAGCAGTGACCACTGCAACTTACATTGTTTTCTGCCGGTGTATGTAGCCAGGGACATCAAACCATCAAGATTGTCTGTGCTCGGATCATTGCATAAGAGCTCCCTAGCGCTCCTATTTGGCCGAGAAGCAAGAGAGAGCTAGAAAACTAATAATTAACTAATTTTTCTTTCCCTACGTCGCATCCCCTCGTGAGATGGAAAAATTTGGGGATGGGTCACTCATTTTCTCTTTTCAATTACAATAAAATTACCACGTGAGTGAAATGTTTTGAAGTAGCTTCGTAGTTGAGCTCTATCTCAGGAGCGGTGAAGGTGCGCACTTTTAAAACTTAAGTAAAACAAAGTCCTCTCAAACCTAAGGTTTATTTAGAATTGCTGCGCACCAATAATATTAGCTTAGCGAATACGTGGGTCTGTCTCTAAATTAAAATTCAAAACAGTTTGTTGAATGACAGCAAAGTCACGATTTTAATGTTCTGAGCCTGAATTAGAAATGAGCTCAGTGCCGTGAAGCGAAAGCTGTATTTCTTCTTACTCCTAACAATGCTGAAGCACTTTCCGCAAAGTTTTATAGGCGGAACAATGCCTTATCACTGCTGTTAGTTGGCCCTGACGAGTAAAATACAATTGTGCGACTTTTGAGGCATCCCCCCGAATGCAAGGTACATTTACTTAAAGGTGTTTGAAATTTTCCCATTTTATAGGTTAAACTGAGTTTAACCATAGCGCTTATGGCAAAGGCAAACAGCGCAAATAAACATTTAAAGAACACGCTTAATCCTAAAATGTTTAAATCGATGCCAATGAAAAGTTCTGAAAAGTCCCCTATTCGCAGTTCAAGAAAATATTTAACTCAAGTGTTAAACAACCGAAAGCCAACAAGGAAAGTGAAACCTTTGCTATTTGCCGTGGTTTTTATTCCCAAGATTTCTATTCATGTAAAATATATCTTTAATTTACAACTTAGCTCTCGTCATCGACTTGTCTTTTTCCTCTATATTTTAATTAAATATTCAACCAGTTGTTGTTAAATTGCAGAGTAGAATAATTTAATACAGAGTTCATAATTTTATTCTTCTTTTGTTTGAACTGATCACCCGAATTTATAGGATAATCTGCCAAACTTAGTGTCTTATCTTTCTAAAGAAAATTTAAGCCTTCTATTGAGGATAGCCTGTTTGAGTATTACCTGATGCTCAGAGGATAAAATTCTTACAAATTGTCTCTACCCGTGCCTTGTTCATTTTACGTCGAATACCAATTTGATTAAAGCTCTAATAATATACACGAATTATTTTCTTCAGTTTGATTGCCTGCCCGAGAGAATTGTGGTTTTTGCTGAATGTGATGCAAAAGAGAAATAATATAGTGCAGAAATAGTTGATTCATTGCAAGAATTCGTAACAGGCCATTTGGCTAGGCTTTTTAGCGGCATGAAAAAATATTGACTTTTCTAATGCAGTTTGGAATACATAAATACATGTAAGACTACAAGCTGCATTCGTCTAATGAGCTTCAGCAATTTTGTGGCGCCTTGAAAAATAACGTGCTTATTTTTACCAAGTGGTACTCAAAATCCTGTGATCACCTGTAGAAGTTTGTGATTCATTCGCCCTCAGTCCACTGCTGTGCTCTCCGTCAGTCAACTTTTTACCTGTGAAATTGTGTCCCTTTTATTCTTGATCATTGTTTAAACGGCCCAAAAACGTGTATTTTTGCTATCATGTCATAATTTACGCCGGTATTAAGAAACAAAACTGCTCACAAGACATAGAGAGTTAAATCTTATGATTAAAAGAACAATAGATTGCAACGTTCAACTCTAGGTGATTAAAATACGTAAGAAATTAAAAAATAAAAGAAAAATAAAAATAAATAATGATCGTAAATAATAAGTAAAAAAGAAAGAAGGAAAGAAAGAAAAAGTATAAAAGACCACAAAGGGATAAGATTATCCACAATCAGACTTCTTTCCATTGTGGCCAGACGACCCAGGACAGACTTTCGTCTCCTAGGGTGCCTTGGGTTTGCACAAGATAAAGCTTGATCACTGAAATGTCCCTTCACTGAGAAAAAAAATGATGAACTAAAGAACAATTAAGTCTCTTCTCGCATTTTAAAAACTGCTCACACGATCTCAAGTTGGTCTTGAAAAATATAGTATGTCTCGAATCCACCTTCCAGTCCTTCGATAATTTTGACCCAGGTAACGTTTTGCTGCATTATTTATTCGTCTCGAAAAACTGGTCTGGGCCGGCAAGGTTTGACAGATAACCCGTGATCCACTCCGGAAGTTAATTGTTCACAGGATATTTTTAATAGTGACTAATATTTTTGATGTTGACGGGCTTTATTTAATCTTAAGGTTTTTCCGGTTTGATAAGCTGCCTCTCCCTTCATTGAGACCATCTCGCTATCAAGAGGTCACGCAATTCAAAATGAAATAATAAAAGGAAGTTTTACTTGCTGTAATCCAAAAAGAAACCTATATATTTATATAAACTTGATAATTGTTGGATCGTGTACGGCTAGTTTCTAGGCCCGTGTGAGTGAAAGTTGTAACTCATTGAGTTGCAATCGTGCAAGTGGCCCTGGTGACTAAACCATTTTAACCCTTTCAAAAGCTTTTACTTTTTTCATGGTTTTTTTCTTTTCTAGTTTTGACAGTTTTTTGTTCCTCTTTACAATTCAGAATTCTCCATCACGAGAAACCGCATGCCGTTTGTGAGACGATGACTAATGACACTTCAAGTTTCCTCCCTCTGTGTGGTTCATTGTTGTGTCTCTGACAGACGGCAGGCGTTAACAAAGCAATCCCAGCAATCGTTTGAATATTCAAGTCTCGTCGTTGGAATAGCTCTCCTTTTCACGCAATTAAGGTACGTTCAATTAATTGAATTACAGTAATTTCTGTTGATGTTTCATGTACAGTAAATCTTACTTTTGAAGTGATCAGTTGTCGCGCTGAAAGGTTTTGAAAACACTGGCTCTGATCATGAAACATGCTCAGTAAATCGTATCACGCGCTACAATCTTATATCTTATCAAGAAGCGTATGGTTTTGTTAAGAGACTCAGTTACCGAGTGAAACACATGGAGAAAAGTAAATGTGCTGGATAATATTCAGTGCTATTTGTCTAGGTGTAAAGACCGTGAAACCTTCAGAGGCAAGATTATTAGCTTTACGGTTTAATAATTCAACTGAATAAGCGGCTAATCTCTCGTTTGTTTCCATCAACTTAACATTTTATTATTCTTTTATGAATTAAACCCAGATTGTTTTAATGAAAAGGCTCTGATCATAGAAATAATAACAAAACAAATGAGAAACCAAAGAGTAAATACTTTGAATACAATAGGCTCAAGTCAGACATAGCAGTTGGTGGTCCTTCACGCGAGGTGTCCCGAGATAACCTTTCTTGACCCGTGATCTCGAATGCTATTCGCGAGGCCTAAGTTGACAGTTAAAATAATTATTAGTAGCAGTTGATAGTCCTCCAAGCTAGGTGTCTCGAGATAACCTTTCTTGGCCCGTGATCCCGAATGCTACACGCGAGGCCTAGGTTGGCAGTTAAAATAAATATTAGTACCAGTTGGTGGTCCTCCACGCGAGGCGTCCCGAGATATCCTTTCTTGACCCGTGATCCCGAAAGCTACACGCGAGGCCCAGGTTGGCAATGATATTGCGTCTTCTTTTAAATCTAAATCTTTTTTATCATACCGTAAGAAGATTTAATCATTCTAAAAATGCGCTTTACTTTTACACTACTCAAAATCCAGAAACCGCAAGAAATTTGCTCCCACTTTCGTTAACAGCGTTGGCAGTTTTCCTATTCGACCAGTTAGGAGCAAGAAAATATTCGCATGCTTTCACTGATCAGAATGACAAACATGTGATCACTATTCTAAAAACTTGGAAATGAAAAGACAACATAACTTTGGGCGGGCAGTGCTACTGTGCTGCGGGAGATGAGATGATTGACAGCTGCCAAGTAGAAGTAGCTACAGCCTAGCGTTCTTTGTTTCTTTATTTCGTGTCAGTAAACAATCATCAGTGCAGGATCAGGTGAAAACAAAAGTATGGTCAGGGAAACAAATCTCTTTACCTTGAATCTGATCAGAATCTGTCAACACAGACTGTGTTGAAATTGAAACAGCACCGTTTTATTGCAGTCTTCCCACGTGAATTTAGGAAATCATAAACTATGATATGACTGATAGCTGGTAATTTAGTGTTAACAACTGGGTTGAAAACGTAAATTAGCCACCGTAAAGGGTAAAAAAGCTGACGTTTCGAGCGTTAGCCCTTCGTCAGAGCGATGGTATGATATGACTGAGCCGTGAGTGGGTGCAATACTTACACATTGTATTAAGATATAAAACAATATTAAGACTTAGTAATCAAATAACACATTTTCTTCTAATTTTTTTATTTAATGCAATGAAACATTTGTTGTTCTCTTCAGTTGAGAGCTGAAACGTTTTGCGATCTTTACGATATTAATGATTTCAAATTAGTCACTTCATGTTCTTATCTGTGTGTAGAAAGAAACAATGATATAGGAACTTATGACTTAATAATAGTTTTTGCTCCAGTGTAATCTTAAAAAACAAAATTAATGATCAAACTATGACCGTTCAATACAGAATTGCATCCATCTTCTTAGATGAAGATGTCAGCTCAAGGAATTTGTCGTCCGGCTCTTCTGCTGAAACTGGCAGCAACCTACAAAAACATGTGCTCGTGTCAAAAAAAACTTTCACATTCTCTTTGACGTCCGTTTAATTTTCATTTTTAAGGTGAAATAGTTACAAAAAAACGATGTCAGATGTTTTAGATGTTCATTTGTTCATGAGAACACATTTTTAAATCCAGTGGGCAGTAATTAAACACACGGTGAAATACTGATCGACAAGTATGTATTGCAGGCCTGAAAGGCAGTTGAGAAACAAAAATAGTTTATTGAATGAAATATTTATACCCTGGTTTTAGTTCGGTTTAAATTCATTTTTCTAATCATGTGGATTTCGACCTTCATTCCGCTCAAAGATTCATAAAGCGCCTGTTTCGTGAAAATTCAACAGAGTAATGATAGTTCACTTGAAAGAGGTTTTTGTAACTCCTGGATATATCTATATATTTGTCTACTGCGTCCATTTGTCATATTTATGAGCTGTGTCTCGGCTGAATGAAATTGACATCACGCTGTGCACATTTCTTGATATATCTCTCCCGCCAGTGATTCTATATACTGCGTATTTTCTGTTTTAATGTTTTATTTGGCAAGTTATAGTTTCTTTTCGCTCATAATTCCTCGGCAGATACGACCTGCTTTTTTGAATTTTCGTTTCTGCTGGTTGGGCTGTTTGCAGCGTGGGTAAAACAGAGAAATGTCCTGTAACATTTGAGAACCACATGTGAAGTATATTTTTGAAATGAGTAATGTTGAAGGTGGTCAGTTTAAACCATATACATGTAGGCTAACCCTTGTCTTGTCCACATCGCTTTTGTTTCTGCAGGATTTTACTGAGATGACGAGATATTCTGTTCGTTTTGGGATAAAGGTAGGAATATATAAATATATTGTTTGATTCTCATTTCTTTAGCTGCTTTTTAATTCCAGTATTTCGTTTATGTAAAATGAGGCAAGTAAAAATAACCTTTTACGGGAGAATACGATCGCATCACATTATGGATCTGTATAGCGAACAATTCTCAATTTTCACTTAGTGTGTGTGAATTTCTTTAAAGATTTTTCCGACGGTGTACAAATATTTCAAATCTCGAAATATTCACTATCATGTCATGATGAGAACAGCTGGTGATGATGAAAGTTTAAAAAATTATTGAGATAATGGAATGTGGGCTTCCCGGCTTCGGGACCAACTGATCTTCCGTTGGACCACGTGAGTCTCATACGAAACGAAGAACCCTATACAGAATCACAGTCCATTTTTTAGCAGATTAAGATTCTAGAGAGGTTAAAGAAAGCCAGAAAAAAAATTGTTATCACAACTCATGTTTCTTATACAAGAACTTGGGAAAACCTAAATTTTAAAAACACTTAATATGGCTTCACACTGTGATATTTGGGGGGCAAAGATATCAATTGGTTGAGCAGTGGTTGTGGGAAGCTAATGAGACCATGGAGGTTCATAGTCGGTTTTTTTTCTAAATATGTTGTTTTATTGTGTTTGTGTTTGGTAGAAGATTGAAGAGTTAGTGAAAACCCACAAGTACTTGTGTATTTAAAATGTGAAGTATTTACTTGATCCTCTTATCTTTCTAAGAAGGATCACTCAAATCCTTTACTCTTCTGGACGGCGAGAAACTGAAATAAGAGTAAAAGGTTCAATGGTAATGACTACGTAAAGGCAAACTCTTCTAATAAAGAAATTTAGAATAACTGCGGAGAATTTAATTGCTATTGATCGTTTAATGATTACTAGGTTACGGTTTTAGAAGCAAAATGTCCATGCATTGACGTCATTTCCGGCTGATTTTGGTCAGTCTGGTTGAAATGGCTACATGACTGTCTTATATTATCTGTATTATATTGTCTATATTTTTCTATTTTCAAATGAGGGACGGAGACATGTAGCATTTTAATCATGTCTTTCTTTCCGTCAATTCAGATAATCCGAAATCTTCTTTGAAAGCGGCACAAAGATCACTGGATTCAAAAAGTTTGAAGAGTTTGTGAAAAACGGCAAAATTCTCCACTGTAATCCAATCTGTGTAAGTTCATCCTTGCTTTTTGCTTTGTTTTTATTTTTCAAATTGTTTTTCTTTGGAGTGGAGTCACCACGAACTTATCAAAACAAGAGCCAGCGAAAATTATCAGCTCGCTTGTAAACTCCACGCGCGTTCAGCGCGCGCGATTTTCGAGCGGCTGTGAACCGTCAACACCAAGTAAAGGCGCAAATATGTTTTTAAAAAGATCTTTCAGATATAAAGAGAACCACTTTGAGAACCATTTAATACACGAACTATGGTACCTAAAAATGAATATGATCTGCTGATTCACGAGACTCTCCCTCTTTTATAACTTGTCTCGTGCTTCTAGTTCTGTGCATGTGGTGTCACGTTTAACTGGCCTTCATGAACTTGTCCGCACGCTGTTCTGACAATTCTTGTAAAGCGGGTGCGTGAGGCCAACGGAAGAGATTCCTGCTGGTAAAACTACACTGAACTGACTGAACTAACCACAATTATTTGGTCGGAGAAAGAGAACGACCGCCTCTGATACAGCAGTGAATAAAACGCCTGTGTGCAAGATGAAAAATACTTCTTAGAACCACAGACATTTTCCTGAGAGGCCAGGAAACAAAAACCTTATTATATCAATCACCTGAGGTAAAAGGATGCAAATGCGAAAAAAAAAAATCTTTGGAATAAGTGTCAAGGGTAAACATTACTAATGTTCCTGTCATACCACAGGGCGTTAGAATGTAGTTTCCTTTGTTTCTCCAGAGGTGTAACCGAGGCGTAACGTCTCACACGTGTGAAATTTTTATCAGTCGTTGCTTATTCTCTTTCTATTGTACGGAGACGTCAGTGTTTCTAAATCTGGAAGTTATTTTAATTGTGATACAGGGATTGATTTCATGTTTTCCTTTCAATTATTGTTGAAAGTTTGGCATTTTTTCCTAGAGTTAACGAAAGGTGTCTTTCCTTCCTGGGTTCGTAATATTGTTATTTAGACGTCTGACGTCACAAATTATGACATTAGTGGAGGGAAAGGAACTATTTGTGGTGACAAATATTTTTATAGAACGCAATCAGTGCTGATGATTCAAGACACTTTCGATCAGTAGTTGAAAAATTGATTTCCAATGCAAAATTCTATTTCAGTGGCGATTATCTAAGTCAGCCACGATTTTTCAGATATTCTATATTTTAGATATGTTTTTAGTTATTAGCTTCAGAGCTATAACCGATTGATTACCATTGCGGCACATTGCAATGGTAATTATTTCTCTTACATTATTAGTACAATGGTTTTCATCGGTCGCCGTCGCTTCCGGTTTTCTTTAACCTTAAAATTTGCACTATTACACACCATTATTTCTGCCTAGATACTGTTCTAAGGCTTGAATAAAAAAATCTCTTGCCACCGATTGCTAATGTTCCACGAGTGTCCACGCAAAAACCACTTTACTCCGCGCAAAGTACGCGCACGTTTGATGCGGTTTGGTGTCAATTCATCAATTTACTTGTCAACTTGAAAATCAACTTGTGATCTGATTGGCTGTCGCCTGACACTTTTGCGTTTCCATTGTTATCTTAGTCCGTTCCATTTTGGTCAATTTATTGATTGAAAATGTCCATTTCGGTCGTGTATGTCCCATTAAGAGCGCCTTTGTTTCACTGTTGTTTTTACAAGAATGTGTGAAGGGATAGAGAAATATTGCCTCAGAGAATCAGCGGCTTGTGGAGGGAATTTCACTAGAATCGCGGCAGATTAACAACACGGATTTTTATGGTCTTATTCTTGTAGGTTTGATAGCGTCATGCTTTGGTGTTTCCTGTTGATCGGTTGCTTTTTCTTGATGTTTCAAAGAGGTAAGTTTGCAAAATATTCTTATAATTATCACACTTTTGCCGAATAGTCGCTGAAAATATCCAAGCATAAAACAAGCCAGCGATCTCCTGTATGCTCAATATTACTGTTTGAAATCCGTAAACACAACAAACCAGTAATTTCAGCACGTATTGCGCTTGTATCAACGATGAACGATCCACTACACTCCAAGAACTTTACAAACTGGGGTCAGTGTTTAATGTGGATGATGTTTTTGTGCAGAATCGCAGCGATCTCAATCGCGGACATAACGTCATTCGGCAACAATTGTCGTCCAACTACGCACCATTTATTTCGATGGAAGATTTCTTAAATTCGCTGAACGCTCTAAACATTATCGCGGTAGTAATCTAAAGTTGTACTTTCGTCGCCCGTCATCCAAGAATATGAGAGCTCTTAAGATGATTGATTCTTGTAACCCCTGATTTGCTGCGAACTCTCTGCAGGCCTATAGATCGCTTGTAAATAACTCGAACGTTTGTTGCATCAGGGCCCGCTGAGTTAAATGGCGTCACCATCCTGACTCTTCTCTGTCCCGTAACTATAGTCACCCACACACAGCTGAGTAATTAAACAACGCTTTTCAACACGTGAAAGTCAGAGCTTTCCGTAATCAGTTCAAGAAGCGATCAAAGCGATTATTTGCGACATTGTTGATGGCATGTTTCAAACGATCGCATTTATAACCAGTCGTTCGCTGATTACTATGAAGTTAACATTGTTTATTTTCCTTCTTCCTCAAGGCTTGGCTCAGGGAAGTTCATCGAATACTGATCCGGGTGGGGGGAAAACTCCTCCATTAGAAATCGTGGTAAAGCTAGGATCGGACGCGATTTTACCGTGCGATGCTGTAGACGCAGATCGATCGCCGGACCTCTTAGAATGGCGAAAGAACGGATCGAAAAGTCCAATTTTTATGAAGTTCATGAGCTTCAAACCTCACATTGATTCGCGCTATTCTCGCCGTGTTCACATGATCAATACTTCTGCAATTTTGCTTTCGGGAGCAAAGGATACTGATGCGGGAATATACCGGTGTAGAACGATGCAATCTGGATCTGAAAGTACGATCATAACTCATGGAAGATGGGTCGTTCTCAAAGTCATTGGTAAGTTGACCCACTTGTATTGTACAGGAGTAAAGTAATGTGTATGACGTCTTTGGGACGGGAGTGGATATTAGCGAACAGGTGCTTTACATTGTTCATCCGGTTGTAACGATACCTTATGATTTGGTTCTACCTTTATTTATCAGAAATCTTGTACACTAAAATGTAATTGAACTGTCGACATTAATGTCAAGGAGCGTAGCTTGTCTCTTCTCAAACATGAGGATATTAATTCTCAGTAGAATTGTAACTTTATCGGTTTAAGTTCTGCGTGACACGCACAGGACACGTTTCCGATTCTTAGCAACCCGCTGAGCGAGACGTGCTTTGCTTAGAGGAGGAATCGTGCGGTGTCTTGTTCCGCCATTGTTTTGAATCTGTTTCTAGTAGTCACGTCATAAAATCCCTCACCAGGAGACTCTTTATTAGTGAACAGCTTAATTCGTCTCGTCAAGGTTTCTTTTCCTTCTAATGTTTGGATTTATTAATTTGAAGTCTCCATCAAGTAATGACGATTTCCCGAACCGCCTCACTACAAATTTTCGTCTGTTAATATGACAGTAATTTCACAATGTTTCTTTGAAAACGCTTGGTGAATATATTCATGGTGGTTAAAATTCCTGAGTGTCTTAAAAAAACTTTTGTTCGTGTAGCGCTCCCACCCAAAGGAAATGTCATTTCTACCCAAATAATTAAATTATCATTTTTCATTGAGGCGGCATAAAATAGCAGTGACATCAGGTTTTGATGTTAAAAACTCAGAGTTTTAAATCAGCGTGGAAGAAATCTTATTTATTTATTTTTTTTTTTTTTTACCATATCCCGTTAGAAGAAACTCAAAACCTGTCTTGTGAGATTAAAACGGCTTTGAAACTTTGCGTTTACGCGTCGGTTTGAATCTCTTTATACCAGTGTGAACAATTCGGAGTAAAAAGTTTCTATTGTAAAACTTTGAAGTTAAAAGACGCTTGAGTAACCAAGCGTTTCGACCCCCGACTGAACTAGAAAATTTCGTTGTAATTCATTAAACAGAATTTTTCTACGCCGTCTCCGCTGCAATTTTGAATAAGTAACCAGTACAGACGGTTTAATCTCAGATTCTAAGCTTCGTGTTTGTGAGCCGCCTTCCTAATCCCTACTGATTGAATGTGCATTGTGATTTTAGAACGCTGGGGTATTACGATATAAGGACATAATTGCTATGTTAGACCGACAAAGCCTTATAGTTTGGCCAGCAAAATATTCAACGTCTGTAAGAAATATTAAGAATTAAGTTTGAACTTTATCCGCTCTGCAGGTGACTTAGACAACTTTAAAGCAAGTTAGATTAAAACCATTCACGACTTAACTTTAAAATGGAGAGTACTATTAAACGCTTTCCATAAGACTTTCTCACCCGCTTTGTGTGGAAAAGAATACAGCGAAAAGAATGTAACACAAGCCTTTGAGTCGGTTTTATCGTAGAAGAACGTTGCAACTTTCTTTTCAGGTTGAAAAGTGGCTTGCTATCTCAAGTGAAGTTTTATTATTGAAAGTTAAGAACTACTCATAATAATTTCCAGTTTTATTCGAATGTATTTGAAAAAAGTTTTAATAACACTAAACTGCAAACATTTTTCGTCACCTTTCTTTGAACTGTACAATTTCAGTTGGATATAAACTAACGTTACTTGCAGCCGACTCAATTCTAGTTCAACTGGTGTAAGAAATGAAAAACAGCGAACAATGGCACTAAACTACAACTGAATTTATTCGGGGCAAAGTATTCTTTTTGACCGCAAGAAACAGGCCGATTGCCAATCTATTGCCCTGCTTTAGAGAAAAACTTTCCCGCACAAGCAAATAGTGCGTGCAATTTAATATCCTCTGTTTGAAAAGGTTTTACCAGTTATTGACCCAACTACCGACATTTTGACAGTAAGTCTTTGCTTGTCACATCCGATGTTTTCCTTTCACTCCACAAGAAGTTACGTTGCGCCTTTGGAATTCATATTATCCCAATTAACTTTTCTTTATTCCATATTTCGTTTGGAAACGATTTTCACTTTGTTGTATTTACCTATGTGATGAGGTGAACACGGTCGACATCCAAAGCATATTTCGCGAAACTTTGTTCGTAAAAGCATTAACTTAGACTCAGGAAATGCAAGAGTTCATTTTCAAGATCTAATAACGTTTTTGTTTGTTCAAATAAAAGAGCAAACCGACTGACGTTTATTTCAAAAACATTGTAAGCCCCCTTGTAATTGCCATGGCAACAAAACGTGCTTGTGTGATTAAGGTGCCATGAGCTGTCAGCTTGGAGGAGAGAATTCACGGGTGGTCAGTTGATTTATCCTTTGAAAAGCAAGTCTTTTGAAAAACTGTCAGGTTAAAAATAATTTGGTCAATATATGAACACGCAAGGGAAAGGACAAGATTCACGATACGTAACTTTGCAATGCAGTGCACTGAGTTTCGGCCGAATGGACCCAACCGATCGGGAAATTTAATTACGGCTAAGATGTCCAAATTTAAATCATTGAATCCTTCTTTAAAGCCATGAACAAACAGAAGCATCGATCGCTGCCGACACTGCACAGGAAACTAATAACAGTGGAGGTCTTGTCTTTTGTACAAGTTGATATAGCTCTGAGATTTAGTTTACTTTCTTAAAGCTAAAATCTCTCTCGTTTGTCGAGTCTCCAAAACCAAATCTCGTCTGTTTTCATTTATTCTGAGACGGCACCTCGTTGTTTTGTAAACGTCCGTCTGAGGCAAACAATTCCCATGCCAAGATAAATAAACTTGTTTAGCATGTCAATTAGTTTACAATGAAAAAGCAAACAGTCCCGGGAGCGCTGAAAATTAACCAGAGTTTCTGCATCACACAAATGCTTTAAATCATTATGTTGACTACATATGCGAAAACAAAAAAATCTGACCTCAAACTTCCTAAGGCACCCGGGTTTCATAGTTGTTGACCAATTTTGTTCACGTTAAAAGTTCCGCTTTCCTATGTGGGTTAATGCTGTGACACATTTTAATCCCTAATACAGCGTGTGATCAATAACTTTAATTAACTTGGTAGTTGTAACTTAAAATTTTTGCCATAAGTGTTTTAAATCATCCTAATGTTTTTTTCCCCGTTATTCTTAAATTTAAAAGCCCTGTACTTATTTACCTCATTACCGTCTTATAACGATAACATAATCCTATATTTAAGCTGATAATTAACTAATTCATTCTTTAAGTCTTATGATAACCATTAATATTTCGGCTTTTCTCTCTTTCACGGTTTATCAGCCCCTTTGTCGGTCCCTCCTTTCTTCTTAAAGAAACCGCTGGACAAAATAACTGCTAACGAGAGCGATTCGTTGACTCTGCTCTGCTTGGTTGGGGGTACTCCGGAACCGGAAGTGGAGTGGTTTAAACACGGGGCACCTATACCATTCGAACGCGCCTCTGTCTTCCCCGGAAGTCGGCTCACAGTGACAACTGTTGTGCCTGATGACAGCGGTCGATACCAGTGCTCATCGGCTAATTCTGTTGGGCAACTTCATCACGTGTTTGAAGTTACCATTAAGCGTAAGAACCGATTTTTTTGTCGTCTACAAATTCATCACAGCACTGTGTATATACAACCATCATTTGAACACCACCGCGAAACGTACTTCCTTCTAACTTTTGTTTATGTGTTGCTTGCATCGCCTTTTGACAATTGTAACTCTCCATATTGCTGAAAAGGGTATCTTAATTCATGAACAGATTTCTCAAAATAACCCAAGAAATTTTTCCCAGTTAGTCTTGCTTTTCATGAACAATGAAAAGGAAGAAAAACAAACTTGGAAATTGTGCTTAATTTGCTGACATTACTAACCCACGGTACTCTTTCCTGCAGTTTGGGTAGTTCTTTGTATGTCTTCACTTGTTACCTGACGCGTGTTACACAATTCTTTCGAGCTTTTATTGTGTTTTATGTTGTTGCCATTTTATTACTCAGTCCTGGTCGTTAAAGTAACTTATCTAACTTTTGCCCCAACTTAAGTACAAATAATTTCTTGATAGCTAACATGATATACTCAAGGAAATCTGAGAAGCTGTTTTATTTCGCTTCAACCTATTAAACTGTGAGCTTCACACTATATTGATGTGAATTTGAAGAATGTTAAAAGGTTTTGTGGGATCGAAATGGTCAAAGTTGTACAATATTCAGAGATGTTGAAACAGATTTCTGACACGTGAGATATCGAAGACGTTTTTAGCTGGCACATAAACTATTTTCAGTATCCTTGCCAATTAAGGAAAATTTTGTGCTTCCCTCACGAGACCTACACCGCTTCATCCGGTGTCTCAGTTACACTTCAGTAAACGATAATCTGCACCACTGCTTTGTCATACTTAGGTCTCGATTAAATCCGTCCAGAAGACAAGTGTCCTTTTTAAAACTTACTTTCTTCCTTCCTATTTTCGTTCCAGTTCATTCCGCTTCATGTAGGTTTGAGCACGTATTCTCGCGTGAGAACGAATTTTTGGTTACCAAACATTTAAATCACCCAGCTGATGATTAATAAGCGTATCATTGAAGTGGGGTTCACATAATTGTCGCTTTAAAAATGCAAATTTTAATATTGGCAAATGTTTACGATCCCAACACTTTAGGTTCAATGTTGTATTACTTTTCTTGTTATTAGGAACCTATTAAGTGTGGATAATTTAGTGCTCGGGTTCTATAAATTAAAGAAAAAACAAAATAACAAACAAAACTTTCGGGAAAATTTGTAGTGGAAACCTTACCACAGAGCCTGACACGAACTCCCCTAGAAGTTCAAGAATCTCATCCTGTCTCTCTACATATTTCATGCCTTCACCTCACCTAGGTATTGAGATTTTTTCATGGCAACATTCCATTTTTCCCAGGGGCCCTCTTACGAGTTCATAACAATCTTGGCGATATTTTATATCTTTTCCAATCATTCCTTTTTGGCTCCATTGCAATACCTTTTATGTTTTTAAACCAAATATTAGACTTGAGTTAACAACACGTACTTTTGTGGTGTGAGTCATTATTTTTACTCGCTCATCCTCTTCCGGCATTTCCTAAGATAGATTTGAGCGGAAATGCTGTAGATCCGTCAAAAGATAACCTAACCCACGCACTCAGGGCTTCCTACAAAGTGTTCAGCCTAGAAATTTGAAAACGATGCTCTGAATAGTGCTCTTACAGACTAAGTATCCTAAATGTGAATTTGTTGTGATTAATATCATTAACGAGTGAGTTGCCATTGGTTCGTCGAAAGGCTTAAGGGCAGATTTTATGGAAAGTTGTTGACATTTCTCCGATCAGACAACAGGAATCTTTTAGTACAGTGTAACTCGATACACTTGGGGAAAGTGGGTTGTTTTACACGCAAAGCTTGCTGAACAGAAAACAACCCCGATAAGTTCTCCTGCATGACTGGTTTTAAAGCGAAAGGAACAGACTGTGTTGGGATGCTTAATATCGTGTTGATAGTGGGGATGTGTAGCTCAGCAGTGCTAGCTCAAGGTATGATAATAATGCACGTTCAATGATCAACCACTGATGCACTCAGTAGCTGTCTTGATCCCTCAATGAGTTGCGTTGGTCGAGAGGTTACATGAGTTTCTGCGACTGAGGAGCGGAAGATCATCTTAGTATGGACCGATCAGAAGATATTTGAACATCATTGTGCGTTGAAATAGTAAGCGGCATCCTCTACCAAAGGAGATAGGAGTCTAAATGCAACAGCTCACCTGAAAACACTATATCTCTGGTAACACATCAAGCCTCAAGTGTTGTTGTCTACCCGCTAATCACAGGCTTATATGTAACATTGCCTTCTCGTCTATTGCTTTCGTTTGAGAATCTCCAGCTCCAATTCTGCTCATTCTGAACGAATCAGTCTTAAGGTAGCAAGGAGTCAGTTTCATAAATCTTTAATATTCTATATTTCTACGAGTTCTTGAATGGAACGTTCTGTTTCAAATAACTTTAAAAGGTTGATGAGAGGTCGCGTGCTGGAGATTTTAATCTCTGTTTGATACAGTTTCGTGTTACTGGTATCCGTCTGAAAGAGTCGTAGGCATTTTTGCCAAAATTTCCCATGTTCTCGTTATTTATCGTGAGCTGGACGGTAGTGAGCTTAGCATACCTTTCTAAAATTATGTGTTCAAAAGTTCCCACAAGTCTTGTGATTTATCGTTTCATCCAAGACGATCATTCACGAAAGCTAATTAAACACAGTCTGTTCTTTTGCTTCTCAGTAACCTGAAGTAACGTGATCCACGCTCTTATATTTTTTCATTCACGCTTTTCCATTCATACATGAATTGGTTGTTGACACTGCACGCCAAGGATGTCTTCACCAGCACACTTGAAAACATCCCGTTGTTACATAAAACACAATTTGATCTTGCTTTGCTTCCCTTCGCTGTTTATGTTTCAGGGAAAGTTGGTTTACCATCTCGTCGAAAAACAGTGGTTGAAAAATATCCAGCGGTCCTTGACTGTCTCACTGATACAAACCTGCCGAGTGAAAACGTCATATACAGTTGGACTAAAGATGGTGCGGATGCTGCATCAGACACACGGGCCACAGTGATTGCTTCCGGAGCCTTGTTTATCAAATCAACCCGCAAAACCGATTCCGGTGTGTACCAGTGCACTGCAAAAACATTTGACTCAAGTGGCCTGGTTACCTACCCTGGGGCCAAAATACTCTTGGATGTTCAATGTAAGCAATGGATGAAGTAACTTTGCTCACTTAATTTATTTTTTTTTTATCAAGCAGCTGGTCTGGGTCTGTTTGTTGATTCAAGATGAATATTTGATTAACCAGATACTTTGATGACTTTCGATTCTATCTCATTTATCTCAGATACCCCTACGGTTGTCGAAATGCAGGACACCGTGGCAGTACCCGAGGGCTCTGATGCCCGGTTGCCGTGTATCTCCGTTGGAAACCCGAGCACTTCTTTTACAAACTGGACGCGACTCGGTGAAGACCTGCGATCACGTTCAAGGTTTGCTGTGCTGGAAAAGGGTTCGTTACTGATACAAGATGTTCGACGCACAGACGCGGGGGAATACGCTTGCACTCCCTATAACAAAGTGGGGCCAGGAGAAACAAAAATAACAAGGCTTGTCCTAAAAGGTAAGAATTCCTACAAGTCGCTTTGACAACAAAGCTGCTCTCGCCTAGAATCTGATGTTTTTCCTGTCTCTATTTTATCGCAGTTGTTCCAAAGTTTATAGTTGCACCTCCAAGTATCATGACGCTCAGAGTGGATGATGACGTCACACTGGTCTGTGAAGCTACTTCTGATTCTACTCCCACGTTAAAGTGGGAACGCGAAGGAGAACCTTTCCCAGAAGGCCGTACGGTCAGACAGGGGGGCAAGCTAGAGATAAAAGGCGTCCAGAAAGATGATTATGGGGTGTACACGTGTATTGCTACATCAGCTGATGGACAGGCTAAACATTCCACAACTATAGCCGTCATTTGTAAGTCGCACACTGTAATTTGTCCAATGTTTGAGAAATAGATGCCTTAATCGCGTTAATTTTGTGTTATTTTACAGCCACTCCCAGCAAACCCACGATAATAAGCGTTCAGTTCAACGACGCGACGGCCATGATAACATGGCGGCCTGGGTACGATGGTGGATATCCCCAAAGGCTGGAAGTCTGGCACCGACTTACCACTGATAATGATTATGAATGGCTCAAGTCACCTACTTTACCAGCTAGCGTGACGTCATACCAGATCTCAGACCTCCAGCCGGAGCACCCTTACTTATTCAGCATCAGAGGAATCAACCGAGAAGGGGCTGGGCACTTCAGTGATATTGTGGAAGCCAAAGGCGTTCCTCCAGTCATAAATCGAACGCCTGACAAACCAGGTAAGGTCACTAACCCAGTTTCTGTGAGACCATGTTCCACACAATTCCTGCCAGTTGAAATGATACACTGCAATTTGTAGTCGCTTGCTTCTTAAGGGGTACATTTGTTGTAAATTAAAATTTACATCTTGAGTGTAACTTACCCTTCTGTTTCTCCGTAATGACCTCATGATTTACAAATTTGTTGACGAATTTGCATTCATTGTATTTGTGCTAATTTGATGATTAAACTGCGGAACAATCTTATCAATCAAAATGTGTAATTTATTATTATTTTTCCAACAGGGAAACCTTTAGCTCCTCAGAATGTTGTTGTTAACATCACTAAGGATGGATACTGGGTCATATGGTCCTACTCAGCTGTACCTGGTCGGCCGATTGTGGAGAAGTTTGTCGTGGAGTACAGTGAAGGAAATGGATCATCCTCTTGGCGTATGGCAGATGCTGCTGTCCCAGCGGATCGCAGAAAGTACTTGTTCAACGCAGAAAAAATAGAAGCTGGAAAGAGCTACGACTTCCGTGTTTTTGCATTTGGTGCGAACGAGTTTAGTGAGGCTGCTTATGTGTCCAAGACTTATAAACTTGGTGAGCTCTAAATCATTATTTTGGCCATAAATCCTCACGAGAATGGCGAAGTAGAGTTCTCATTTTAAAACTACCATGTTCGGTAGCCAATAAGAAGCCTGGGTGAAGATTTTACAGTGCAATCTTGAAGGTTAAGCTTTTCAATTCTTTCGGTGATTGTAGATTTCCGACGCCTTTTCGCCGAGTCTAGGTCTGTGAAATTGTTTTTCATTTTTTCAGTCGTTTTTTCTTATGAAGTTTGTCATCATCTGATGTTTTAGGTTCTCCAGTCATCGGCAAACGTTCCAGTGACGATGACGTTGTTCCCATCGTAGCTGGAGTCCTTGGAGCCATCGTTGGTCTTTTCCTTCTCGGCTTAGTTTGTTTCTGCTTCATTCACAGGAAGAAATCCAGAAAACACCGTAAGTTGAATTCTAATGTCCTCTTCATTAAAAGGTGCAAGCCACAGCACACTTCATACACCAATCAGCTCTTTTCTTAATAAATAGTGAATGACGATTTAGCCTTCGGGGAAACTTGGTTTCTGATTGGCTGTGCTTGGTTATATGGTTCCAGAGTCTGAACCGCGAATCTGTAAGGCCGCTGAGCCCTGATTCACGCCTCATATTTATATTAGCGTCTAGAGGGTATTGTGGAGGATCTGCTATAAGGTTTTTAAATGATTCTTTTTGTAAAAAAAAGTCCGGTAAGGATTTAGACGTTTGTTAATTTCTCATTTCTCTTTCAGACATAAATAAATCCGGGGACAAGAAAGTTCATTTCATTCTTCCAAACAGGTACATTTCTACAAATTGTTTATTTACTGCTATGAATACAAACCCTATGGGACCGTGGCCTAAAAAAGATTATCAAGTAAATAGATAAATAAGAAGACGACTATATATCAAACTGTGGTCTGTTCCGTATTATGATTGGCTCATCAAGAGCTAGTTTATTAACTGCATCACATTGACAAAGAAAAATTTTAGAACTGCATTTTCCCATTTGAAAACTCTTGTTGTCGAACCGCAGTACTTTATCATTGAATTAGTCAGTACCCTTCTTTTCAAAAGCCCAACCGTTCACACAGCGCGTCTCTAAGTTACATTATTGTGACAAGTTGATCTCTTTGAATTTCTTGGCAAATTCTCATCGGCATAGTCTGGAGATAAAAATATAGATATTTGAAATTTGAAAGGCACTACAATAAATTTGATCTCAAGACAGTTGACGAAATTGGCGATTATTTTCCACGATCGCTATTTTTTTGTAGTTGAGGAAAGATTCGATATGTTGTAATTCTTGCCAATGTTAACGTACATTATTCACCTGTAAAACAATTATTGTGGCTGGTATGTAAATTAGACTCGATTCAATCGCTTTCACTCCTTTTTTATAATTAATGCCGACTAGAAAGTCATCTTTGTCAAATTTATGACAGGTGTCATTCACTTGATAGCTTTGTTGGTTTCCAAGCCAGGGACAGGCATGATAAATTTATTAAAACAGAAAGACGACCCAGTCATGCAATAATTATAACTATTTGAGGAGTTTCTGTTTCGGGATCGATTACTCGTTCAATTGTTAAATTTCGAAGAGTTTCTGAGGTCGTGATGGGAAATTTATTGAGGTAACTTAGTTAGATCATAATTCGCCTGTTTTTTTACTGTTTTGTTTTCTTGGCGTGAATTTCTGATCGTATTAATTATAAAAACATTGTAAAGTTAAGATTTGCGTTCTGTTGGTAGTGTCATTCTGTATTTTTCACTTAAGAACAAGAAAAAATATTTGTACCCAAGAACTCAATGAATTTCTGGTTGAATGAAGTGATAGCTGGACGCCATGTTCATCGTCAATTCTCAAAATTAATCACCGATGCCTTTTTCTGTGTAATGACCCATTAGAGTAGAAAAGCGATTGTAATTTTGTTTTAAATTTACAAAGTATACCTGTAATAGTCTTTTCGGTGCCGGAATGATTTCTAGCAGTTTTATCTGTAGCCATGCAACAATGCCTGAAATAATCTCGAAAAAGCCGACTGGATTCAATCTCTCCTATTAGTCTGACAGTCGTTTAGTTCACATCAGTGACAAGTTAATTTGTAAGTTTCATTCCAAACTCCTTAGTACAGCCAGTATGATGTTCACGATTGGACTGCCCTGGCTCATTTAAATTCATCAAAGGGTTGATTATTCACCAAATTTCCGAACGAACAGAGGTTTCTTCTGTCACTTATTCATATTTTGAGATTATTACTCTTTTTCAGTATAAATGCTGAATTATTTTTTTTAAACTGTTAATTTTACGTTTTAGCCGAGAATCCATAGTGCAAACAATTTGCATGATACATGCAAAACCCAAAACCCACTCACCAATTGAACGATATGAGAAAGGGGAAATTTGAAGACTTTTATGTGAAGTGTTTGGTAACTTGATATGTTCTTTGAAGTTTTGTGAAGTTGTGTACCGTGTTTGCGTCATTGAAAGGTTTTAAGATCTAACCGATGTAGTTAATATTTTATGACCTGTTTTATAATATCTTGACATTATTTTCAGTCCGTCAGAAACATTGTACTCCTTTTTTCTCTTTACAGCACAAGTGAAGCTTTTGAACCCGAAGATTCCGAGGACGACTTCCTTGACGCTGAAATTAAGTTGCGTCCCGAAACTGTCCGATTTATTCCCGATGATAACGAAGGAAGAGACGACGATAAATATGCAAAGATGAAACGAGAAGAAGACCTGATCTTATCGGGTCATGACGGTCGGTACAGCGGAGACATGTTACGTTATGCCAAGCTAGTAATGAGCGCATCACCGCCTCAATCACCAACAGCTTCTGAGGATTCGGAGAAAGTTCATTACTTTGGTGACTTGGAGACTCGGGACGGCCAGTCAGGCTGGTATGACTGTACCTTAGCAAAGCCCGCATCCCGCGAGGTACGGGATTCGTACGATCAATTCTGTAGGCAGCCCGACATAGGATCGCGGGATTCTATTCAAATATCTCCTCCCGGATTTGGACGAAAGGCTTCATATGAACAGTTAGGATCTAAGGCTCACGCTAGGCAGAAATTTGGTTCTAACAGCAGTTTACCAGAGAAGAAGTTAGAAGTTAGCATGCTCCGTAACCCGCGGTTTCAACCCATACAAGAAGAAATCCCGCGGGGCGGGGATATCCCTCGAGGTGGCGCACCACTTGGGAGAAGACAGCCCCATCATTGGTCGACTCCAGCAGTTTTCACCAGAAGACAAGATTCAAACAACAACAGCGATGGAAAGGGTTCGGATTCTGACTCGGGAGATTCCGTGGTACGAGGAAGAAAAGGGAGACGACACAGACCTCATTCGTTATACGAAGGAAAGCTTCGGCCGATTTCGGAACAGGATTCTGATTCAAAGCTCCGGTGCACGTGTGATGAAGAGGACGAATCGGATGAGGGGCTGAAGTATCCAAAGCAGAAAGGACGAGAGGTCAATAGCACGTCATCACTGGGAAGGAAACTCACTGAGCATGAGTCATCTTACCTTCATTTAGAAAGGTCTGACTCTCAGAGACTTTCCTTTACTGATCAGTTAAAAGGTTGGGGGGAATCTTTATTTGCTGGCGAACCTTACGACAAACACTCAAAGAAGGACAGACCCTCAGCAGCTCCAATCTATACGGACTCGGAAAATAGCGTGTCTCCGGCAATTTCTTTGGTGTCACTGTCGGAGACTGAAAGTGACCGTGAAATCGGCCAGAAGCTTTACGAAAGTCAGCCGAGTGGTGCAGCCAACAACCGTCAATCTGACGTAGTTGCACTTCCACGCGCGGTAGCAAATCTAAAATCAGTTGATTCGGAGTCGTCTTCCGATGAACGTGGGAATTCAGGAAGTCGCGATAGATCAAAGAAACCTTCGCCGCCTGTTTATAAGGAGAAGAAGCCTCCCTCTGTTACAGATTTAAACATAAATCCCATTGAGCCAGCAAATTCAATGGACCAGCTTAAATTGTGTGATCCTTTCTTCCAGGAAAGACACAGAGTTTCTAGATCTTCTTCAAACGCGTCAAGTGGGATTTGCTCAGTGATTGTATCATCCAGCGAAACAAACAGCATTGAATCACCCAGAGATACTTCAAAACGATCATCCCGCTCAAGCGACCGAACTTCCACAGACCGAGCGTCGAGTGGTTACGCGTCTTCTCGGGATAGTTACGACAATCCTGATCGGATAAGACCTGAGGATTACTCAAAAGCGCACGCGCAAAGGCGTTTGAGAGGTAAGCGGCTTTCTCCACATGGAGATCCATATGAGTTGGATCCTTCATCGAGTGAAATGGAGGAGTTAGATACGGAAGGAGCATCATATGATCCAAAAGTCTACGAAGATCTTATGATGTTACAGCAAGAGATGGGTGTTAACTTGGACGGCAGTGATTCCAGTAGAGAAAGCCTCAAAGAGATGGAAAAACTGTCCAATACAGAACTTCTGAATTATTCTCCTGAACTGTCTCCAAAGAAATACAAAGTTGATCAGTTGAGTGACGCAGAGAAAGATCAGCGGTGTTCCAAGCTAATGGAGGAGTATAAGACCAACAAGAAACTGCAAAATGTTAGGGCCAGCGGCAGTCATGTGTATCGATCGTGGGATCTGTAACGGAACTGGAGGATTGAAATTCCTGACTGAGTTCATACTACGCCTCTCCGAAAAAAAGAGCGTGATGAGATCTTGGTGTCTGGATGACGTTTCGCGTGCCAGGTGAGGGTTTATCTCGAGTTTGGAGGCACGCGCCCAGATTTGTTTTTACCACGACTCGAGCAAAGTCGTGGGCAGCTTATCCAGATGCTCTCCCGGCGACCTTTGCAAGATTCAGATCCAATCCCGGTGACCTTTGCAAGATTCAGATCCAATGCCGGCGACGTTTGCAAGATACAGCGGAATGATGGGGTAAATTTTAATAAAGCTCCCGCTAAAACGCAGTTATGCTCTGAAAATTTTTAAAAGTTGATGTTCGGGTGAATTCCTAACTCCAATCTTTATTTATTGCGAAGTTTGAAGCAATTGTTTAATAGTCTGTTTGGATATACTTAACAGGCCATTTAAGTCGTATTTTCTTTTAGTATGTTTCAGAGTAAGCATGTGATCCATTATCGGCTAGATTTTTTCAGTATCGAAATCTTTTCCTCATGGAAATCTTTCGCGTCTGGCTCCACTGATGTATGTAACTGCAAAAGCAAGTGTTCATTCCATACATTGTACAGAAAAATAATCGAATAATTTCGAGCTTACAAGAGTTGTCGACTTTCAATGATTGTGTAAAACTTTGGTAAACAACTTTTTGGATAATTTGTGTGAAGTTTATATACATTAACAGTTCTGTTATTCTTGCTGAGTTATTTTATGCTAAAGTGCTTAAAGCAATTTTTTTTACCAAGCAGAAGTCATTTCGCTGAACCGGACATGATATTCATTTGTTTAAGTTTGGTTGTTGAGTAATTGTCCACAGATGATCAAGGTTGATTTTTAAAACAATGGAAATTCAAGTCATTAAGGTATCAAATGAACAAAGATGATACGCTGATAATCAGTGTAAGATAGTAACAGTGGCTTTAACATTTATAAACAGTTTATGTAAATAGTAAGAGAAACAATTTGCTAGTTTTATATGCTAAGTGAAGATTTTAAGATTTAAATTATATTGTTCCAGTTTTTTAAAGGGAAGCGCCACTTTCTGTAGATATCTTTAGGATACTAAACCGGTTGATCTTAAAAATTTCGATGAGGTAGTTGCATTTGGTGCTTTCAGCTGGTTTACGAAACGCAAATAGGATAGGAACGTATGAGATGATTTCCGACAAGAGACATTCACAAAACAAAACGCTAAAATAAAGATGTAATGTTACCAAGTCAGCTGCAAACCTGAATAAAATAAAAGAGTTATTTTATAATTGTACCATTACTGAGCAACTTATCAATCACGTCACCTTTGTGACAGAGCCACGTGATTAGCGCCTCAGCACGAGCGTTTCTTCGCCCACTGGAAAGCACGAAGCCTTGGGCTACGCTAGCCTTCGAGAGGTCTGTAGGGGATCTAGCACTGATAATTAGCGCCAGACCTTGGAAAACCTCTCCTTGACTCGCTTTAAATCTTCCCTGCGACGGAGAAATGCATGTCTTGCAGCGCTAAAAATGAGAGCCTGCTCGAAAGCTGTATATTTAAGGAATGGCGAATTTAAAAATCCAAGACTGCGAGACTTCTGCTCGAAAATATGAGACCCAGACTGAAAAATTTTTAGCCACTTCATTCCTAGTGGTTAGTTTTATCCACACTACAACAAATTAATTTGTGAGAGGAATTTGCGTTAATCTCTTTTGCGTTCGTTTTTGCGTCTCTTTACCACCTTCAAATTTGTTGTCGCTTGCCTGATAAACATTGCATTTTACCAATTTTAAGTCAATTGAACGCGAGTCAATTGACAAATGAAGAGCAGAATGTTTTTCCACTTAGCCTGAACAGTAGTGTTGTTCCTTGTCTCACCCATGATAGAGCCCAGGCCGCTAAGTGACCTTTCCTGAGCGTCCTTACCATCTATTTGTACAGAATGTTGGTGTCTTAGTTTTCCGCATTTTTTAAGCATTGCTCTCCACTTCAAATCATTCCCTCTGTTATTGTTAGTTGCTTTATCGATAACCCTGGTAGTCAGTTAACACCCCTATCTTCAAGTGAAAACATTTCGTTTCGGAAAATATTATTTCAAGTCAATATTAAGGGAGCAACGAAAAAAGTGAAAAAAAATTCAAAATGTGGTAGGGATCCCTCTGTCCATACCTCTGAATCAGATCTGGACATAGAGAGGATAAAAGTTTAATATCCATACAGTGAGTTTCACTCTGCCAAGTTTATGTCAGTACTGTGACAATATAGGCTAAAACTGTGTGACTTGAAGCGTATCCAGTACGTATAGGAGGATTTGTATAGAACTGGAAAAAATAATTTTCTACCTCTTCGAATGATATTTCATTCCACTAACTTATGGGCGGCAACACAAGTGTCCCCCGCAACATAAACTGGTATCGTTTCAGAATGATATCAAAGAGATTTTTACCCACGATTTAATGAGTTAATATTCAATGCACCGCTCGGGGGGTCGTCTGAATTTCTTTCAAGCATTTTACCAAGATTTTCACGAATCATTTTTCTGAGACAGTTGTTTCCCTTATGTAGAGCAGATTAGGGTCGTCTTTTTTATAGTTTTAATGGTGACACGTAAAGTTTGGATCACTCTTTTCGTCGAGCATTGTGTAATGTTTTCCTTACGTATTTAAAGAGAAAAGAATTTTTCCTCCTCTGCAAACAATCAGTGAGAATAGAATGGGTTTAATGGACTGGAAAGTTTGCTTTGTTCTCGTCTCAGATGCTTTGGAGACGAAGGAATTAGGTAATCACAGACTCGACTTCAGCGTGCGAGTTTTCCAAGGCGAAAATAAATAAATGGACGATATCTCCAGTGTCTGAAATACAAAATACACGATCAGTAATTATGAAAATCTAAAGGGTCTTGTTTGTTTTTGAAAAACTAAACGAAACTCAAGTTTGTTTTTGGAGGAAATTTGGAATGTGGTTTACGACCAAAACAAACCTGTTGTTATGACAACCTGACGCAATTGTTCTAATCACATGCGGAATGAACTGAGATCCGCCATAATTTTGCATAATTAACTTTATGAACTTCGATTACATTCGTTATCGAGTTAGTTTTTGCCTCTTCGACTTTGCAGAATTTTGACGATAAAGTCGCACAAAAGATAATACAAGTGTTGTAAAATGAACTCACTAAGATGATGAGAAGCCCAGTACGTTCTTGAACAGCGCTTTGTAACGAGTCTATTTACGGAAAAAATTGACATTGGAGAAAACCTTCAGCTCGTCTGCGTGACTCGCAAGGAATCTTTCATGCCTACTACTTAGGAAGTCAACGAAAAGAGTTATTACTAACACAATTTTTATGGCCTTAAAGACTTTGTTTTTGCACTCATTTATCTCTATTTTGGCGGCCATCATACTCTGCTGGACAGAGGTTACTTCTGCCAGTGGTAAGTGGTGACAAATACATATCGTACACTTTTATATTTGCATTGTTAGAACTGTTCCTATATTTCATGCTACAGTTGTATTAGTCGCATACTTAGCCTAGGGTTTTTAAGGCAAGATATTAACTCATTTTTGTGGTTTCAGATCCCTGTGATTGCTCAGTTTGCGGTACAACATGCGGCGGGAGTTTGAGCTGCGATCCCGGCAAATTTCTTGTAGTAAATGGAAGCGAATTCGGCTGTTTTCAATGTCCTCCTGGTCATTAGTAAGTTTTGTTTAGTCTGATTTTCTTTCGTTAGACTTTAGAGACGGGTTTACTTGCTGATGGCGGTTTCACTACTCAAAGAAACAGTATAACGATATACGACTGTGTCGTGTTTTGTGTTGCTAATATCAGTGTTGTAATCTCTACCGTAAAACAGTAGTCTAGTCTCAGACTCATGTATAATGCACTTCACAGTACGTTTTGTCATGCAACATTTTGTGTCTAGCTTGAGTTGTTAGAGATAAATGCTGTCTTTTGGAAACTTATTCCATCAGACATATTCTCGTTTTCAAGGGGCACTGATTAGAGTCCAGTTCAGTCTGTAATCATTCATCTGCTGAACAAAATAGGATGACTGCAAAGTGGGAATCTCATTTGATAACAAAGAGTTTGATTCAAGACAGAATTTGAGGACACAAAGTCCTTGTAACAATCAATAATTCAATAATACCTGTAGTTGACTTTTTGGTGAAGAAGTTAAACCTAATTGTCAAACTAACAGTGTGTCCTGTCCAGTTACATAGACGTAATGCATGAGTTGTCCCTCATCAATGTACATTTACAAAGTTTAGCAGATATCTTGAGCTCTTTATGGTTTTTAAGGGGCCAGATAATCATAGAATTGGGAAAATGAGATTATCCATGTAGCAAACAGTATGAGATGCTTCAAATAATTAGTGTAATAATTTACTTTAACTTCTAGTTGCCCAGGAGGTCAGAACAGTTCTAAACCATGTTCTGAAGGTTACTACAATGACCTACCAGGACAATCAGACATAGCTGCATGCAAGGTAACTTTGTGGATTGATATAGTTTTAGGTTGTGTTTCAAGTGTGCCAAGTCAGTGCCAATTAATATTCAATCTGGGTTGTACTTGGGTATACTGTAAGCTATATTGAATAAAGGGGTAAGTTTCTAAAGAAACTGTGGTGCTGCATTGGTGGGAGAGTATAGCAGGTAATTTAGTGTTAACAACTGGGTTGAAAACGTAAATTAGCCACTGTAAAGAGTAAAAAAGCTGATGTTTCAAGTGTTAGCCCTTCGTCAGAGTGATTGGTAATCGTAATTGCTCGTAATCGTAATCACTCTGACGAAGGGCTAATGCTCGAAACATCAGCTTTTTTACTCTTTACGGTGGCTAATTTACATTTTCAACCCAGTTGTTAACACTAAATTACCTGCTGTAAGCTATATTGGTTAGGTGCTCTTCTTGTGCATTCCAATAGAGAAATGTTATCTACTGACAAATTTGAAAAGTTAACCCCTTTACTCCCATGAGTGGCTAAGAAAGAATTCTCATTACGATATCAATACTAGATTAAGCAAACAATTGATAAGAATTAAGAAAAGTATCAGTTAGGGGATTATTGGTTGATCTAATATCAAATTCTTCATAGTAACATCAGAAGAATTGTATAGCAAACAGTAGGGAGAATTAAGAGATCTTTGGAGTGAAAGAGTCAATAGTCCCTCTATTTTTCAGCAACAAGTGGACTATTCAGCAACTGAGATGATATTTTGTATAATTTATTTAATTAGGAATGTCCTGCTGGATCTTTCTGTGCTGATGGTAGCCAACTACCAAAGCCTTGTGAATCAGGTTACTATAGCAATGGTACAGGACAAACAAAATGTGTCATCTGCCCAGAAGGATTCCAATGTGAGAACCTTGCATCTAAACCAACACCTTGTTCAGAGGGTTATTATAGTGCGGAGGGTAATGCAACATGTTCGATATGTCCAGAAGGTTATGAATGTTCCAATGGTACATCACCCAGGGTGTGTCCTGAGGGACAGTATGCACCTCTTGGTTCCACAGCATGCAAGACATGTCCTGCAGGTCATAAATGTCCTCATCAAGGAATGTCAGCTCCTGAGACTTGTCCAGATGGGCAATACACAAACCAAACACTACAAGTGACATGTCATACATGTGAAGCTGGTCGTGAGTGTCCAAATGGTGATCGATCTGTACCATGTCCGGCTGGTTACTTTAGTAAGTATGGACAGTCAAATTGCTTGGCGTGTGAGTCAGGAAACTACAGTCAAAGTGGATCATCTGTATGTCTGCCATGTCCAGCTGGAAAACAGTGTCTGGATCCAGCTGTTGAACCTGTGAACTGTACTCTTGGTACTTTTTCTGGTCAGGGAGAAGGTGTTTGTAAGCAGTGTCCACAAGGTTGGTGTTGCTTGTTAACATACTGAGCTACACAGATAAAAAAAAAATCCACTTGATTATACATTATGGTGGAAAGTGTAATAAGGAATTGGTAACAGAAGTGCCAGAAAAGTTCAGCCAATCCTTTGAACTTTCAAGTTTCATAATTCTCAGCCAAAATGTTCTCTTAAAGTCTCCCTTTTTTAGTGGGAAAAAAACAATAGAAACAGCAACAAAAAACACTCAACCTTTAACTTCAACAGTAAATTCAACCGCTCTATTTTTGCTTGTGTCAACTTTTGATAGATTACAAACTTTTAAATGCATTAATGGAGATGCAAGAGCTGAGAAACCCTAAGCAATGATAATATAAGTTTTAACAGTTGTGTTGATATTATTATTCTTAATATTATGATTATTTTTATGAATAATAACTTCAGG